GGTGGTATTGCATGAGTGCGCCCAGCAGTTGCTCGCTGGCGGTGGGCGGGTAGATCTGGACCTCTGCCCAGATCTGGTTGGGGATGGTTACCATGTCCATCCGGGTGACGATTCCTGGGACTCAGTCAGACGAGTTGATTCGGATCCGGGACACTGGAGACTCGGACCATAATTAGGACCTCCTCCTTTCAATGCCCAAAAGAGGTCGCTGTTTTCTTGCGCGTTGGCATTGACGATCCGGGAGTCGGCGAGAACGACCTGCGACCGGTAGGGTTAGGGTGGGGGTTGGGTTACGAGAAACATCAGATCCAGGTCATACCTCGTAGTTGCACACGTTCATCGCGCCCATACCATACTGACTGTTCTGGAATGATATCCCTCCTCCCAGCAACAAACCCGACACACCGACATCCGGAACGCGGCCGCCGGCCACGACCAGACCGTGCGCTTCGAGTCCTCGGTAGACATCCAGCCACCGCAAGCCCACGCCGATCTTGGCAACGCTCTTGTCGTCCGACAGCTCGATCTGGTTGAAGTTACTCAACGAAATGACCACGCCGCCCTCGTTGCTGGTGAACCCGGGAATCTGCAGCCGGCCCCCTCCGCGGATGGAGAACTTCACGTGGAAGAATCGGCACAGAGCCAACGCAGTCGCAACCTGTGGCGCCGATGACGGAGAGACGATCACTTGCGGCTGGAGCCAGCAATTGGTGGACCTGCGCTGATCGATGAGTGCCCGACCAGGGAAATGGTGGTTGATGTCTGGTGCGGTGCACATACCAAGGCATTTGACGCTGGGACTCGTACCCACTGGCCCCTGGAGCCACGCTGTGGCTGGGGAAGCACAGAGCAAACGCTTGGGACACATGGGACCCTCTTTGCTGGTCTTTCTCGGCGCCAGGAAGGGCAGTGTACGTCGAGAGAACAGCCTCAAGCTGGCTGTGGCGCTCGGCATCTAGCTGAGCAGCAGAGAGGACGGCAGCTGCGGTCGGAGTCATTGTGGCGGCGGCGGGAGAAACTCCGAGAGGGGTGTTTAATTCTGCAGGCAAAACGTGGGAACAGGGAAACGGAGCGAGTTTTAATCAAATTCAGAGTGTCCCGCCATTCATGCCGAGGCGCCGTTTCCCATAGCCCCCTTGGCAAGTGGGGATTGTCACGGCACGAAGTCGACACTATCCCAGCCGGACCGTCGACGGACCGCAACTAAAACCCAATACCGGCTCGATATGGACGGGAGGTTTAAATGATTTGGGGGTTAGGGTCTCACCATTGACCCAGTATGACCCACTGCTGCGATTCCGCAAGCGATCCTTCAGGGCCTTTGGCAGGCTTGCACAAACTTCCTGCCTGGCCGTTCTCCCCACGGTTCCCGCTCTGTCTTCTTCGTCTGTTTCTTCTCAACCGCGTGTCGATGTGACTGACCCTCTGGACTCACAATTGCTGGTGAGCATGGAGAGCCCTCTCCGTCCACGCAGTGATGGCAACGGAACGTCACATATGACCATTGCTGTGCGGGTTGTTGTGTTGGCTCTGGCGGTTCCTACCACTTTGGTCTGTGTCTTGCGGGTATGCTCTCCCTCCCCCCAATTGACCCATCGCAGACCCAGCCGACTAAGTGGTGACAGTTGTACCTGCGCAAGTTCGTGACCAAGCAATTTGGTCTGGACGACTGGCTCGTGCTCATCGCGCTGGTAAGTGGTGTCCAAGTTTGTCCGTGGCAACTTCCAACAATTGACTGTCGGTCTCGACAAGATCGGGGTAGATTTGTTTTCAGCGCTGGCATACACGATCACGTACTATGGGCTGGGCGAGCCATTGCAGAATGTCTCTGCCGACCAGCTCGTGGTCTTTCTCACCGTCAGTTGCCCTCCAATCGAATTGCGATCATTACTCAACCCCATCAGCTGGAATATGCCTCGCAGTGCGCCTACCTCGTCATCGCCGCCACCGTGAAAGCCAGTCTCCTCCTCTTCATCATGCGCCTGTTTCCCACCCGATTCGTCCACCTCGTCGGTCGCTGTCTGCTGGGTGTCATCGCGGCCTTCACCTTCTCCGGCACCCTGGCGCTGGTCTTCCAATGCCGGCCCGTGCAGGCGGCGTACAATAAAACCCTGACCCACGCCACCTGCTACGCCCCGGAAACCTCCTACGCGATCCTCATGATGCAGGGCGTCATCATGTTCGTGCTGGATGTGATAATCCTGGTTCTGCCCATGAGGCCTATCTGGCAGCTGCAGATGCCCATGAAAAAGCGGCTGTTGGTGCTTGGGTTGTTGTGCATTGGTGCGGCTTGACCCTTTCCGGATCTATACCCTCAGACTGGACTAAATGATAAACGTAGGGTTCACCGCATGTGTCGCGGCACTCGTGCGTTTCTCCACCCTCAAATTCGCCAACGACACCACCAATTTTACCTGTAAGTGTCACGCCCCTCCCTTCCTTGACGAAGACAGCTGATGTTTTAGACTCGGCATCCATGTCCCTGATCTGGATGGAAATCGAGTTCAACCTCGGCCTTATGTCGGGCTCGTTGTCCTCCCTGCGTAAGCTGTGGGGGCTCCGCTCCCTGATCTCAAAGAGCCAGGACAGCCGGCACGGCGACTCGAGGCAATCTGCGGCTTTTGACCTGGTTCCGCGGAGCTGGGGCCACCGCGGGATCACGAAGAAGACGGAGATATTGAGGGTGGTCGAGTCGCATGGGAGTCAGGAGCCGATCGCTGCGACGTAGATCGTGTGGGGCATGAGATGCACTCAGTAGAGGAACTTTGCAGTCTGGATTGAGGATTTGTTGGTTGTTAGAAGCCCTGTTGGTATGTTCGGTCTGTATGTGAGGACCTAGATCTAGTATATGATACCCGATGAATTGATCCGTTCTTCATGTGCTGTCTTACTCCGTGAATGAACTCACGAGCAACGAGTAGATAATAACTGCAACTGTGGTTTGAACATCCTGGCTATGCAGGCTATCGATAACAGTGCACCTCACGGGGATTCTCAAATCGATACTTAGTTCGTAACATACCTTGACGAGCCTGAGTGATGCTCCAGCTTTCTCATCATAGCTCATGATTGGCATATGCGAACCCGAAGCTCGGAGAACGGTCGCTCCCTGGCTCCAAAAAAGCCAAGTCATTTTCAATCGTCTTACGGCGTAGTGAGTTTGCCAATTACTGAGGGAAAAGAGTCGACCATGCAACAATGGCGCAACTTAGGCGGCCAGCTGGGAGTAGTCTAGCCTGGATGCGTCGAAATGGTACGGGCCGAACCCGCGCCCTACGGCAGCCCCCTTGCGGGCTCGGCGGGTCGGCAACTGGAGCCTGCCCTCCCTTTGATTCTGCCTGGTGAGACTCACTTAGAACTTTCCTCATTTTGTAAAGGTCCTCGTAGGAGATTTACCCGCTGTTCTCGATTCTAAACCGAGTGAGTCATGAAGAGGAGCTGCGCGAGCACAGTTTCTACGCCCAGGGTCTTCGACAAGTGGTGAACCTTCGGGGTGCCAAACAAGCAATATATACCTCGGCTATTGATACGACGCTTGCGTATAATTCGATGAAGTTCTCCTACAGAGACCGGGACTAAGAGAGGGGCCAGCATTCAGGCATTCCCCCATCGAATGGATGCTGCAGCTTCTTGAAGACTTTGTGGTCCTGGTCGAGCAGAGGATACCTGTCGCGTTGGTCCTTCTCGCGCATTGAACGGTCTTACTCAAGTGCATTAGTGTGGCGTGGTATCTGGGTACCTGGACAGTTGGAGCGAGCATATCATGCTGGGGATTGTGGACGTGTTGGAGGTCGAGTTTCGGCCGTGGGTTGAGTGGCCTTCAGTCTGCCTGAGAATTTGAAGACTTGAGGATATTAAAGCTGGAGGGGCGGGTATAGAGGGCACTGTGGAGTGAGGGATTAGGGTTAGTCTAATTAGGTTAGGTGTAGTAGGGGGAATAAGCCTTAAGCTGGATTGAATCTCAAATGTACAGTCTCAAGGCATTCCCCTTCTATGACTTTGAATATTAAAGGTTCCCACCAACCTCAGCATCAGAAGCGGTGTGTTGAGGAGCCATCACTCGTTTCATCCCATAGAAAAGGAAGACAGGGAGTAGACATCCATGGAACAGCACAGAAAAGCAGCAAGCCTTAGACTAAGAATGGACCCCAATATGATGTGTATGAATTACCGAAAGTGATGATTAGCAAGGAGGTGGGCGAAAAGACACCATAGCTGAAGGCTGCAGCAGAAATACCATCCAAATTGTGTCGCTCGCAGATCAAGCGGGGTAGTCGATGACTATGGTTCCAGATGCTTTGGTTTGGAGGTCAAAGCGGAGACTACTTATGCTTAGCTCCTCAGCCGCAAACACTACACGTCATGTATGGCGGCCAATGGTGTATTGGATCAGGATCGAAGGCTGACAAGTAAGCGCCGTGATAAGATCGCCCCCAATATAGCTAAACTGCGATCCCTGCCGCGAACCACAAACAACCGAAGGGTTCAGTACTCACCGATCACGCAACACACCAGAACGGAACATGCCCGGTCACTTTTAGCCAAATTCTTAGTTTCAAACTTCAGCTGCTGAGGCAATCTTTTAACAGAATACTCCGTACTGGATCTCTATTAGGTCTGTTGGCTTTATGCGACTGCTCAAATTATCACACGCACTAACCCTAGATGATGGTACTGTACTTTTGAAAGAGGCCGATCCACCGACAGCAATGAATCATGCAGATCGACCAATAAGAAGGGCTTTGATGCTATCAATCGCCTGCGATTGCCTGAAAACAGGAAAAGGAGGGCCCATGATTAGAAGAAAAAGCAATGCTTCCCCCTCTCGCAGGCTTCCTAAATTGTTTTCTTCTATCGCCCTCTTGCAGCATGTCGGGCCGCAACACAGAATTCAATCATGGAGTAGTTCGCAGATAAGCACTAGAGATGCAGCTCAGTAGGCAGCCGCGTAGCTCCGTCGCCTCATTTCGAGACTGGTCTCTAAGAGGTTGGATGGACCCCCGGCGCCGGGTGAACATCATCTCCTTGACTCGCCCGATTTTCGATCAAAGTCTCTCTACCCCCGCTTCCCATAATACAACAAGCCAATCCACCCACACACACTTGTGACAAAGATTAAGTCAGGCTTGGATTTCTCGATTTGTGGGCGAATGCAGACGCAATGAGCGCGGCGCCATCACCACATCCCTCAAAGATACCTGTGAGTGTCGATAGAAAGGTCCCTAAAAAGGCCCAGGATGAGTACTGGAAGTCCGGTAAGCATTGATCGTTCTCGACGTGGTCTGGTCCACGGCAAGAGATAAGATACTGATAGGATCCGGGTGAAATGCAGCGCCAGAACGCGCGACGTACGTTTCGTTCGGTGATCAAGGCTTGACGGCAACTATTGGGGCTTACGGCTCCCTACTACGGATTTGCTGTCCTATTCTAAGCTCGGGCGAGCCGAGCCCCGACAATGTCAACCTGGACGGTAGGAACTCGAACGATAGCGACCCAGAGAATGAGAATCCAGACAAGCAGAACTCTGGTGATCACAGCTTGGATGGGGTCTTCCGATCGAAGATCATGTGTCTCGAATCCAGTGGCCAAGAAGCATACTATGTCTGGGGGCGAGCATACATTCTTGCAGATAGCGCCGATGATCCCAACTGCGGGTTCGGGCTACGGTTGGACAATAACATTCAACCGGAGCTATCGACGGTGGATTTTGTCGACAATCGCTGGCCGATCATCAAGTACAAGACAAAGCAAGGCTTCTCCATCACAGTACAGGCTTGGTGTCAGGATGGCATGGTTTTGCAGCAGATGTTGATTGATCGAGGCACCGACGGCCCGGATGCAGTAAAATTGAGTCTGAATATGTCGTTCGCTATGCAGGATCTGAACTACATGCACCGGAGAGACAATATTGACATACGCGAGGATCGGCCAGCCGATCTTCAGGCTGAGAACTATATCTTACTGAAAGGGCAGCATAAAAGAAACTCTCGACAGAGCCAGATTGGCGTGCTCGTGGGATTATTCAAAGACAATCAGAGTCATCCTCTTAGAACCTCTGAGAATTCCGAGCCGAGAACGGATCATGCAGAATCATTGACTCCGGATAGGGATGCTGATTCTGTATCTCAAAATGCCCAAGAAGGCGATCCACGGTCCATTGCCTTGAAGCATAAGTTCGTCGACCAGAAAGATTATGTCACATACACAGCAGTATTTATGCTGCAAGTGGCCTCATCTGGCGAATGGAGCTCCCTGGAGATCTCGACACTGCCCAGGGAGCCAACGCCTCACTCAGATGATCAATCTGACGCATTTGGGTCCTACGAGGAGAGAGTCAATTGGCATTGCCATCGCAACCTGGAGCATATTCTATCGGTGTGCAGCATCCCGCTTGATGAGACACCATTGAAGACCAACCATACACCAACTACTAACGCCATGAAGAATACCTCGACTAAGCGGGAGCTCGAATCCTCCGCCCCGGCTCCCCGAAATCGAGGTGTAGCGCTCACTTGTGGAGATTTTGGAGATCATAGAGTCAGCATATCAGGAGGCTAGTAAGTTTCCTCAAACATGCAGGATAAGCAGAACTTCGTTGAACACGATGTCTGACTATATAAGCTTCGCATTCATGTTCATGTTGGAGATGTACAGACGTCCTGAAAAGCGTCCGAGCGCCTCCGATATGTGCGGAAGAATAAAACGCACATGCAAGGGTCACCTTGAATGGGTCTTTAATCTGGATCCCGATGCATCCTCGTCTGCTAATGTCTGGATCGATGGCCAAATCATCAACTTGAGTGGTAGCTATACCAGTGTTCCGAATGATAATCCTTCCATCTTACCTTGTCACATCATCAAAGCGACAGAGTACATTATGGTGTTTCAAGACTCAGCAGACTTTGAATTTGTCTGCAAGGGATTGGGAAGCCTGTGCAAGGAGTGGTTTTTGCGATTAAATCGCACAAAGAACAGACGAACACCCACCTGGCAGCACTCCCAGAGCTCGGACGTGCCCTTTTATCGACTTGGGGATCATCTGTGGATATGGAAGGCGCTCAAAGGCCTCGAAGAAGTATTAGACTTGGTGGAGTTCCAGCGCGACAAGCTGGCAGCAGATATCGACAGCGCAGTGTGCGATGACTTCTTGAAGCTGCGGCAGCACATGCACGACCTGATGGCAGAGAAGCGCGAGAGACGTCAACCAATGACCGCAGAGAAACGCGAGTCACACATCTATTTCAATTCAGAGGATGTACGGAAAGAGAATATCAAGCGCTTCACCGTCCGAAACGAGGTCTTCAACAAACGCATGCTGAGTGTCACTCGCAGTGCCAACGAAACGCGGTTTCTACTTCATTCGCGAGACACAGTACTGTACTACGGAGGCTTGTGGGGATTCTTCGGGGGGCAGGAAGATCTTATCCACGAGATGCTGAACATCCAGGCGGGACACGATGACAGCCTATGTGACGAGGTGGAGTGGAGCAATCCCCTCCGGTATGGACTGGCTCTATTGTGGTCTTCTTGGAACTATCAGCTAACTGGGGGAAACGCCCCTGACCAAATGGTGAAACGCGCGAAAAGGGTTCTTCTGGGCTCGTCTTGCGCGACTGGGCTGTTTCCTGGTAACCTCAACGAGGAGAAAAAAGGAACCATTTTCAATGACGAGGCGCATCGCGACTTTTACTTCCATGCCGGATTTGAGGTCCCATACATCCTCCTGAAATCCCTAGATCCCAATGGGGTTGAATTCTTACCTAGGAAGAAAAAAGAAGACTATGCAGCTCTGAATTCTGCAACCGTCACGACACATCAGCAGGTCTATCGTGAATCTAGAATCCCTAACGACCAAAGCTTTCAGAGTCGAACAGGCACACAACTGGTGTCGGTCCCGCTTACCCTCCGAAAACAGAACCCGTACGGGACATCTCTCGACGTGAATATTATCGTGGATGTGCCAGATGAATGGCTTTTCAAGGATCCTGACTTCCTGGACTTCATCCCTCCCGATAGTCTGGAAGACCGGATAGACATCGTGAAGGATGCTGCAGATGTCCTAGGTCTTGTGGATGGTGGCAAGTCAGTATGTGAAGGCATGGAAAGGCTGAAAACAAATGACTGGAAGGATCCCGCTGGGGTAAGACAAATACGGTCCCAATACGCAGCAGAGTCCTTGGCGATTGTTCTTGACATTCGCAAAAGTAATGGCAATAAGCAGATTGACGACAAATACTCGGTGTTGCGCGTGGCGGATGGACATTTCGACTCCTTTACATCTCATCTGCTGAGCAAACGACTGCTTGACGCTAGTAAGAAGCGAGTTGTTTACATCAGAATTCCCACGTGCGAGATGAATGCTATCTGTTACCTCGCAACCCCTGAGCATGACAGACCTAGTTTCGCGTCTTTTGTTCAGAGGCATTGCGATATCAAAACAAGTTTCTTTCATGACGATGTTGTGGTAGAGACCAACTCCTGGGTAACTGAATTTCACTGTCGCTTTTTTAGGGCAGTTGACAAGAAGTACTGGGAAAGATCACACGCGCACAGACAGACGGAAAGGGGAGGGGGGGCTGCACCAGCTCGAAGATACAGCCGGCGGTTAGCCTCAAAGCTATGTCCGCCCCTCGGAAAGGGGTTGGTGCTGGTGGATGATGTTTTCAGTTTGAGCATGGTGGGCGACTGGTGTGACCGACATTGGACGTGTCACGTTCTCGAGACCTCAACGGCCAGCAATGACCTATTCAAGCGGGATTGGTTCAGAGACAACCTTGAATTTACGCAAAGAAAAGTGCTTGAGCTGACTTTAGTGAATAAGCTGTTGATCGATTTCCACCAGAGCACCAGGGAGATCCTGCGCAGGGTTGAGCAAGACTCTCACTCCAGTGCGTTAGGAATGAGTGAAGAGCTATACTCGACCATGAGCTTCAAGAACCGAAAGCAAGAGCTACTGGATGAAACATTCCAGGTTCTATGCAGGGTAAAAGACAGTATCACCGGGGTCCGGACATTGATAGACGACTGGAAGCAACGGGAGAGCTCTCAGGGGCGAGAAAGACCCCGCTGGACACGTAGCGACGAGCAGAAGCATGGCCAAGTTCTTCGAAAACAGACCAATGAGCTGGCGAAGCATGACCGCGAGGTTAATGCCTTGCTCTCCCACGTCGACTTTCTCATCTCGCTGGTGAACAATGAAAAAACCCTCAGCCAGGCGAGGGATGTTACTCGCTTCACCTACGCCACCGTCTTCTTTCTCCCGGTGGGGCTTGCGGTCAGTGTCTTCAGTATGAGCGGGCCACCGGACCATACAGCCATTCTCGGTATGGTGATTACTGCAATCGTCGCCTTGGTGGTTACGGTGGCTTTCCTATGGCTTGTCATCAGAGTTCCAACACAAGTATACCCTCGCAGCCAGAGCATTGGCTCGCTGATGAAAGACTTTCTGACTAGAAAGGCAAATGAGTTGGCCCACGTGCTCGGGTTGCAAGGCATTAGCAAGCCAACCAATGCCAGTCGGGATTCAGTCGACGAAGCTGACACAGATGAGGATTCTATCTCTGTGTCTCGCTACTGGTCCATCTCTCGTTATATGTCTGACAAGATCGCGGCTTTGTTAACCTTGAGGCATCGACACGCCTCAAACGAGAATGAGGCAGATAAACAAGCGTGAGATTTGGTGTAGGTTCCCATGGCAACAATTGCGGCCGGTCTAGAACCCCTGCAAAACAGTTTCGGAGGCTGCCTTGATGGACCTTGGATCTGAATAGAGTAGATTGATAGTACTTCAGGATTATTGAGCCCTGATAGAAGTCTCCTGGATGGAATAGGAACAAAAACTTTTTTTCAGAACGTGCATCCTGGTTTCAGGGGCAAGGGAACAAGAGTGTACAGTACACCGAGTAGACACAAGAAAAAAGACTAGGGCAGACCTTCCTACCCGAGACATCCAGCGAAATAACTAAGGGACAAAAATATGACAAGAGTGGGATTCGAACCCACGCCATCAAACGATGATCAGGAAGCTGTAAAGCTGAATGTTAAGGTAACCTTAACCTGACGCCTTAGACCAACTCGGCCATCTTGCCTGTTGTTATAAAGGTCATTAAATATGTGCCTATCAAGCAGCAGAATTGTTGTCGCTGCAGATTGTCTAACGCTGGATAAATTCATATTCAAAGCCCAGTCCGGAACCAACGACCACTTCCTTGTGCTAAACCCTGTTTTCTCTTCACATTTGGTGGTGATAAAAAGTCTAACTGGTTGGTTATATTGCGGAAACAGAACTGTTTCCCATGCTGAGTTCCAATATACCTACCTTAGAGTAAGTAATTTGTCTACAATCATGGCACAGAACGCAAATAAGATGCATAAGACAGAATTCCTGTCACATTACATAGGCTTTCTCAAGATACAATAATACCAAGCCCGCCACTTTTCCTTTCCCAACTACGAGGCTGCATCTCTATGTGCAAATCAACCCGAACGAACGGACACGACCCCTCTATGATCAATCCTCAGCGTGAACAATCCACCATGACCCAATATCACCTCTTCAAGTCTTCTGCTTCCACAGGCCGCGGATAGACCCAGGCAAGAACCACTCCAAATACTTCCAAACCTTTCCTGGGGTATCAGCAGCAGCAGTCATTCCCAGCCCTCCAACAGAAGCGAGATAGTCACTCGCGTATATTACCTCATAGTCATTAGAGAAGCCGTTGAACTGTGTCGCGCTCACCACACTGTACGCTATACCCCACGCCACCAGTATCGCGTTAGCAAGACTTCGAGAAGTATCAAGAAAAGAAGAAAGAAAGAAAGAAAGAAAGAAAGAGAAAACTCACCACCCATCTCCCGAAAAACCAACCAATCCCCAACCTTGACCTCCCCCTCCATCACCACCTCCTTCGCCACACAGTCAATCCCATCACAGGTCGGCCCCCAAATCGAATACGGATGCGGCCCCGTCGCTCGCCGCTCCAGTTGCCCGTTATCACCACCCCTCAAGGGAGCCAGGTCCGGGACAAAGACTTCATTCTCCAACAGGACCAACATGAAGCTCCCATACACCCCGTCATTCAGATATAGCATGTCGGGGGTGATGGACGGGTACGGCTGGAACTCGTCGAGCAGCGGCTGCAGCTGCCGCCGCCGCGAGATCACCTTGCAGGCCATGGTGTAGAGGGTGCGGGCAAAGTAGCGGCCTGGCTCGGCGATGACGCGCACGGCAGACGAGTCGGGGAAGGCTGCGTCGATCGCGCGCGCGAGGGGGGCGGCCATCTCTTCGAAGTTGGTGTCTTGGAAGCCGCCGCCTACATCTAGGATGTCCATAGGTGGTAGGCCTAGGTCGGCTGCGAGGTCGAAGACGTGTCGCGCTTGGTGAACAGCTGTTGTGAATGCTGCAGGGTTACGGGCGCCGGAGCCTGTAAAAGGGTTTGTTAGTGGAGCGAACGCGGGTATAACGCAGAGCTGTGGGGTAGGTAAGTTTGTGATGCGCATGTCTGCGCGCCTGTGCATTTTGTATACTGCGCACCGGTATGCGCTCATGTGTTTCTCTGTGTGCACGCGTGTGGAGAATTTTTTGGAAATCACCCTTCACAGACAGAAAGAAATGACTCAAGAGAGAAAGAAGATATGACATACCAACGTGAAAACTCACCCCCCTAACACAAAGACCCAACTCCTTTGCCCGTTGCAGCAGCGGCTCAGCCAATGCCAGCGGCGCGCCGAACTTGTTGCCCAGCTGCGCGGCGGCGGTGTCGTCCTGCGCGTAGATCCGGAGCAGCAGGTGCATATTTGGCGCGTGGGCTTTTACCTTGTCGAGCTCGTCGATATTGTCGAATGTGGTGAGGGAGATGCCCCGGGCAGCGGCCACGCGGATGGCGGAGATGGACTTGCATGGATGCGCGAAGATGATGCGGGAGGGGTCCACGCCTAGAGACAAGACCAGCTCAATCTCCGTCTGGGAGGCACAGTCAAATCCCAGGCCCAGGTCGGCGAGAAACCGCAGGAAGCGCACGTCCGAGTTGCATTTCACGGCTGGCGGGTCATAAAACGCTTGGTCAGCCTATTCTGTTGCTGCGGTGGGAGGACTACGTGGGTGCGTGAAGGGGCTTTGCTTATGAGGCAGGGGACGACACTGACCGTAGAATGGGGCTATGTTGGGTAGAGCGCGTCGCCAACGGTTGTAAAGCTTCAAGGCCGGGCCTGTGTCGGCGATGAAGAACGGGCGATCACTCTGTGTGCTGTGGGGGTCTTTGTTGACTTGTGTGATGCGGTTGGCGATGAGGTGGTCGATGAGTTTCCCCGCGGAGGGGAGTTCAAGAAGGACCATCGTAGGTGATATCGGAGATGTGCGATGGGTACGTGCAATGGTTGATGGAGAAGTTACAAAGAGAAGTCCAGGGCTCTATTTTATAATGGCTTGGGCAGGTGGATTGCCAGCAGTGATCTTCTGTCTTTTTGCTCAGGCTAACTCAACTTCATGCTCGGTGGTTGCCTACGCGTAGAGCCTGACCAGGCACCATGCTTGGTTCATCGTCGCCCAAGGTAACAGCTTGCATATGGTTCATGTGTGGACTAGTCTGAATGGTCATAGTGTTATGGGAGATGTCTCATTGACTGTGTTGGACGTAGGCTGTCTTGAACTCAAGTCTCTGACACGATATTTGCTTGGCATTTAGCCATCTCAAACACTGCCTATCTCTCTTGTTTCATTACCTTGGGAACGTGTTTCAACTTTCTGCTGTTATGCGGGCACGGGACTTTTCGTTGTCCGGGTTTGAGATGTCCAGCTCCTGATATCCGGCCAGAAACTATACGCTTCCAAGATAAAACCCCCACGGTCACGTATTCGAACCTGCACTAGTGACTTGGTACTGGAGCCAGATAGCTTACTACGATACTATAAGATCTAAGATTTCTCAGCCAACACCAGTTCGCGGCGACAGGATTCTGCATGCTGGCGGCATTTGCGGAAGTTGCAACACCAGCTCTAGGCGGCCACGTCCTTGACACGCTTTAGGCACAATGCGAGGAAAGGCCATGATCAAGGACGAGGGACAGATCTGGCACATCATCTGGCAGTGTTGAGGTATGAGCGGGTTGGTTTCTATCGCACTGCTCGATCTGGGCACTTTCATGTTTCAGTATGGCTCATCCTGCATGCATGATCTGTTCTGCAACGCCACATTTTCCACCGTAAGCGGAGACATCTAGCACGGAAACACCTGCTACGAATGGACTGGTCACGTTGTCGCCATCGACGCGCATTATGGGCTGCTGGTCATAGATTAACGTAGCGTTGAGCAGCATCGAGGCTGACGTCGGGTAGAAGCTGCATCTCGGGTTGTCAAGTGATGGTGCCCATTACTCGGGCCGCATTCCTTGGAAGTTTGCAGTAGGACTTTGGCACTTCTGGCTCCTTTCTGTTGGGTGGTGGATCTTAGGTTAGTATTTGTAGAGGGTGGGTCATTTTATTGTCAGTTGTAGAATAGCGGTGGTGAATGAGTGACCCCAGGATTAGTCTGCGGCTGCAATAGTATATATTTCTCCGGGCAGAAGTGCAATATTTCCACAATGTAGAGCTGACCGCGCGCACAGTCCGTTACCCAACTGGATAGAAACCCGAGAGTTTAATCAAGACTAAAACTCAACTATTCCACTTTTCTATCCCTTACTTGCAAGATCATTTATTACCTGCTACGTATAGAGCTCTGAGGAAGGCGATGAGCAAAATTGATGCTCTTGTAAGTCAAAAATAAGAATATAATGCATTAATAGAATGTGGTTTTCAACAAGCAAGCCCGGCTAGCTCAATCGGCAGAGCGTGAGACTCTTAATCTCAAGGTTGCGGGTTCAACCCCCGCGTTCGGCTATAGAATCCGATTCTTTCTTCCTTCACCCCAGCCGGGCTAGCTCAATCGGCAGAGCGTGAGACTCTTAATCTCAAGGTTGCGGGTTCAACCCCCGCGTTGGGCTGTTCATTTCTTTTTATTCTTCCACACTCTACATGACATACACACTAAACACTTTTAAGTCTCTTTACGCTGACTTCTTTTTACTTCTCCCATGTACAGCTACCGCATAAAATAACCTCCTACTCGACCTATGGTACCTTTACTCTATTATTCTCTCTGCTGATCGCATTACCACCTCAGTGCACTCCACTGCAACTTCCCCGCATTACAACCAAAAACCTCAACGCCATGATAACATATTACATCCCCAATCCAACCATCCGACAACTCAATCAAACGCCAATCAGATTCTCCTTCCGGACCCTGTGCTCCTGCGACGGATCGAAATCTCCGAATGCCTCCACCGCTTCCCCGCGCAAATACTGCACCGGGGTCTGGAAGCCTACGAACCCAATATTCGGACTCGACAGCCCATACCCCATCACCCGCTGCGCTGCCGGCGACCAAGACAGCACCTCCTCCGGCGCGTTCGCGAGGTAGACGTTTTCCTCCTGGCGCAGGAACCCGCGCGAGAAGAACATCCCATGCACGATGCGGCGATCCGTGGCGGACACGTTCGCACCGCCCGCATGGTACAGCCCCCCCAGCATGACCCAGCAGTCCGTCACCTCTAGTTCGGCGGCGACCGCCTCGTCGATCCGGGGCGCCCGATCAGACCCCCACAGATGGCTGCCGGGGATGGCGATCGTGGCGCCGTTCTCCTCCGTGGTCCGCACCCCGGGGACCATAAACGCCATCATCACGTCGGAGCCCACCCGGTACCCATCCGCGGATTGATCCACGTGGTCGACGTGGTAGTTCTTGTCGTCGCGGTGCAGGCGCTGGGCCTGGGCGCCGGGGCCGATGTCGAAGGTCATCGCGATGGAGCAGACGGCCTCGCTGGTGTAGGTGTGCTTCGTCTCGCCGTAGAAGTTGGAGGTGGTCTTGTCGATGAAGGTGGCGGTTAGGGCTCGGACGAGGGGGTCGACCAGGAAGATCTCGCGCACGGTCGGGCTGCGGCCGGCCAGGTTGGTGCATCGTCGGGTTTCCGGGGGGAAGAGGTCGCCCTGAGGTCTTGTTAGATTAGAGCTTTTTTTTTGGAGTTGTTTTGGGATAGGATGAAGGTTGGAGGGTGGGTTGTGTGTTTACCTTCCATGGTTTATCGGCCTCCAGATATGGCTGCACTTCCGCGTTCGCCTTGTGAACGGTCGCTGCGTCGGTGAAGTTCTTGATCACACAACAACCATCTTGGATGATTGCTTGAATGATAGCATTCACCTCTGAGCGATCGATGCGTTGGACTTTGGGGATCTTGACAGCCATCGTGAATTGGTGATGAGGGTTGTTTGGTTAGAGAGTAAAGCCGCTCTCATAGCTCTCGAATGGGTATATAAGGCCATTTCTCGATCTCAATCAACTTCCTATCTCGATTGCGTTCAGTTGTTGTTGAATGCTTGTGGCATGTGGAGCCGTGGCTGGCTATCTTCCCCGCATCTGAAGTTGGAATCTGTGGCCGCGATAAGAGGCAATCACAGCCATCAGCCCCGCCGCCGACCAATCGTCACGGGGAGGATTATCAGCGTGTTTGGGTGCTTGCCGTTCCTCTTCTCAACATCATCCTCCAAATGGCTGTAATACAGGGCTCATGTCACAACTGTCGCGCTCGAAAGGTGCGATGCGACCGAAACACACCCCGGTGTTTCTCCTGTCAGATGCGGGGGGTTGATTGCCAGATACCGGCAGCTCCACCGCGGATACTCTGGCTGCGGCCGCGAAATGCTGCTCATGGAAAGGGTGACGTGGAGGAGTTGCATGCACGGCGACGGCCTCTTTTCACAGGTAAGCTGACCTGTTGGGTACCCCTGGCTAGATTATTACGGTGTGACAGGGTCTGAAATGTGTAGAATACCAACTCAGTTGCAATGCTGCCGATCTGGTATGCATCTTGGGAGACGTATCGATAGCTGCGGCCCTGATTGAGCTAGACCAGCAGGTTTCCAGCCTCCAAGGTAATGAAGTCACGTCCATTGGGCCTTTCCATGCATTTCGGTTCATGGACGACATCTCCTCGCCTCAACCTCACGCGCAGTCGGACACCAGTGCCTTTGCAGGCCTGAACCCGGCAACGTCAGAGGCAATGTATGGACTACGAGACGATCTAGTCTCAGTTCCCCAAGTTCTAGCACAGATCAATACCCTCGATTATACCCACTCAGCTTCGGACTCATCCCCATTCACATTCCCCTTGAATAAACCACTTGCGCGAAGAACACCAGAAGACCTGGTCGACTTCACGGCTCCCAACGCAAAACTCCTCCTGGATCACTACCGCCACACCATTATCAATTACCTGGCCCCAGCGCGTGTGAAGTTCAAGTCCCCCTGGGAGAAAGTCTACATTCCTAGCGTGCTCAGTGCTATCGGTGAGATCCTCCTCCAAGGGGACAGTAGCAACGCAAGAGTGTCCCTTCTCTTCTCGGTCCTTGCGATTAGTGCCTTTAGTCTAGACGGAAAGATGCTACTAGAAGATGAATGCGGCTACTATGCAAGCGCCCACCTCCTGGGAAAGATGTATCGTGCAAGAGCTACTGCACGCTTAAAGCAATCGCTGAGGGACCTGTCCGCGCGCGGTTCGAAGAAAGATAAGTATAAGGATATTCTCATGGCACTTTTGAGTATGGTGACTATATGTGTACGTTCTCAATACTGTGTGAATAGTCTGGCCTTGTGCCCCTAACTTTTATCCAGATAGTCAGCGGCGACATGAACAACGCAGCGCACTATTTGCGCGACATCGAGCAGATTATCCACCGGTACGGAACGCGCAAAGTCGCCCGATCGGCGAAAGTGCGCATGCTGCACAGCATCTACCTATACACGCGTGTTTTGACGGAGCGCTCGTGCTTCGACAAACCAGACTTGAATGCTACAGCGCGTGATGCTGAGAAGCCCTTCAGCTCCATCGCGCGCTCACTGCAGGTTTCCACGCTGGACTACATGGTGGGGCCTGCCTACGTACCTGCTGCAGGTGATTGGAACCGGGACCTGGAGGATCCTAATCCGGAGTTCCGGTCCCCTTTCGAGGACATCTACTCTCTACCGCAGTCGTTGTTTGAGCTCATCGCCACGACAACCCGATTAGCATCCAGTTTGAGAAGAACAACCATGCGCGAGTCTTCAGAGCCAACACACCATAGTGTGCTTATCGCGAGTATCAGAAACTTAGAGACTCGAATCTGCAGCTGGGAGTACGGCACAGAAGATATCAATAGTGCCACACCCAGGCCCCCGAGGGAGCGCTCCCCGTACCACCTCGTCCAGGCGGTCCATAAAGCCCTAATCATCCACTTCCACCGGGCCATCCGGAATGTCAACGCAGTCATCCTCCAACCGCATGTCCGCGACGTGATGCTGCATCTGATAGCATACGACGATTTCAGGCACAGGATCAATGACCAATCGGCAGATACCTGCTGGCCCGCGTTCATCGCTGGCTGTGAAGCGCTGGACCCTCGACTCCAGGGGAAGTTCGCCCAGTGGCTGCATATCGCAGCACAGACGACTGGGATCCGGATGTACACTGTAGCGCTTGAGGCAATGCGGCAGGTCTGGGATGCGCGGAGGCGTCCTGGAAGACAGGATGCGGCTTGGTCCCAGGTGCTGTTTAATTCCAGTGATCTGAGGGTGTTGGTGCTGAGCTGAGAGACTGAGGGAGCTTCTTGCATGACGAAAGTATCTTGATAAGCCCGTACTTTTGATTTGTTCTCATTGGTCGTATTCGATCAGCTTAGCGCGGAGGAACATCGACATCAAGGGACAGTGTGATCCATAGCGACTTGACTGGCCCCTAGGGCCGAGACAATCATCATATCTCCGCATTTCCCCTCACGATAAGCCAAACCCCCCCCTTGATTCTTATCAAGTGCGGGGAAATCTGCAATTGGCAAGCGACACCGAAATCTAGACGCTGATGGCCTCTAGGCTTCTGCCGCGATACGGGATCCTTGCTTCATCTAGATTGACCTGGTTCCGCTCATTATCCCTGGACTTGGTGGATAGTATATGAAGGGGTCAATGTCGGCATTCCGGGCTTCGGCTTCGGACGGCTGTCGGCGACACAAGCACCAAGATAGGGAAATATGGAGCACGACGCAAAACATGTTGGGGATGACAGTGTCGCTTTTGGTAAGCTTGAGGAGAAACGCCTGGATTTGGACCCTGCTCTTTCTATTGGCGAAGGTCAGGTTGACAACGAAGGAGCCAGCCATGGCAACCTCCATCGCACGTTAAGTCCACGGATGATCCACGTACGCATAGTATCCCCATCCTGAGTTTTCACAGATGAAGTGCTTCCTGCTGACCTCAAGAGCTGCATAGGTGATTTCCCTCGGCTCCAGCATCGGAAGCGGTCTCTTCATCGCGACGGGCAAAGCCCTGGCGGAGGGCGGCCCCGGCAACATGTTCCTGGGCTACCTCGTGGTCTGCCTTGGGGTCTGGGCAAATTTGCAGACGTTGACGGAGATGACGATCGCATTCCCGACCTCGGGGAATTATATTGACTATGCGGATCGGTGGGTGGACCCGGCGTTGGCATTTGGGGCCGGGTTCGCGGAGTGGCTGGGTGAGTTGTTGTCTTCGCTCTGACTTAGGGTATCGACATGAGCTGATTGTGTCGTTTCGCATAGGATGGACGTCGGTGTTTGCATCTGAGGGGACGTTTCTGGTTATCCTGGTGAATTTCTGGGCTGGAGGTGTGGTGCCGGAGGCTGCTTTGCGTGAGTTTGTCCCAGTCCTTGCCTTGGGGTTCTGCGTCTTCTTTGTTTGAATAATTCGCTTTTTTTTTGGAGAGAAGCGGGACTGATGACCATATGCACAGTCACCATCTTCCTGGTAATCTGTTTTGTGGTATTCCTCATGCCCACCAGCTTTTTCGGATGGCTTGAATACATCGGCTCCTTGGTCAAAGCCTTCCTCTTTGTCTTCATCACGATAATCTCGCTGGCCATCATTGGCGGCGCGGGTCCGACAGGATACGTACGAGATGGCAGCACCTGGATCGATCTGCCTGCCTTCAAGAACAGCTTTGGAGTACTCGATCCCCCCAAACTGTCTTTTTTCTTTTTTTCCTACTTGTCCCTAATCTATATCCTATAGGGCTTCTCTAATGCCGCATTGCTCGCCATTTGGGCGGTTGGTGATCAAGTCTTCATCGGGGTCATGGCCGGCGAGGCCGAGTCCCCACGCTACTCCATGGCGCACGCGTCCAACCTCATCCCTTGGCGCGTCGCCGTGTTCTATTTGCTGTCTGTCGTGCTGGTCTCCATGATCGTGCCGTCTACCGACTCCCGGCTGCTGGGTGGCTCGAGCGTGGCCTCGTCCCCGTTTGTCATCGCCGTCCAGGACGCCGGCATTCCGGGTGTCCCGGATCTAATCAATGCGTGCATGATCATCGGTATTCTGGCCATCGCACTGGAGTGTATCTTCCTGCCGTCGCGAATCCTCCGCACCATGTCTCTCCAGGGACTGCTGCCCGCGTTTGTGGCACGGGTGGATAGGAAGGGTCGGCCGAGGTGGGCGCTGGCCATCACTGCGATCGCGGGGGTGGCTCTGACGTACATGAGTCTGAGCGGTATGCCGTCCATGTTGTCTCTCTGCGCATCCTAATTGCATGCTGACTCTGTATATAGCCGGAGGTACGGAGGTGCTCAACTGGCTGATCGCCATCACTAGCGCGTCTTTCTTCATCAACTGGGCGATCATCGCCGTCACCTCATTTCGCTTCCGGGCTGCGATGCGAGCACAGCAGAGCACATTGTTCGAGACTCCTTATGCGTGGCAGTCGCTACTGTGGCCTCTCGCCCCTGTGACCAGTCTTGCAGTTTCGAGCGTTCTGCTAGTCTGTCTGCTTTTCACGAGCATTAAGCCAGTGGTGAGTTCTCGCTGTTATGTCCTTATCCTCGGAAGGGTGAAGCTTGTGAAGAGATGACCGCTGACACGGGCCTTAATGTCTATGTCACAATAGAGCGGAGGCAGCTTTACAGCGTACAGCTTCTTCTCAGCTACGATCGGACTGATCCTCATCGTGGTATCTACCATCGCCTACAAGATCCTCCGACGGACGCCCTGGAGGGACTCCGCGACGGCGGATCTGGTCACCGGCCGTCGGGAGCTAAGTACAGAGGAGTTGCGGATGTTGGATGCTTACTACGGACGACCGCTGTGGCGGAGAATGGGGACTTATCTGCGAGTTTGGTAAGGACAAGGACCGCAGGGTTTGGGGAGTGACTTCGTATGGGCGATGTTATAGTAGGCCCGGGTACCTGTGCAGCTACCTCGGCGATATGAGCCAATCATCTTCCCGCTCTGACGCCGAGAGTGAACATACCCTGTTCGCATGCAATGGGAACAACAGCCAGTTCTCTTTCAATGCCGATGACAGTGGATTCATTTTCTCTCTTGGGAGTAAGGATGCGTTATCATGCAGGCTTGATATCAGGTGTGATGTAGCCCTCTGAGGGGGAGTTGTCCCCGCATCTCATATCACTTATCATCAGAGTCCATTGTAAATACCAGACTCCCCCCAGAGATCTATTGAAGTAGTGTTAGAACAGCTCGACCAAGTCAACTGTTCATCCGAGACGAATACAGACGACTTGCTCAGTGAACATGGCAACTACCAATTCATTCCCAATGCTTCCCATCCACCTCATCTCCACCCACTGGCCATACCTCGGCGCAGGCCTGCTCCTACTAGTTACACTGCATCTCATTCAGAGACGAAGGCCAACCACAGCTCATAATGACTTCAAGACGAACCCTCCAGTATCTCAAATTGACCCCCTCGTCAACTTCGACTGGACCAAAACCGAACCCCTCGTCCTCCGACCGTTTAAACCCCGCTACCACATCACGATGGGTACACTCCCGTTCCCCAATCGCTCTCCCTCCCCCTCCATCCCAGGCAATCGTTAACCCAAGAAAAGGAATCGAAAGCACCACCCTCTCCGAGATCGTCCAAATTGACAAACACTACCTCGCCCGCATCCAGCTCCGCACCGCCCTCATCCAGCACAAAAGACCCGCCGTGCTGGGCACCACTCCGCGCGCCGTCCCCGCCGTTCGCGAGCTCTACACCTTTTTGGTGAACGACTACCTCCCGCAGCGGTACGGGGCGATCTTCCACCGCCACCCAACAGCAGGGGTAATCAACACCATCACAGGAGAGATGATCTCCTGCACCCCACCCGCCGACCCCGAAGAAGCCCTGGCGATCATCGGCCGCCAAGTCGAAGAGGACTTTCTGCTTCTCCTCCCCCCACCTACCACCTCCACAGCAGAAGCAGGACTGGAGACCAAAGCAGAGGAGACGAAGCAAATGTCGCTCGAAGCGTTCATCGGCTGCTTTCCGAACGGCTTCAGCTGGGCGGACAAGTTCGCTAAGTCGCTGGCGGCGATCCACGTTCCCGTGCCGGATTACACGGCCAAGTTGAGGGGCAGTATGGATCGGTATCTGGGGCGGTTGAGGGTGGGGACGGTTGTCAAGAGGGCGAATGTATAGTTCTCTTCCTGCCTTGACTCTTCTATCTGTGGTATGGTGATGATGTGTGCTAACTTTCACGCCGCTGTAGTGGACCGTGTCCGTGGACGGGGAGCTGCATGCCCCCGACAGTATGCATTTGTATGAAGGGGAGACGGTGGAGGAGATAGAGGTGTTGGATCTGGCCAAGGTTTGTCTTTCTGCGCTTCGCCTCAGCAGTTTTGACGGGGGTGGATTTCCTCGAGTTTTGGGAAAAGCGTGGCTGATGGGGGATAATGCACAGGCCCGGTTACGATGTGAGCGACAGGTACTCTTCCGATTGCCCAACTCTAACGCGGTGGTGTTTGTGGTCCGCACGTATATGTACCCATTGCAGGAGATCAAGGAGGAAGGCAACGGGCCGCGGATGGCGGAGGCCATCGCTGGGCTGAAGGCAGGGAGCTCGCCGGGGTTTCATTTCTACAAGCGCGCGGCCGTCTGGCAGAGGGTGGTAAGTGAGTTTTTGGTTGGGAAGGGGGAAAGGGGTGCAGAGTAGGATATTTACCATGTTTGCGAGTGCTGTATACGGGTCTGCTGAACTGCTTGCCAATTCCATCCTTTATGCGAACATACAAAGGTTCTACTGGGGAAAGAGATCCGTCAAATATCGCAGAGAGAGATCTGAACGTGGTCACGAGACTCTATCTACCCTAACGCAGTAACCAAAACCTCAACCCATCACCTCCTTACCTATCCAACCCCCCCACAAACCCCCCAATAATGTCAACCAGCCCGTCGATCCAACTCAAATGCGGCGAATGATCCGTCCCCGCCCGATACACCACCACCTCACCCCTCCCCTCCCCGCGCAACCGCGCATTCAGCGCCTGCACCATCCCCTCCTGATACGCCGCCGCCAGAGACCGATCCTCTTCCAGCACCAGATACCCGCACGGCAGCGCGGCGTACGCATCGTTCGTCAACACCCCCGTCATGATCGGCGCCGCCGTGAGCGAGGCCGCCCACTTCTGCCCCTCCTCGCGCGGCAGCTGGCCGAACATGTACGTGGCGGCATTGACGGTGCTGAGCAGACCTTTAGGGCCGCGTGTCTTGTTTCCTCAACCCTTAACATTCTTTCCCAAACATAGGATAAAGAGGCGGGGGAACACACGTGAGCTTTACAAAAAGGCGGGACGACGAAACTTCCGTCCTCGGGCTGGAAGTAGCTTGTTACGGATTCGCCGACGGGGACGAGGAAGGCCCCGTAGTAGAAGATTCCGAGGATGCCGGCGGATGTCTTGGTGGATGGGGATGGTCGTGGGTGGTACTTTGGGGTGGCGGCCTGCGTGGCGACCCACCCGCCGGAGGAGTGCGCGACGAGCAAGACTTGTTTGTTCTCTTGGACAATGAGTCGGTCGAGGAGGGTCTGGATGACGGCGACGTCGGCTGCGTCGCTTGGGTAGCCGGTTGGCGGTGGGGGGCGGTCGAAGTCCGGGTTGCCCGTGTCGCCGACGTTGAGTTGGGTGAGGTCGCTGGTTGGGCGTTGCGGGCAGTGGACCTCGTAGCCTTGGGAGGTGAGGTGGTTGAGAAAGGGGGTGTAGGGGGTGGGAGTGTGGTAGCTGCCGTGGCAGATTATGATGGTGGGGAGGGGGGTACGTTGCATTGTGAAGTGGTAAGGTTTTTGAGGATTTGCGAGTCGAGTGGTGAAGTTCTCAGGGTTCGGAAGAGAGGCTTATGTAGGTGTCGGCGGTGGTTAGATGCCGCTGCTGATTGTTTTCACTAACTAGATATTTTCTGAAGTCAACAGTGCTATGGCGTGTCTAAAGTCCGATGGATCCACATTACATTTTACCACATTGGTCAGTTCGGCAGTGGTATAGATTTCGTACTAGTGCTGATTGTCAACCACTGCATGTGGAGAGTCTATTCAACCCGACGTCATAAGTATACAAGACTGCTGTTTACACTCGGTCTCGGACAAATCGTCTGTTATCCCGCGCTGACCATCGTTTCTTCCACATATAGCTGAAAGACAATGAATCTCTACCTACTAGGTATTTCTGACATGTTGCCGCAAAGAGCCGATACACCGGGTTGTGCCTGCCGGAGACGTTGGAGCGTTGGGGGGAGGGCACTAGAGATGCCTGAGATAGGATTTCAAGTAAGGGAGACGGTAAAAGTGCTGGAGGTAGAGTCTGGAGACTTGAAAGGGATGTGTCCAGGTTTTGTTGAAAGTGGATAGGTAGGTGAGTTGGATTGATGATGCTGCAATCACGGGCAAGGGCTTAGGGTGAGATGAGATTGCCATAATGAGGGTAGGTAGAAAGAGTAAACGGACTTGGGGCTCAGGACAGACTACATCAGTATTTGTATTGCTAGATTTACAGGCACAAGACTCCATGTCAGACACATGTAATATTTGTTACAATATTGACAAAAAAGTCTGGGGAGACAATCATAAATAGAGACAACAAGGTATTACCTCTAGATAGCAAATCCAACTTTTTTTTTCAAACTCATACAAGGATCATACTTTTCGTTACGTAGAGACACTATCTGTTTAAAAAATACGTAACACCAACAAAGTGATGCAAAAAAAAAAAGCGAACATCGAGAGATCATAATAATAGATCATCATCAATCAAACAATTAAAACAAATACCACGCATTAAGCATATCTTACAGTCCACAAGGAACCATACAGACGACGAACGATGCCACTACTTCAAGAACCTTTAAAAGGCCCAGCAGCAGCAGCAGCAGCAGCACCCCCACCGCCAACTAGCGCGGTTCAACATCACGCAAAACATAAATTCTCCTCCTCGTCAAACATGCTCGCGACCGCCAGCGGCAGCGCCGGGAGCTCCTCGGGCTCGACTGAGAGTGGCACAGAGTCTTTCTCCTCGAAGTCGTCCGGCAGCATGTACTCCCGCGCGATGGTCTCGTAGATGCGGCCCGTGACGATCCCCATCAGATTCAGCCGGCCGATTACCGCCAGAACGCGGATGACGCTGTTCCGCTGCATGAGAGTTGGGTTCAGCAGGACCTGTCGGATGTGGGCCACGAGAATGGTCAGCCGGCTTTCGGGCAGTCGGTCGACGAGCACCAGCTCCGCCTCGAGGTTGCGCTCCAGCCCTGTGCGGAAGAACCGCTGCGTGAAGCCCCGCCCGCCGGAGGGGCGGAGCAAGGCGCCTGCCCCGCGCTGCTGCAGGCCCAGGGCCCAGTTGTCCCCGCGCCATTTGACGATGAACAATGCGATGTCGTTGCTTGCCAACTCTTCTTGTTGTTCGTCGTTGGGGCTGGCGATATCGGCCGTGTTCTGGACAGGGCGGTCCTCCACTTCGATGGCTTGGTTTGCCATGGTTGCTCCAGTAGCTAACGTGAGGTGGGCCTTGGGCTGTGGGTGCTAATGTGAGATAATGGAAATACTGCCATGGCTGCTATATAAAGGTTTCCGTTTGTCTTGTAGTGTATAAGAGGCATTCCGAATGCAGGGTAATCTACGTTTTGTTGATAATGCCATGTTCAGCTTCTGATAGAAGGTGTAACAGTCAAGGATTATTCAAACAAAGCAGATCAAAGGCCCTATGAACATGAGATCAGGCTCGCTTGGAAGTACATTTTGATAAAGAATGTACTAGGCTTACGGCAGACAATCCTTTATATCACTTCTTGGAGATTGGTGGCACTTTCCTCTCTGGAGCAGCAAAAAGAAGGTCAAAAGGTCTCACTTTCTTCTCAAAAATACAAAGCGTACGTAAGGCACGTAATAGAGACCATGACTCAGTCTGCAGCCCGGAAGTCACTCTATAGATGATAGAACTGAATTCTTGTAAGAAAGGATCGTTCCGAACAACCCGGGCTTGCGTCTGGGATGACCCGCAAGGCCCGTTTCCCCTAGTGGATATCAACATTATGACTATGTACAGTACATGATAGAAATATTATAGAAATATATGATCCCGCTCCAGTCCCCTCAAGGTACAAAGCTGGTTGTCCTGTTGAGGCCTGAGTCACCCTACTCCTGGTCCTATCCTTGATGAAATTGCCTAACTTTTCCGCAGACACTGCGGTTGCCGTTATACACAGGCCCTGACAACTCTACTCATCAGCCTGAATCCCACACTCAAACCCAAAAAAACAGACGACCTTACCATTTCACCCACATAGTATCCCAGGTTAACACCTCAAAGTAACAACCCCACAACAACAGGCGCCACCCCCCAAAGCGCCGTGCGCGCGCCCAGCAATCGTCCGGCCCCGTTGTGCTCCACGGCAAAGGCGTCCGGGTCGTCCGTGTTGCAGTGGCCCTCGGTCTCGGTTGAGCTCAGCGTGCAGTTGGCGGTGCGGCCATCGGCGCTCTCGAAGGTCAGCACGGCACTGTACCAATCCACCGTGACCGAGGCGTCGCCGCAGATGGACTTGGTCTCGACGCCTTTGTTGCGGCCGCACGACTTCTTGAACGGCTTCGACGAGCCCTTGCAGCCGAACAGCTCGTCCTCGAGGATCACCGAGCAGTGCGAGACGTACGAGTTGGCCGGTGGGTTGGTCGTCCGGATCTTGATCTCCGTCGCGGTGAGGGTCTGCGCGAGGGCGAGGAGGGCGCCGAGCTTGAGGAGGAGCATGGTGTTCGACTGAGGGCTTGAGGGGATTGGAGTGGGAATTGCCGGGTAAGAAGCCAGAGGAGGGGAGTGGGAGGGAATGTTCAGGCTGAAAATTGTGGTTTATATGCTTTCTGGTCTACTACGGGCAATTCTCGGCTATCCCGGCACGGGGAGTCCGGTGCTCGGGCTCCTGAAGGATTTTGGTGTAGACAGACAACCAGTCATGATGAGGCTTATCGGGCGTTGGAAAGCTCCACTGTAGTGTCTACTAGTACTGTTTGAAAAGTCTGGCGATGGTCTTTAGGCCATGTACAGTACAGTTTAGACTGTTGACATTTGGTACTGTCCTGTGTACTTCCAGAGCATCCGTGCCGGCGATCCGCATCGGGCTTGGCAGGGTGCGGCTTGGCCGACAGGGTCTTCTTCCCGACCAGAAGTAAATAGCCATTGCTGCAGGGAGAGCACATTCACGACGCAAGAATGCGAAATAAATGAGTTGTTGGACTAATGTAAATGTTCAAGGGTTTTATTCCTCTTGTTTGTCTGAATACGGAATAAGATACAGCGAAGGAAAAGGGTTTCTCTCCCTCAGACCACAAGCTCGTCTAGGGCTCCGAGACTTCCGGGCAGGGGTCCACTCCCTTCGACTGATGTCCATTGAAGAAGTTGTTCCTGGACCAGAATGAGAAGAATGACCTACAAAAAAGGCTAACCGGAATCTCATAGTCTGGGTCACATGGCTTCATAGAGTCTAGATAAGCATAGGTAAGTGGTAGAATTAAATCCCGCAAAAGGACGAGTCATTGGCAAATTGGCAGTTGTCATTGGTGCTAGAAGCTACTCGGGCAAGGTCACGAGCATCGAGCCGTGCCTGAGGCCTGTATATGGGTAAACACACTTTCCTCAAGTAAATGTATCATCCTGAACAAACTCACAGATACTCTGCAAGTGTAATCCAGAAGACCTCTACAGTATCCAGCAATCAACCTACGATCACGCGAGAGGTGAGCGCAAAGCAGACCACGCAATCAAGCGGTGCTGCTGATCTACCTAACATCACCTCAGCTCTCACCCTCAACAAAATGAAACCCCGATGATAAGGTCCGGTATCCTCTACATCATCACCACCCCACAATTCTCACAACACCCACTCTCATCCTCACTCTCCGAGTCCGACTCAAAATAACTCTCCTCGGAATCACCCACCGAGCCCCGCGACTCACTCAACGTCCGCCCCAGCGAACGCAGCAACTCCTCCACCCGGCCCCGGTCCTGCACCAGACACAGCACCTTACAAAGGCCCCGCCGGCATCCATCCTCCGCCTTCAGGTTCTGGAACCACACGTGGCCCCCAACCGCAATCCCCAGCACAAACTCCGGCAGCAGCGCGGAGTCCCCCACCACCAGCTGCTGCTGGAGGAGGGTCAGCTTCCGCTGCCGGAGCTCGCGCAGCTGCAGCTCTGGACTGGCCGCCTGTGCGGCGGTGGCGTCGTGGCAGATGATCTGGACGAAGGCGATGTTGTCCTTCCCGTTCTTGAGGCGGGGGTCCACGAGGTCGATGATCTCGTAGGGGAGGGGGATTTTTGTTGCGGACTCGAAAAATCGGCGGGTGAGGAGGCGGTAGTTCTGGGTCTGGCTGTCGCTGCTGCGGGGCAAGACCAACGCGCGGCCGAGGATCTGCGCCCAGAGTTTGGCGGTCTCGCGGGCGGTCGTGTGGTTGTTGGACTGGATGGCTTCGAGGTAGGTCCGGATGTGCTCGTCGGCCCAGTAGGACCATGCGCGCTTGGCGGGGTCGGTGGTTTTGTCTTGGGGAGGTAGGGTTAGTTCGATTGTTTGGGTGGTGAAGCTTTGGGTTTCTGGGGAAGGGGTGGCCATTTTGATGGGGGGGGGGGGGGGGGGGGGGGGGTTTCTTGTTGGGTGAGGGACCTTAAGGCAGGGGGGTGGTTCTGGGGATAAGCTCTGCTGGTTTGAGGCTTGAGGATGCTGTAGCGCATGATGGTGGGCATTGCAAATGGGAGTATTTATATCTACATGATAGGGAAGGTGAGATTCAAGAGAACGGAGTGCGTAGAAAGAGCATTGGTGTAGCTTTTCTGCACACTGTGAAAGAAGGTTGAGGCAGGTAGATATGGTTATTATGGTTATACAACTGCTAAGGGCAGTAGAGTGAGGATCGTCTTGCAAGTTTGTTTATACTAGGTACCGCATTGTGAGTAGTGCTGTATCTTTCTAGAGAAGAAAAAAACGCGGGCAAAAAGCTCAAATGTTGAGTGGCATGCTTTTGAGGTGTGCCTTTGTCACTTTCCTTTGTTCGCTCTGTCTTGGTATAGCTCTTTGTTTTTGAATGTTGCTGTACCCGACTTGGCTTCATTCGCATTCTTGGATAGGGGCTACAGCAGGCTGACCAATCATTGGCATACCTTGACAACCTCTTAGGGCTCATGAAGGATATGGCTAGGCTTCCGTAGATGGGGCATAAATAAGCAATTGCTTAGTTTGAATTAGGGCCTTGGCTTTATGCCGAAATCGCACAGTGCCCTTGAAGAGATATGTCCGGTGCCAGGTTCCGCATAGCAGCTGAGATCAACGAATGCAGCGATTTCGTTGTTCCTGCAATATAAATCCTTTCATATACAAAGCGATGTGAGATAACTTATGATATGTACTTACTGCAAGGGCTGAGCTGGAATACATACAGCATAGCTAGAAGATCTCAACCCTTGGCCTTTTGTCCTCCAGCAAAGAGGTAAATTAAGAATAAATATGCTTTTGTGTTGGGTCGAGTAAGTCACTAAATCGCAAATTGCTGCTAGATCGCAAGGAGGTTACTGCATTGGTACCGTCTGTGGCCGCCAACTCTACCACCCTCGAAGCTTCAAAGCCGGGATTGAGTGTTGAGGAACCTGCTGATATAGATAGTGAGCTTGACACAAGGTCAATATTTTCAGAATGGGCTTGAGATAAGATGATGTTTTTGAAAGTGAGCTAAGATGACATCAACTAGCATCATTGGTCTAGTGGTAGAATTCATCGTTGCCATCGATGAGGCCCGTGTTCGATTCACGGATGATGCAATATTCTTTTCCCCTTTCTTTTTCCCCCCCATCCACCCGATCATCTCCGTCTATTTTGCCCCCCTCCACATATGCGTCTCTTTCCTTATCGACGTTCATACTGATTTCCTTTTTTTTTTTTTTTTTTTTATATTCTATATTGTCATCGATGGACACCTCGGTTTCTTTCTTATAATATCACCCCACCGCGAACCCTGGGACACATTCTCGTACCCTCAAATAGTATCCGCAAACACCCAATTCGTATCTCCCGAGAGATCCCACATATTTACCAGCTCGCTTGGCAGTTGAGAGAAATCGAATTCCTCCAGCGACGGTACGATACCGGAGGGCATACCTGGTGCGAACATAGCGTGGAGCTGGCCTACGGGATAACCCAGCATGTCGTTCTCCTGGTCCGGCTCTTTCACCGTATCTGCGACACTATCAGTGCTACCCGATATAGTTACAGTCCCTGGTGTAATTTAACGTACCTGAGCCCCCAAAGCCCACAGACCAATTAACTCCACTGCTAGCTCCTGCCACAACGTGCTCGCCCGAGCTATCCACCTTCCGCACCATGACGCTAATCGCCAGCCAGGCCTGCCTCGCCTCCGCCGACTCCCCCTGATACTGACTCAGGATCCCCTGCGAAGTGCGTAACGCGAGCAGCAGCGCCTCCGTCCCCGGGTCGTAAGCATGCAAGCCACCCCCACCCTCCCGCCTCCGCAAATGCAGCTCGAAACACACCACCATGGCAGCGAAGATAAAATCATGAGTCGTCAACGAGGTCACGAACCAGCGACACCGCGCCAGCACTCCGCCCGGCTGAACCTGCGCGTCGATCGTCGCCTGATGCCGCAGCAACCGCATCGCGGCGTCCAGACAAACCCCCCTCGACGCGGCCCCTCGGGAATCTGAGAAGCGGCCCTCGCCGAGTCCTCGCCGATGCAGAATACACCGCGACTTCTGGTAGAGGATCTCGAGGTTATAGCGCAGCATCACGAGATGCGGCAGCTCCGTGACCGAGGCGCCGACCTCGCGGAATTGCAGCACCGCCGGCGTCCCCGCGTTGGCGGCATCGAGCTGCTGGTCCAGTTGACTTACCTGACTGAGGGATGTGGGGTGTGTCGAGGCGACGTGATCCGCAATGCGGCCGAACACCTCCGCCAGCCGGCTCTTGGCGATAAGATACAGGACCGGCGTGAATTCGGTCTCTGGGCGGGGCGGCGGGAGACTGGTGGAGGCTGGACCGAAGTCCTCATCCAGCAGGTTGTGCGGGGGCCGGGTGTCGGCCACCCCGCTGGCGATCATGCGCGGCAGTCCGATCTGGAACGAGAAGAGCGCGTCGAGCTGCGCCATGAGCGACCACAGGCGCCGACGCATTTCGGCCTCGAAGCAGGAGAGTCGTGGGGAGTACCCTGCCCCGTCACGGTGGAGCCCGGCCCGCATCGCGAGGCGGATGGTCATTCCCATCAAGAGCCAGACTTCGTGCTGTGCGTCTTTGCTTCGGAAGTACTCGGTTTGTGTGTACAGGGCGAGCGCTTCCAGGGTGTATTTGGTTGGGGTGGTGTATTTGGCGGTGACAAGGCAGTAGGCGGCCTGCAGGCGGAAGGTCTCGCATTGGGTTGTGGGGGTGGTGCTGTTGTTGTTGTTGTTGTTGTTGTTGTTGTTGTTGTTGTTGTTGTTGTTGTTGTTGTTGTTGTTGTTGTTGTTGTTGTTGTTGTCGATGGGGTCCGGGGTGGTGGCGCCTTCGGTACGCTGGTGCAGGTGGATCGCGAGGTTCATTATGCTGAAGAGGAGGCTGAGCCATGTGGGGCTGATGGACTGGGGTTCGGTCCAGAAGTGGTCATACTGGGCTTTTGTCAGTGGGTACGATAAGCACGAGTTGTGGTGGTGGGTGAGGAACCTCGTGCTGAAAGGTAGGCGCGTGGATGATCACTAGCGGGGTGAGATTAGTTGACTTGCTAGTATATTGAGGCTGAGTAAACTCACGAACACCTGGTTCCATTGAACTAAAGAACCGCGATACTAAACGGTCAACGACGGGTCGTGCTGGGATATGAGCCAGGATCCCCTCCATTCCACCGGGTGGAGACAGCCCCAGTAGCAACGCGGAACCTTGCTGAACGGCCTCTGCATCAGGCGTAGTGTAAGGTGACTCAGAGTCAACGCACTCCTTGATCTCAGCAATCTGTTCATGTAAAGTAAATGGACAAGTTAATAGTGTCGAGACTCCAGGACTACATGTGTCTGCAACATACACTATCCTGAAGAGCGGCCCAGTGCGCACCCGAAACATAGCTCATACCCGTCGGATCCACACGCATGCTTCCCAACGAGCTGGTGATTGCATCTTGCTCATCTGCATGGCCAATCTGGCTCTCCTGCGCCGTGTGCAGGGGGTTACCCTCATGGCTCGAGCGCTCACCCTTCTGCAAGACCGTCACAAGCTCCTCGAGTTGCCGAATGCGTTGACCCAAGTGCCGCGCTGACGCAGGAGGATTGCGACGTGAAGCCGCCAAAGCGGGCCCTGCATAGACACATTCTAGACCACGCTTGACACAGCTGCTACATGGTTGGAGACGATCACATCGCAGTCTTGCATAGGTCAGTACCCGGGGGCGTTTCGGGAGATCGAGGGTAGTTACTTTTTCTGACGACAAAAGGTACAAGATAGAGCTGTTCTTACTGGAGGCTGCAGCGATGCCATCAGTCTGTAGTTCGGTTCCCATCCAGTGAAATCCAGCGAAGACCCAGTCGCGTTATGGCTTGTTTGGCGTGAACGATCAATGTGCGGGTGCGGGGTTGTCAGCCGCCGCTTATGTCAGCCCCACACCCTCCATGTTCCACCTGAGGCTTGTTTCGATGCTCTTCTCGATGCCAATGTCGAATGGCTGTCTTATCCGTACCGTTGTCAATGTTCTAATGCGATAAAAAAAAGACCAAGCGGTCACGCTCCCAAGCCCTACTGGATGTTTGCTCCACCCCTGAATCCCAATCCGTTGCGTACTTGAATCATTGCCTAATCCTGGAGATATGCTACCAGCCAGGTTGGCATGACTTTGTTTCCAAGAGACCCCAAGACTCTCGACCAAACCAAGTGTAGATCCGTCGATCCACAATTTCTGACCTGCAAGCTAGAAGTAGCTCCTGAGTTCTCTCAGAGGATGTGTGCTTCCTCGGCGCCAGCTGAGCATCTCCGGACTTCCCGTCCAGGCTTAGCGCCGGCCCGGAGATGTTAGCGCCGGAAGCAGACCCGCCCCGTCGCATCGGGCCCGGACCCCATGCTCCGGGGTCGTTGCTCTCAAGGAGCATAGTATAAATCTCAAACCAACGCAGAACGCATCCACTACCTCCCATTGCCCCAAAGCCACAACCCTTATTACGACAATCTCCCAAGCAAGACCAAAAAAATGATAGCCCTCCGACAGATCTTCCCCCCAGCCCCAACCTTCACCGACCAAACTATCCCCGACCTCACCGGCAAAACTATCATCATCACCGGCGGCACCTCGGGCGTGGGCTACCACGCCGCCAGCCTCCTGTACGCCAAGCACGCGACCGTTTACATCGCCGCGCGCTCCGCCGACAAGGCCCAGACCGCGATCACCACCATTCAGTCCGCCCCGGAGTGCACGCACAGCCGGGGCCGGCTCGCCTTCCTCGCGTTGGATCTCTCCGAGCTGCGCAGTATCAAGCGCAGCGTTGAGGAATTCCTACGACTAGAAAACAGGCTGGATATTTTGGTGCATAATGCTGGGGTTATGACGCCGCCGGCGGGGAGTAAGACTAGTCTTGTACGTTGCAACTCGTCCAGATGTTCTTTCTCAACGGCAAGGATGGTGTACTGATGTGATGGGGATTGGGGAAGGGCCACGACCTCGAAATGAGCACGAACTGCCTCGGTCCGTTTCTTTTGAATCAGCTCCTCCTTCCGACTTTGCAGCGCACGGCTGCTTCCGCTGAGCCGGAGAGTGTGCGCGTCGTCTGGGTCGCTTCGTTGCTCTCTGCGTTCGTCGCGCATGGGGGCATCGTCTTCGATGAGCAGACTGGCGGGCCCACGGTGCTCAAGAATGCGATGGAGAATTACATGCAGAGTAAAGTCGGGAATGTGTTCCTGGCAAGTGAGATGGCGAGGCGGTTTGGTGGGGATGGGGTGATGAGCCTGGTTCGTTGCCCTCCTGTCCTTTCCATTTTTCTTTTTCTTCCCGGCTGGGGACACAAAGAAGCTTGTACTGATTAGCACGGTAGAGCGTTAATCCTGGACTCATGAAGACGGAGCTCCAGCGGCATAATTCGCCGGCGCAGGGGAAGATAATGGTTCGTCTTACTCCAACCTTGCCCTATGGTGATAAAGTGGGATGCGTGCTGACTGTAGCAGGGGATCTTGTTCAAAGGCCCGCGGTATGGGGCGTACAGTGAGCTGTTTGCTGCTCTATCACCGGAGGTCACCCCCGAGAGGAACGGGGCGTTTGTTATCCCCTGGGGTAGGTTCGGGACGGTGCCGTGTCATATTGAGAAGGGTTTGGCCAGTGAGAGGAATGGGGGCACGGGGGCGGCGGAGAGGTTCTGGCGATGGTGTGAGCGGGAGACGGCTGCTTTTCGATGAGAAGCTTGCAGCTATTGATTGGACCTATTTGGTATACCCTACTTGTATCTTAATTCATTAGTGAATGTGTCTGTGTCAGCTACCATTTTATATCGAACACTGTTTATGTACGTACTACATAGTATAAGAGAAGGCAAGACTTGGCAATCGTTATCGCCCGATAAGCGCGGCAGTTCCACGCATGCATCCGGCTAGCCTCGAAGTCTAACAAGTGGGGCCCCACATGCGGACGGACCACGTTGCACGGAAAGGGGAGAGAACAAGCATCCTATAGTTAGTAACTTGGACCTGGTGAAGGCCCTGTGGGCCGAGACTTATTGACATATAAGAACCCCAGCAAGGCCCACAACAAATCTCCCAGCACCCGGATCAAACCTCAGACACTTCAAATCTTCAGATCACCCGCAATGGACACATCAGACTACGAAACCGAAAAGGCCAAGATGCTCCGCGGCGAGCTCTACCGCGCCTTCACCCCGGGCCTGATCGCCGCTCGCCACCGCTGCAAAGTCGCCGTGCATGCATTCAATAACGCCGGGATCGTCTCGCGACGGCGGCAGGTTGAACTCTGGAGAGCGTAAGTCTTCTATATGCCCCACAGCGTCTTGTCGAGAAAATCCGTTAAGTCTTTGAAAAGAATAGTGGAGGACGCCCGCCCCCTCCCACCGCCGGCCCCCACTTTAGAAGAAGATGAGGCGCTCTTCGAGCACGACCCATGGGTAGAAAGCCCCATCCGCATGGACTATGGGTTTAATGTAAGCGTCGGCGCGGGCACGTTTATCAACTTCAACTGCACAATCATCGACACCTGCCGCGTAGTGATCGGGGAGAGGTGTCTGTTTGGCCCGAATGTAAGTCTCTACACGGGACTGCATCCGCTCGATGGTGAGGTGCGGAAGGGCACGGCCGGGCCGGAGTGGGGTAAGGAGATTCATATCGGCGATGATTGCTGGTTGGCCGGGGATGTGAAGATTCTGGCTGGGGTGACGGTCGGAAAGGGGTCGACGGTTGGGGCGGGGAGTGTGGTTACTAAAGTAAGTTATTGTTGTTCTATCACAGTAGGGGAAGCTGGGTTGCTGATAACTGCTATAGGACGTCCCGCCGTATTGTGTGGTGGTCGGGAATCCGGCACGAGTATTAAGGTATCTCAAGGGGAGTCCGCATTATAAGGAGGAAGGAACGTCGGGTTGATGCATTTGATCGAGGTATACAATAGAACCAAAGGGTTAGAGCCTGATCTTAGTTAGTATGTTGGAAGCGGAGAAGTAGATATTATCTATCGGTTAGTGATGGACAGCAAGCGCATAGAGATTGCATCTCTTTCACGTAGTGATATGATGTAGTATGATTTTCTGTTCACAATTTAGGTGATTAATAACACAATAACACAGCAGAAAATAGCATAAACAGTGTTCAAGCAGCATCTGTTCATAGAACTATCAACAGATCGAACAGGGATTGTTGGACTGAACACGAGAATCAAAAAATTGGAAAGTAAATACGTGCTTTCTTGATCGTTTGCTTGATCGTGTAACCTTGTCATCAAGTCCAATCACGATTGACCAGACGGATCAGGCCAGCAACCGTTGCGAAGCTCGAGTGGGTCCGAACCCGCCCATCCAGAGCAGTATGTCCACGGTTGCATATTGTCTAGGCATTCGAGTCGATACGAAACATCCTGTCTCTCGGCGTCCGGGGGCGAGCGGTAGTACTGAATGACAGGATCGTTCCGACAAGAGACCCATTGCTCGACACATCGAGTCCTGGCGCCCCCGCCGGCGTTTTGCACGGCCCTATGAGACTGCAGGTGCTCCACAAGGACGTGGAAGCTGTCTTTGACGGGAAAGACGAGCCCATACAACAAAGAAATGAGAGGAAACCCGCTCTGTCGGCCTGTTGGACCCACAATCCAAGTCAGATGGACTCGCGCCGCCCCACCGCACAAGACGTACCACTCCTGGTAGACGGGGTAGGACACGAGCCCGTGGCCCGCGACCATCATGGCGTCGCCCATGGGGACTCGGTTTGACCGGATGATTCCGTCTCGGTTAAAATCGGCCCAGTATGAGTTGATGCGGATATCCCTTTTCAGGTATTTCAGGGCCAGATACACCCATGCGTCCGAGAGCCGCACCCCGGCCGGCGGCCAGCCGTGCACGTTCGGGTCCCAGACGCCCCGGACCAAGGGCCAGTTCGCCCAGTCGGCAGCGGTGGGGATCATTCCTGACTGCCGGGCTGGTGGTGGCGGAGGGTTGGGGTCTCCCAGTGTCCAATATGTTGTCGGTTCCTGGTGGTCGGCAAGAACTGCTCTGCAGCGGATCCGCATGCCTTCGAGCTCCTCCCAGTACTTTCGCGACGGTTCGAAGAATCGACCCTTGTCCAAGTCCACGACCATGGTTTCGGTTAGGAGTGACTATTTAGGGTCGTTTGAGCAGTGTCGGTTTGAGAGTGTCAGCTCAGTTGATTAGAGTAGACAGCGTGATTCCAAGAAGTACTCACCTCGATCTACCGTGGGGATAGTAGGACTTTGAGAATTATTTGGGTGGTCTTTTATAACCAGCCATTGTCAACAAAGGTCAAAGAAGGTGGATTCGGCAGAGGAGGTCTTCAGCTGTAGACAAACATGGAAGTAGGCTCACCAAGACGAGAAAACCTTTGTTAAACAACTGCAATTCTTCAGTAACACTAGAGCTTCGCTTCAGATCAAGTATCACGTCTGAATCTCTCCACAACGAAGAACATACCACAGTTTACTTTGATAGCTCCTGGACCAGTGTGCGCCACTTCGTGCTTTTGAGTACATCAAGAGTTCAATATCGAAGTATCTCGGTGATCGGTGATAGATGGAAGTTGTTACACTTAAGGATAAGTTAGGAAAAGACAGGAGGAACGTTAACAGAGTTGATAGCGTGTGTGGACTATCGCTTATAAATGGTGGTTGAAGATTTTGGCAGCTTCTGATCACATTCACTGTTAACCCTCTATGGCTGAAACATCAAGCTACGGTACTTCTTTAGTAATTCGGTCACTGGGTGATAGATAGAGAACGAGAAGGCAGAAACTGATTTCAAACTATCAAGACACCTAGAGTCTCAGGGTAGTAATTGATAAACAAGGCGGCAGAATGTTCCAACTCAAATGTGCCATCAATGGAGCTTGGTGGTACAAATCATCAAATATTTTATGGTAAGTTTATAAGTGTATGCTTCCTAAGGACTTGATCTGATTGATAGTATACATTAGATCCTCACGTATAGCACAACTGATGTTCATTGCTGGTGACAATACAGCTTAATCTGTAGAGAGTCGATGCATGGATTGGAGCTATGATTACCAACTATTGACTACATGAGGCAGGATTCAAGCCCACTTCACAGCGTGTTGCATAGGAGATAATTCCCTTAAATAGGGGAAATTCAGAATGCTCCCCAGGGCTAATGAGACAGCAATGCAGTAGTGAGTGCATAATCCGATGAATAAGCATGCACAAGCATAAGTCTCCGTATGGAAAGTCTTCTGTTCGGCTAGACTCTCTCCCTCTTTCTTCCCTGATCCACAGTTCATCTATTCAACAAGCATCAACAAAAGTACTATGTTGGCTAGACTTCAGACCCTGAAGTAGTACCAACGCTTGATGATGAGGTGTGCTACAAAGCACGGCGAAATAATCCGTCCCATTCCAACAACAACTAGCCAGCTATGGAGTCCGACACGTTGCCTCTTCAGCGCAAGAAGAGGCAATCCCAACGATCCACGACCGGGTGTATCATGTGCCGGACCCGCAAGAAGAAATGTGACGAGCTGCATCCCATCTGTACTGGCTGCCAGCGCAACGGGTTAATATGCGAATGGCCCTCCGCGGAGCGACCGCAACGCAGGCCGCGCCGGTCACAGCACCACCACCTGCCCCAGATGGGCTATGCTTTGCCGCCGCATATCGAGGCGATGATCACCGTCTTTGCCGTCCCCAATGCCGACATGGCCAGTCGTCTCCTGTCTCACTTCACTGACTACAGCCCTAGATGGCTCTCCACCCGCACAGGACGCCGCCGGTCGGAATTCCTGAACCACCTGATCCCAGCGGCTATGGATAGTCCACTGATTCTGAAGTGTATGTTGACTGTCTCGGCCGCGGACCTGATCAAGTATGATCCCTCCAACGTGGGACTGAAGGGTGCGGCGGTGGAGTACTACGGTCAAGCGCTTGCGAGCCTCCGTGAAGCTATCGCCGATGAAGAGAGATCCGGCAGCAGCCCCTCTGGTAGGATCTGCACCCTGCGTTGATGGCTCGAGGCTAACAAGTCGCAGACTATACCCTCTTAGCTGTATTGCTTATCTGTCTCCACGAGGTCAGCACGCTCACCCTCAACCAAGACCAAGCCTAATGCACTGTAGATCCAAAACTTCACCTCTGTGCACCGCCTCCTCCCCCATCTCAACGCAGCAGCAGCCCTTTTTTCGCATAAATTAGACGCCACCACCGCCCCGCCCAACTCACAGCTCCGTCAACTTCTGTCCGATCTATTCAGCTACTTCTTCGCTCTGACCACCTTCACCCATGGCCCCCATCTCGCCCTCCACCGAGGCTCCTCTATCCTCGAATCCTACCTGACCACTACCCCATCCGCCCTCAACCCGAACAAAGACCCAAGCCCAGGAACCGGGGCAATCCTCGGTACCGCCCAACAAATCTTTCTGATCATCTTCCGCGCCTCCCACCTCATCCAGCTCGCCAAACAAACCCACACCCCGCTCACCGCCGCCATGAAGACAAAACTCGCCGCCATGGAGCGCCAGCTCCACGCCCTGCAGAACAAAACCCTGCCCCCGTTCAAACAGGGCTACACCAACGTCGAAGAACAAGGCGACGCCATCATGTCCGAGCTCTACCGGCTGGCGTGTATTCTGTATCTGAAACGAACGATCGACCCTGCCCTCGGGATCAAAGGCCACGCGATCCAAGCCATTGTCACGGATTTTATTCGGCTGCTGGAACTGCTGCCGCCCCACCACCCGGTCAACTGTATCCTGTGCTGGCCGCTGGTGGTGGCGGGCTTGTGTACGACGCTGCATGCGCATCAGCGGGTGATCACGACGCGGCTGGGCCAGATTTATGGGGTGTGGACGTCGGATCTGGTGACGATGAGTATGGAGCTTTTGCGGCGGGTGCAGGCGGGTGGGGATGAGCTGCATTCCTCGAATGTGGGTGGTTATGGGATGCATGATTTGGAGTTTGCGATGGTTCTTTTGTAGCTTGGGCAGTTGGGGTATTTCTTGGGACTCTCAACTCGATAGTCGAACTCTGTGTTGATAGATGTTTTATTCCCAAAGGAGTCGAGACGGCCATCTCAGGGATGATTTTGTGGTTGCTGGTTGGTCCTGGTTGCAAAGGACTTCTGAGTTAAGTAAAAAGCACCGAACACTACGCACAGCATTATAATATGGCTGTATAAAAATCTACAAAGACTTAGTATAGTGTGTTCCTTGCATGTAGTAAGTCCTCTGACATCAGATCTGTCTGGATGGAGTGTACGACAATACATAGATGCATCTACTGGGTACCCCTTCCACATAAAATGCCCCCATTAAATTTATTTGCAATTGGTCTGGATATCAAACTGTGCGCGACCTAACTACACAAATGCGAAGACCTCTTTGCATATACGACTTAAATAGAGAACAACTACCGACCCAGTCATAAGTACAAAGAACAAGTCCAACAGAAAAGAGATTCTACTTAACAAGCATGCACTACAAAGATATAATAGAGACGTTCCTCGACACCTCCGCCAGCAGTCATTATCCATCGCAACTGTTAACAATGCCATAACCGTACAATCCAGAATTATAAATAATGGCCCTTAAGCAAGAACCCCCTCAAAGCTATCCAGCTAACGTGCAACAGAACACAGACAACACCACTTATAAAATGGCCCGTTCAACTAACATCCCCACGCTGCAGGTTACCACCCCACGCACCCCATCGCCAGCCCCAGCATCAGAGGTCGGCCCGCACGAGCCCAGCTACAGCCTAGCAGCCTCCATCCGCAACAAGTTGCGTCTCTCCAACCACACCACTCCGCGCCAGTCAGCCGGCACAGTAGGCGCAGCAGGCGCAGCAAACGCAGCAGCCACCTCATCCCAAGACAGCCGAAACAGCAGAACCAGCGCAAACAGACGGTCCACGCAGGATATAACCCGCCTGCACCGTCCCCCGTCCCCCCTCCTCCCCAGCCGACTATCCTCCCACCCGTCCACCTCTGGGTGCTCCACCTGGACCGACGGCTCCATACCCATACCCAGCCCTCACCCCAACCTCACCCCCAACCCAGCAACCATGCCACCTCCCGCACCCGCAGCCTCTAACCCCCAATCTCTCCCTCTCCCCCTTCCCCCCGCACAACCCCCCAATTTCCTCCCCCTCTTCCCCCTAGGCCCCATTTCCAACGGCGCCCTCCACCACCTGGCCACCTTCCACCACCACCTCACCTGCACCCGCGCAGCAATGGGCACCCCAGACTACCCGATCTTCCTGGCGGACCTGCACGACCTAACCACCAGCCCGCGGGGGATGGACACCGCGCGATGGTCGCGGGTCTGCGAGGACTGCGCCGCGTACTGGGCGCACGTGCCGATGATCCACAAGCCGCGACTGGGCCGGTTCTACGATCACCTGCCGGGGGACGTGGACGCGTTGGTGGGACCCGTCAGCGCCCGCGATAGTATTGAGGATCTGATGGCGCGGGATGCGTATACGGTGGAGGCGCTACGGGCGCTGTATGTGGCGGACGTGTATGTGCAGGGGTGTCGGGCGGCGAGGAGGCATGGCGTGACGAAGGATGAGTACGCGGAGGCGTTTTTGGCGGAGGCGCGGAAGGTGTGTGATCTCAGGTGGTTGAAGAGGGCCGCGCGCGTGGTGGAGGGGCGGGAGGATATGAAGGGGTGGGGGTTGGGGTAGTTTCTCTTCAGCAGGGGATGAGATGGAGGTATGGACTAGTCGTACTGGTGGGATAGTTGAATTTCCTAGATTAATTTTAATTAATTGGATTTATACCAAGTGAATTTGGTTTTGTAGACTGAATACGTGCACTGTAATACACTACCTATAAAAATGCCAATGCTGCTATGCTATACTATGCTATGCTGCAACCCTACCACTCCACAACCCCCCTGACGGGGACCCTCAACAATCTCAACCCTGACCCGTTACTCCCCGCCCCCACCGGCGCAGGCAACCTCCCCCCGCGCACATTCACCTGCAACGCAGCATGCAACAACCTCGGCTCTCCAAGGCCAGCATCCCGCTCCCGCCGCACCTTGAGAAACTCCTCCCTCCCCACCCCATCCTTCAGGTGCTGATTCAGCCTCCGATGCTCCTCCACCGTCCCAAACGGCACCACCGCCCGCCCCGCAGGCGGATAATCATGTCCCGCCCAGACTTTTGTCCCCGGCGCCATCCCCAGCACGCGTCGCCCGGAGGCCCAGAGACTCTCCGCCGACCCGCCGGGGAAGTCGCATCGCGCGGTGCCGATGTCCGGGTTGAACAGCGAGTCGCCTGCGAAGATGTTGCCTACCGCCGATCGATGTCAATATATGCTGCATCAAACTGGGACAAGGAAGTGGACATACCGCCAACCATATACCCCAGATGATCCGGGGTATGGCCGGGCAGATGCAGCGCCACGGCGTCGAGACTCCCAATCTTGAAGCCCTCGTCGTCCTGGAAGAGTTTGTCGAACGCGGTGGTGCGGTATTCCTCTTCCGGGATGCTGTAGCGCTGCGCGAAGAGGGTCTGGACGTGTTGGATGCGGTGGCCGGCGCAGATGGGGACTTTGGGCTGTGGGATCGAGAAAGTAGGCTGGGATCTGCGTAGCCGGGACTGCAGGTACGCGGCTGCGGTGAGGTGGTCGGCGTGGATGTGGGTTTCCAGGATGTGCGAGATGGTGTAGCCCTCTTGCGCGACGAAGGCGAGCAGAGCATCGGCGGTGCTGGTGCGGACTGTCTGGGTGGTGGGTTCGTAGTCCAGAACCGGGTCGATGATGGCGGCGGTCAAGGTGGTGGGGTCCACGACGAGGTACTGCCAGGTGCTGGTTTGGGGCTCGAAGAGGGCGTGGATGGTTGGGGTGGTGGGGGAGGTGCTGGCGAGGGTTGTGTGGGGCATCGCGGGTTGTTGTTGTTGTTTTCGCATTGAAGATGAGGACTGGGGAAGATGAGTGGCTGGTGCTGTTGCTGTTGAAGTGAAGCGTTTGCTGGAGGGTGGTATGCGGGTTGAACTAGCTGAGGGGAAGGCAGTATACGGCAATGGATGCACCCGAGTGACGATCGTCCTTCGTGCTGGCTGGTGCAGAATGTGACTGGTGAGTCGAGGTCTGACAGATGGTAGGAACTTCATTTTTATGGTCGATGGCGTATATCCCCTTGAATGCGTGGACCAAATCCACGTAGTAGAAGATGGTGTTTAAGTATGCTCGGCGAGGTGGACGGCCTGACGTCAATCGGCGATGGAAGTGTAATCGGCGACCCGCTGACCTCCCCGTCGGGCCCTGCCCGGCTTCTCCACTTCCCCGAACTTTGAAAATTCCCTAGGTTTTCTAAGCATCGGGCAGTCAGTTGCCCGAGAGTTTTATAAGGGTTGAACGTCAGTCATCTATAACGCCATTCCCACGCCATTCCCATGGCCCGAGTGGCGAATGGCGACATGTCTCCCCCAGTGTTCAATGGCATGTCTCCAGGGCAAAGTTCAATTCAACATCATTCCGTGATCATATAGTTTTAGTCTCAGATTTAAAATACTCTTAGATAATATAATTCTTAATCTATTTTGAAAAACTACGAACAATTCTACTTCAATACTAGTCAATAGTATACCACTAAACTTTCTCATCTATAACCCCACGAAGACAATTCAAAGCAGATAAAACTATGATCATGCGTTGCTATGTAACTTGTATATTGAGGAGCCCAGTCCTGCGATAACTTCATCCATGTTACTGGGGAGAAAACCCAAAGAGAACACAAACACTCATCAAGTGATGAGGAGGGTGGTGCAGATGCAGCAAGTTATGACCAGAGTAGGATTCAAGCCCGTGCCACTTGAGTGACTCGGAGTACTGCTCGTAAGAGCGTATGTTTGTAATACTGATCTGATCTGAACAGCAGGGAAACCTACCTACTACGTGGAAGTGTATGGGGCCCCACTTTGCCCATTCGGGCAACATTCGAGCGCGTTTATGCCTCAACGGGCTAAGTGCCATCTTCAAGTCGAATTCATGCATCAAAAGCCCCACCCGTGACCCTATGAAAGTCGTCAGATCTCAGCATGACCATAGTACATCCGGAAGCTCGAAGACTTGATCTGACTCCTAGTTTGATACCTTTAAGCGATAATCTCGCCGTTGGGATTTGTTTCACACAGATTGCATCCCCGCTAAACTATGAGCCTAGTGGCCGGCCACTTCCCAGATGGGGCAATAATCGAACGCACCTAGTACTGATGGCTTATAGTTGGATTAGGCTATGACTGAGGACATCATGGATGTGTTATCGGACCTTGGCGGTTGCCTGGCTCGCTAATCTCAGAACAGTATCTATTGAGCGCACCTGTACTCGCCGAGGCGCGCAACCCTCGCAAGCATGCATGTCCTAAACATCCCACGGAAGTATAAATTCTTCCTCGATACTGCCATTGCCATCTCCTCTCTCACAAGTCTCTTACCTTGATCAAATCAATTCAAAAAAATCATGCAATTCTTTCAACTCCTGATTATCCTTGCCGCGGGCGCTCTGCCCGCCAGCGCTGCAAGCTGCCATCCCTTCCCCTCCTCGGTGATTGCGTTCTCAGCTGGATTCCAACAGCCCAGCCCGCCTCGGATCAAGGCAGAGTACCAGACCAACTTCATTCAACACAAGTGGTAAGCGAGCGACCAACAGAGATGTCCCAGCCCCTCGTCGACTACCACACTGACCAAGTGTTAGGAACCAGAACCTATCCCACATCACGACCGGGTTCATCAACAACTCGCCATCGCAGAATTTCGTTCGGGCCGACGAAGCGTATGACGGGAGTCTGGCCTCGTCGCTGTTCAATCACGCTAACACGACCGACGATGGTCTGGTCGACAACATCTTGACCACCTATGACCACCACTCCAGCAAGCCCACGGTATGGCAGGGATTCGTCAACTCGAACTTCCCCCTGTTCCCCGAGGACATCCTTATCACCTATGGTGCGGTGTTTGGCGGACTGGTGCGGCGGCGGTTCAACGAGGACTTGGTGGCTGCTGTAAGTGGGCCCTTTGGTTTTGCTTGAACACATACACACACACACACACAGAGAGAGCAAGAAAAGCTGACAGGTCTCGGGGCCGGATCAGTGGGATATCATGTACCAGGGGGCTATCCCTGTGACGGTGTACGTGAACCACTGCAACGTCATGGTCGGATATGACTATTTCTCGCCGGGATTGCGAACCAGGGTTATTACCGAATACTTCAACGTGGAGGTTTGAATGCAGGCGTTTCTAGAGCGGTGGTCTAGTTCATTGTCTTTGTGCTCCCCCCGGAAGTCAGATTCTATGTACATCCGATAATGGCCTGTTGGCCAAGGCTAGAGGTGTACGGTGCTTACTGTACGATGGCTGGCTGGCAATATTTGATATCATTTCCTATGGAATTATCTCTCTGATATTACAATTAGAGTATGCACAAGGAAAAGAAGATTCTGGACATGAAACTAACTGCCAATTGTTATACGAAATGTATGGGCCATACGAGTCTTGGCACTACTCAGCCCCCGGCCCCACTGCAGCCAAGGGGAAAGTCACATAAAAGGGCCAGTCAACCCAATCCCAGAGTAGAACTTGGCAGCCACTTTAGAAGTTAACTCCTAGAACAACTCAAGCCTCAAAGTAATGGCTGAAAAGACATGCACAGGACCTAACAATGAAATCGCCAGACGCCCGGTTGGACCGCTGGACAAACGCAAAATCATCACGCGCTGCCAGCCATGTGCGACTCGACGGGTCAAGGTTCGAGCAACCATTGTATCCCCCCCGGATTAATCAAGATGGAGACAAACTTATACGACGGTCAAAATAGTGTGCTGGGGGCCATCCATGCGATCGATGCCTCCGGCTGCAGAAGCCTTGTGTGCCACAGCCGCAGCCACAGCCGCGGCTCAAGCACGCCCAAGTAAGGTTCGTCTATACTCTCTCAAACGCGGCCTACCCCAACGTGCCATCCCAAGTGCCGAGGCCCGATGGCAGTATATATCTGGACCATTTCGCGTCCTTCCTGCAGCGTTGCCGCTTCAGCGACGCGTTCGCGGCCGCCAATGCAGATATCATCAGTGTCATCGGCCGATACCCGTTGCTCCGGCACATCACAATGGCGATTGGGGCGCTGGAGGCGGGGCGCAAGGGCGCGATCCGGTCCTTCGGCGCGCAGGAGTCGCCGCTCCAGATCGCGTTCCGGGCCTGCGGGCGATCGATCCGCAGTCTGCGCGCGACCACCGTCTCGACTGGGGACCCGGTCTATCGGGAGGATGTGCTGTGGTGCACCTTTCTCCATGGGCTGTTTGAGGTATGCTGCTGCTGCTGCTGCTGCTGCTGCTGCTGCTGTTGTTGCTGCGCGACCAAACCTGGGCATGCATGAACTAATCAGGGCACGCACGCAGCTGATGGCCGAGAGCTCGGGCGACTCGTTCGCAACGCATGTGGTGTTCGGGACGTCTCGCGTGCTTGCGCTGCTGGAGCCCACCACAAGCCCGCTCTCGCTGCCCACGAAGAGCTTGATTGATGCGTTCGGGATCCTCGAGAGTCACAGAGCCATCCTCTACGGCGACAATGCCACCCTTGATCCAGCCAGATTTGACATCCACCAATCCCAGCCGTTCCGGCCGCGAGGGAGCAGCCGGCCAGACCCTCCAGACGCTGGGCGGGAGATCCTCGGGCTCATGGTCCAGACGTCGAACTCTGCGAACCGGCAAGTCCCTGCCAGACACCTAGTTTTCTGGCCGCAGCTAACGCTCGCCCCCTCATGCTGGATAGACTGTTCGACGAGATCGAGGCCATTGATCCCGACCGCAGATCCTCAGATCCAAGATTAGACGCCCGTGCCCGCGCCGGGCTTGCGATCCGAGAAGCCCTTCTGATTTGGCGTGACGAAGCAACAAGCTTGCGGAGACCGCTTCCGATAGAGCCTTCCACGCAATTAGCCGTCGTCCTCAACCACGCTCTGGAGCTCTACCACTGCATGAATTTCACTTTCTACCCCTGCTGGTCGACGAGGACCGTCCCCCGGCTGACGCAGAGTGAAGTCGACGCGAACGTCGCGGCAATCCTGCATCTGTCGGGATGCCTTCTCGCGGATACAGACATCCCGGCGGTGCTCCTGCTCTTCCCGGTGCGAATGGCTGGAGCCCATGCTTCAGGGCAACACGCCCGGGAGAGAGTGGTGGACACGATCCGGCAGATCCGGCAGAAGGGCTTCGTCGTTGCAGATAGGATCGAGGTTGATTTGCATGAGGTTTGGGCGTATGAGGGGGGGGGAAGCTCTAAACTAATACAAGTATAATCTAATACAAATAATAGAGTTAGTAGTTCTCGTAGACAAACCTTCTAATACTACTTCTTAGAGATGATTTCAGCTATGGGTTAAGCTATTCACAGATTCATAGATAAAATATAGCTTAAAAAGCTATGAATAAACATAGAAATGAAGAACAATCTAAACAGGTTATAGCTCATATATAAAACAATTGTTAATAAAAACCGTAAAGTTTATAAAGCCACATCCTACCGCCCAAACAGCATCCCGCAAAAACAATCACCGAATCCTCCCTGCAGGTGCGCCCCACTCACAAACCCCGATCAGCCAGGGAATGAATTTTCTTGCACTGTTGCACATGGTTGCACCCCACAAGATCCAATGCGATCATCCCATGTGGCTCAAAGTCCCCCCCCAAAAGGTTATTTTTGGGAATAAGGTTATCCTTTAATCCTTAAAATCCCCCCCCCCAACATGGCAGGTGCACGGCTAAACGTTCAGGAGGTATGGGAATTTAGCGAAAGTGTATCGTATACTTTTAAAAACATCAGGGCAGGTCAAAACTTAGGAAAACTTCCCGGGGCAGTGACTTTTTTTTTCTGGAGGAAAACAGTGTTAGCATTTGGTGCGACCGGTCAGATGAATTGGGCAAGACTGCTCCGGCCAGCTTCCGGTTTCTCCCGATGGTGGCTTCTTCTTTCGGTCAGCCCGGGGATTTCCCGTTGGTCAAGGTAACCCGTAGCGACACACTTCGTTGGTACTGTTACTTGACAAAATTCAAAATTGGAGAAGCAAAGGAGAGGAAATATATTAGAAAATTGGAATTGAATAAAACCTAACTCCAAGTCAAGCTTAACCGCTATGCTCCAAGTCGCCGAACTAGCATACGCACAATAAATGACCCCATAGAAAAAATAAAAAAACAGAAAAAGAAAAAACAGAAAAGAAACAAAAGCAAAACCCAGGATATCAATCATAAGCGCAAGCCGTAATCAGACCGTCAAGACATACCTAACGCTGAGGAATCGCACTCGCTATGCAGACAACCACAATGGAGATGATAAAAACACATCAATAAAACTGCCCACACTTTTGGCGCTCTTGCCCAATCGTCAAGTCAAATCATCATCCGAAAGATGCGCCATGCGAACATTCAACAGGGTATACAACTTATCATGACAAAGAGTCGAGAGTTCCACACAACATGAAATCAGAAGAAATTATTTCTTGAACATGTAGTGTCCGTAGATGCCACCGACTTCTCCGATGGCAACAGGGATCTTCCTCATGCCCCACCATCTGGCACCCATCTTCCAGTCGCGCGATCCGTCGTCCAGAGCGTAGTTCGGCATAGAGGCAGGGTCGCGAACATACCAGCCGCGACGGCCCAGCTCACGCACCGTCCAGCCGGGCGACGTTTTGGCATTCCGAGCTCTCTCCCGCAGAGGAGCAATCAGCTTGTCACTGAATTCGATGACCTGCAGAGGGTAGGTCTGCTGCGAGAGGATGACACAAGCATTCGGGTTGAAGACCGTTCCGATTGTCAACTGGGGAGCCTTGTTGAGATCCAGGTAACGAAGGGTGTGCGGGACCCATGACTCAACAAGAGGGGGTGGCACAGCCTCAAGGGGGGTGGGCGGAAGGCTGTCGATGGGAGTGGCAGGCGCACTCTCAACACCGGTGGCAGGCCGAGGTGGAACGAAGAACTGGTTCAAATCCTGACCCGACAGCTCACAGGAGCTCAGTCCCAACTCCTCCAAGTGCTTAGTCAGAGGGATCAGCGCTTTGGTGTGAGCGGAGGTGACCTTCGCACCGCCCAGGTTGAGGGAGCAGAGGGAGGAAGGCAAGTGCGGAAGAAGAGCCGAAACGTCTTCTTCCTCCAAGAGGCGGGAGCGCGTAGGATCGGTCAAAAGGTTCAAGAAGACCAGCGAGCCACAGACAGCAGGGTGAGTGGCCAGAAACTCCACCACCTTGGGACCACGCAGGCGACTGCATCGGGACAGACTGAGGTGGGTGATCTGGGCGGTCTTCGGGATCGAGAAAAGTGCATCCTCGCTGACCTGAGTGTGAGTGAGATCCAAGTGAGTCAGGTTGACCAAGCGAGGGAGGAGAATCTCAAATGCCACCGATGGCAAGCTGCTGCATTCGTGCAACGAGACTCGTCTCAAGTTAGGCAGCGCAGCCGGGAGACCAGGACCCGAGGTCAGCGCTTCGAGGAAGAGGCCGGAGAAAGACTGGGTAGAACAGCCGCAGAAATCGACAGCGGACAGGTTGGGAAGGCCCGTGAACAGCTTCCGGATAACTTCCATGCTGAGATCCCCCTCCACGTGCTCCTGGAGCAAGCATTCGCGCAAGTTGGGCAACAATTCCAAGCACTGTAGCAGGGTCTTGGAGGTAAGGTTCTGAATCTCCGAGTTCATCTGCCTAGTCCGTCCCAAGCCCACCGAGGTGAAGTGAGAGAAGTCGAGACGACGCACCAAAGTGCCCAATGCCGGATAGAGGGAGATGTGGTTCAATGCCTTGGAGAATATGATGGAGTGGGGGAAAGTCATGTTCCTGTACAACACACTAAGCGTAGCCGCGTGCAAAGTCTTGGAGGTCAGAAGGCATGAGATTAGATCCACATTGCGGGGTGTATATCCGTTAGGGGGTACATCAAGCGCCAAGAGGGAGATGATCTGGTCTGTCGTCCTTATTAGCACGTTTGGAGGAGCATGATAGACACAAGAGGGGCTCTCTTACCAAGCACCTCCGGTGGGACCTTCTCCAGGCGCGAGGTTCCCGGGACCGGCTTGGGCTGCTCTTCCTCCACAACAACCTGCTTCTCCTCCGGAACCTGCAGGGTCTGGGTCGGCGGTTCGGCCACGGGGGAAGGCGACTCCCAGGCCCAACGGGAGTGCAGTTGGTTCAGCCCTCGAAGATCGCTGTAGCTGCGACTCAAGCTTTTGCCTCCCAAGCGGATCTGTTTCCATCCCAGGAAGCCACCACAGGGGCAGCAGAAGTCGGGAGTCGGCTGCATCTCTAAGGGGTTAGGCTTAGCGGTCTCCTGATGGGAGTGTTCAATGTGGGTATCGACGAACGATTGCGCAATGCCTATGATGGATTAGTCGATGTTCAAACTGCCTCCCGCGACTTGAGAAGACCTACCGTCGACGTCTTCTTTGATGGAGCCAAAGGACTCCCGGCGACGGCTGCTAGACCGTGAATGTTCCGCTGACGACGAGCACGAGGGAGAATGAGGAGAAGTGCTGCGCGATCCGTTGGAGGGCGAGGCGTTTCCGGAAGAAGTATATCTCATGAAGGGCTGCTTCGGAATCGCAATCGCGGTTGGGACGGTGGCGGAAGACATGGTGGGCGGTGTTATTGTGGACGGGGAAAGGCTCTATATGGAAGTAGGGCCAGTCCCAAGTGAATGAGAAGACGCCGCGAATGAGTGACTCGAGGGAGAAGAGGGGTAGGAGTGTGGTTGTGGTGTAGAGTGATGTGGTGTGGTGTGGTGGTGTGCCGGCTGTGCTAAGTGAGTGAGTAGAAATGGTGAGGCGGGCGGGATGAAAAGGGAAGACGGAGGAAAGAGAAGGGAAGGAAACAGAGGAAAGGAAAAGCTTTTTTTCCTTTTTCTAATTTCCCTGGGCCTCTTCTCTCACTTTCCCCAGATTCCAGCAAAACCCCCCTGGCCAGCAGAGTGCACTAAGAGGGGCGAGCGGAGACGCAATCAACAGTTTTGGAGGTGGTTTGCAGTCGATGGACGGAGTAAACGGAAAACTGTTAGTCACAGATTGCAGTAGACTGGGATCATGCACTTGAGTGGAGAGCTGCTGATGAAATCGCCGATCCCCTCTGACGACAGTGTGGAAATGTGAACGAAGGTAGGTTTGTTCTTCAAGAACAACAAATAAAGGAGTTTAATATGTTGAACAACAGCCAGAGTGTTGGTGTAGGTGGTAAATTGGAGAAGATGGCCAACAATCGAATCGTAGAATAGAAGGAAAGAAGGAAGAAAAGGAAAAAAAAAGTAATGAGGCGGCAAGACACCGACGTCAAGTTTCTATTAAGTAAGGCAAATTGTAAAGGGCCCGAAGAGAAAAAGGAAAATAAAAAAAAAAAAAGAAAAAAGGTTCTGGCGCAGAATGACAAGCAGTGGTGAGTGGAGCCGGAAAGAAGCAAATCAGCGTGGATCAGACAGCGGAGGGCTTTTAAGGTTCCATCCATCCAAGAGGAACAAAGAACGGTCGCTTGGATGAAGTTCCCAAAGTACCGAGTACCAGAAGTATGAGCATGCAAAGGGTAGTCAAAACATGTGTACGAAAATACGTGAGTACTTTTGAGTTACTGTGTACAATCAAAAGGTACCATTCACTGATCCTCCAGCATCAGCATCATCATGAATCAGATGTGCAACCTCACTGCATCATCCTGCATCTCCAGGCTAGGCTTACGGATCTTCTTCCCGGTTTTCCTTCTCGCCTTGTTCATTCGCCGACATCCGTAGGGACGTGGATCGATCGCGACTAGGGGTGGTTTATTTTTATTGGATCTTATCAGTTGTCATTAAGTACTAAGTAATCCTTCGTTTCCTCACTGAGCTGACTCAGCTACTTTCCTGCTTGCCGCTTTCGGGTGGGGGGGAAATCAATTGGAACTTCCAGTTCCTTTACGGAGTACTATACAGTAAGTGGAAGTACCTCAGAATACGCGAATGCGAGTCCGACCATTGATGAAGGTCGCAATGCGCAGATGATCGTGTCCCATCGATTTCCATTAGGATATGGAATGCAGTGATTTGATGACTTGTCATGGCGCCATCCACCGGGGTTTGGCTGCATTCTATGACATAATGAAAATCCGCCTTCCTGCAGCCCCGTGACCCGGCCCAAACGGGCGGTCCGGCACTCCTCCGCCGACCGACCGACCGACGGAGATACGTACTAACTAAAATAACTAGTGGCACGGTCTAGCTGGGCTTATTATTATTTAGTTAGTCTTACAAAGTCGTCAACTATTGTTGCTAGTGGTCTAGACACTCCCCGCAATAACACGGGGAATAAATACCATGTTTAAAATCAATGTTTCACAATGCAGGGAAACTCAAGTTGATTCGAGTTTGTCCATGTAGAAACTAGGGAATTGGGTTTGTCTTACCCCAGAATCCCCCCTCAGCCCCTCAACCCCTCTCGCACATGAGGTATTCCTTACCTAACGAGAACCTTGGGGGGCGGAGGTCTCGTGATCACGCGGAGAGCAGCCCCTCAATATCCCCTCTTCGGCTCCCAACTCAATGAACTTTGAACAATGAAATCTGGCACTTCATACTAAGGTCCCGAATCAGCACACATCCCTGGATTCTTGGAGAGGGTTTCAGAGGAACCGCTACCGACTTGGGCTTAGTCTCGATCGAACGAAGCTGGACTGAATGCTTCCATGCAGTGCATGCACCCCCAGATGCTTGGCTCCAGCTCGTTCCCGAGAGGTGACTATAGTACTCCGCCGGCTGCACCGGTTCGGAATCGCATCCGCACTCCACTGCTAACCGACGAGTGTGCTCAAAATTGAGCCTGGAAGACGATCAATCAGCCAAGCCGAGCTACATAGCCTTACAGCACTTGATTCACCCTTCAGAAGTGCACTATTCCACTCCGTTCTGGGATAGTTCCGCCCTTGGAGCCCCTGACCAACCACCCTGTTTCTTGGCCTGGTCTTGGCTTGTCCCTTGCAGTTGCACCTGGGCATCACCCTTTCTACGGGAATCGAACGTTGACTCACTCGCCGCTTCTCCGTTCTTTCATCGAGACTAGTCTGTCGTCATGAACGTATGCCTAGACTTGCGAGTGGAAGCGAGGGATTACTTCAGCCTTTTCAACATCACGTCAGTCGCAGCTCGAATCACCCTTTCCAGAACGTTCCCAATTGGGGATCATGCATAGCAATGGATGGATGAGGCAGTGGAATGTCGCTGCATTGTATTGTATTTCCCCTTTGGCAAGATTGCCAAGAACGAACCCCCCTTCGGCTACGGGAGCCGCCCAGACGCGCCCCCACCTCGCTATTGGGATCAATGGGGTTAGTCACGGGTCCATCCATCATAGGATCATTGGGGGGCGACGATCTGCAACGATGGCACCTCCGCTGTCGACTATGGATAGGTACCTCAATATGGTCCCATTCTCGTGGGTCACTGCCCTCTCACCATCCTCGGTTCAGACAAGCACATCCGCTTCTTCCCCGGTTGTCTGTGACACGCCTCACTTGGGTCACCCCAACATGGCACCACCGATTTACGCGAGGTTGTCCTCCAGCGATCGAACACATATCGTCATACCTGCGCGAGTGGTACAATCTTACTGATTTTTCACGCCATCGAGCGTTGCCCGTATCACAAAAAGGCAGGTCGACATTTTCCGGGCCCTAGCGCTGCACCTCACTGTGCTGCACCTCGCCCATTGGAATGGTGACTGTTTCCTAGGTCACAAATGACGTGGATTAAGGGCAGGAATACTCGCGAGAATCGGAGAGGTGAAACTGGTCTGGGATTCTAAATTTTAAAAGTACATCAGGACGTGCCACAAGTCAGCCTCACTCAATACCAGCAAGCCGCTCGACTCAATGTCTGAAGCCAGCTCTATCCCTTGTGTCACGGCTGCCAAACACATCACAGCACACAAACAAATCCAGAATCTGTCCCGAGAGCTATACTCGCCCCAGAAGACCCACTGGTGTGGTAGCCTTCGCGGCAAAGGCGATGCAGCCGCCCACCAAGGACAGCACACCGCTGAAAATGGACGCCTGCAGGAACCCTCCGTAATGATCGAACAAAGCTCCAATCACAGGGGGTCCAATCAAGGCGGCGACAGAGCTGGTAGCGATTCCCATCCCCATATACGTCCCGCTTTCCCGGGCGTCCTTCATGCAGAGTGTGAATGCTGCGCTCGCTCCCGAGACGATGGTGCCCGATGCGAACCCGATAAACACCGCGTATACCACCAGCCCAGCCGTGGATTCCGCCTTGGTCATACAGAGGCCGATCACACCCGTGGCGATCCCTCCCATGGCGAACATGTTCAGTCGCCCGTATTTATCAGCGAGGATCCCGGGGATGATGCGTCCGAACGTGGACGCGGCGTTGAGGATCGCCAGTAAGTACGAGGCCAGCGTGGCGTCCATTCCCCGGGTCACTGCATAGGTGGGGAGATAGAACAACGGGGTGAACAGCCCAATGAACATGAAAAAGAAGGCGGCGATGATGAGATCGAACCGGGCTTGCGTGAAGGCTTCCGGGATGAAGAACGAGGTCGTCCGCGGGGGCAGGCGAGGCTTGACAACTGTACATGCGAACACCATCAGGGGAATGACCACAAAACCCATTACTCGCACCGACCAACCGAACCCAAGCGACGAGCTGTTCAGCATCTTGGATAGCGCAATCGGAAAGACCACGCCCCCGATCGAAGAGCCGGACACGACCAACCCGAGTGCCGCGGCCTTCTTCTTGTCAAAGTACTGTGACACGGCGGCGAAAGCCGGCAGCTGGAGGAAGGCCATTGCCGTGCCGAGAAGGACGCCCTGCGCCAGCATGAACTGCCAGTATTTCGAGCAGAGACTGGTCATCATCATGGCGAAGATGTAGACAACTGCCGCCGGACGGATGACCTATGTTTCTCATTAGCAAGCTGATGGGCACGCTCAAGGGGCGTCGGAGAGCACTCACCCATGTGCCATAGCGATCAAACAATGGACCTCCAAGTCCACCGGCTGCGAATTGGAGGAATGTACACAGCGATCCGATCCAGGAGATCTTGCTGGACGACTCGATACGCAGCTGATTGGCCTCGTAGTATTCCTGGAACACACCAAAGGAGTTCGCAAACCCCAGACAGGAGAACATGATGCACGCGCCTCCGGCCGCGACGAGCCAGGCCTGGCGCCCGCCATCGGGGGCTGCCTCGTGCTCCGCAGGTGTGGACGCGGCTTTCTCCACATCCGACATCGAAGCTGCAGTGGATTCGGCGTGACCCATGATGCGAACTCGGGTTGCACAATTATAATCCAAGTGGTTGAAGGCTGATCTTAGATCTTGTAGTATGATGCACCAGGTGAGAGAATGCCATAGCTCTCACTACCTTATATACGACTTGGACAGGACGATTTGCCTATAGTATGAGCGGAGATACTCGTAGGGCTCGACGGGGCGGAGTCGGTTGTCGATCGGAGAATGGGTGTCCACTCGGACCAGCAGCGCAATAGCAATACTACGGCATGTATTGCTAGTCGTGGGTCTTCACAGCAGCTACCCAGCCTAGAGCTAAATCGGTTGATTGGCGAACGGCCAGGCGAGATGAACACAGTCTCACCCAAGCATATAGTTGCAATGTTGTGTAGTCTATCCCTTTCTCATGAGTGCAATGAGATATATGGTCATTTGTACGGAGTAGGTGGCCGCTGGTGTAGCCACTCGCCGAGCACTTGAAATGACACAATGATAAAGTGAATTTGTATGAATCGTCGGAAACCTGCCATATATTGGTAGACAGAGAGTATCATGCTCTCCAAGTTCCTCAGTACCATCGCTGTTGGGGCTGTATATTATCGGCCTTGCGATGGACGATCACATGACCTGCTATCTCGGCCGACGGGGTCGGGAAATTCGGCTGTCTCCGAACATCAATCCCCGCTGCATGACTCTGACATTTCCGTGCACCGCTGTGACCACTTTCATTTTTTTCTTGAGCATCTGTCATTTCACTTGGTCTCCAGCAGCTCTACCTTCTTATCTTGATCTCCCGAACGATCAGCATGATAGGACCCGCCCGTCGACGTCGAAGACCAGCGGTGTAGGTTTCCCTCGGAGAATTCCCCTCGCCTCCTTAACCCCGCGCTGACAATCAAAACACATCAGCTCGTGCTCTCTGTGCAGACGCCGCAAGATCAAATGTGATCGTCAACTGCCGTGTAGCCACTGCACTCGCTCCGGGAATGAGGCCACCTGCGAGTATGACAATACCGAGCTTTCTCGGCCTCCGCAGTCGGCGTTCGGTGCCACGCCCACCAGACCGGCTCCGTATGCGATACCCACTGATGGAATGTCACATACCAGTCGCACAGCCCCATATGCAATCCCCACTGGTGGGACATCGCATACCAGCCGCACGGCATCCTCCGTGCCCAGTCCCCACTCCGCTGCACATACTACCGCCTCAACCAAAGCCTCGACTGTGGCCAGTTCCCAGTCGGACCCGAATGTGGAGGCCCTCAGAGACAGAGTCCGACAGCTGGAACAGCGACTGGCTGAGATCATAGCCAAGCCTGCAATCCAGCCGCCTCCAGTGGCCCCAATCCCGGAGGTCGTAACCGCAGGTTCCACGTTGACTGGGTTGTTCCATTTGCATCATGAGAACGATCCTGCTCGCCCGGCCGTAGCGATCACTCGTAGTATCATGCACAAGTCGCGGCTCTTCGGCCAGAGCTTCTGGATCAACGGGATGGCGACCGAGGTAAGTGACCGCCTTCATTTCATCTAAACTCGGCCTAATGCTATTCTAGTTCTGGAACCTCTTCCAAATCCTGGAAACCCATGCGCGAGACCAAGGCAGTCAGGCGTTCAGCAGGATCCAGAAATGTAAAGCAATCGGCAAGATCATCAAGGATAGACGCACACCCTCCTGGCCAGTGGTGACCGCCATCCCACTGCCCCAGAAAACAATTGCCGACCAGCTGGTGGACTGCTACCTGCGCACCAGCGAAGCCATCCACCGCATCCTGCACATTCCTACCTTCCGTCGCGACTACGATGCTCTCTGGGCGGCCCACAGCACGCCGGACCCTGCGTTTGTGATCCAGCTCAAACTGGTCCTTGCCATCGGGGCGGCCACCTACGACGAACACTTCACTCTCCGTCCGTCGGCGATGGCGTGGGTCTACGAGGCGCTCACCTGGCTCGCGAAGCCAGAGTACAAAGTCCACCTCAGCATGCAGTTTCTCCAGCTCAACCTCCTCGTTCTTCTGGCGCGCGAAGCCACCGGCATCGGCGGCACCCTCACCTGGATCCCCGCAGGCTCACTCCTGCGCATGGCGATGCACATTGGTCTGCACCGCGACCCGAACCACCTCCCCAGACGCACCCTCTTCGCCTCCGAGATGCGCCGCCGGCTTTGGAACACCGTCCTCGAACTCTCGGTTGCGTCGAGCATGCTCTCCGGCGGGCCGCCGCTCCTCTCCCTGGAGGACTTCGACACCCTGCCTCCCAGCAACTACGACGACGACCAGCTCACCGCCACCACCACCACCGCCAGCAACGACACCGACCCCGACAACAACCCCGCACCCCCACAACCCGATCATGTATTCACCCAGACCTCCATCGCCATCGCATACCGCAAGACCTTCCCCGCGCGCCTAGCCATCACGCAGGCCCTCAACAACATCAACACAAAGCTCACCAACGAGGACACCCTCCGACTCGACGCCGATCTCCGCACCGCGTACCAAGAAACCTGCCACTGCCTCCACACCCTGACAACCCCCACCCGCACAGCCGACATATCCCGCACCCCGTCCCCCTTTGCCCTGCACCTACTCGACTTCCAAATCAACCACTACCTAATCGCCCTGCACATCCCGTACTTCATCCCCGCCCTCCACGACCCAAAGACTTACGCCTACACCCGCAAAGTCCTCACCGAAACCGCCCTCCGCATCTGGTGCACCGCCTGGCCGGCATCGGCCATCATCCACCCCATCATATCGGACCCCCACCCCGCCCCCGCCCCCGCCCCCTCCCCCTCCCCCTCCCTGACCCATGCCCATGCCCATGCCCATACCCAGGTCTACACCCCAGACCCCGACGCCCAACTCCTCGCCAGATACATCGCCAACACCGCCAGCCCCTACACGCAAACCACAATGCAAGCCTGCAACCTCGCCGCCTTCGAGCTCTGCGCCCAGCTGCGCGAGGCCTGCTCCGCTGCCCCGCCGGCCCCGTTTGCTGCCGCCGCGGGAACACCGCTGTCTGGTTACCACTCCCACTACCAACCCATCCGCCAAGACCTCCTGACCATCACCCGCGAGGCCACGCCCTGGCTCCGTCGGTGTCTGCGCAGCGGCGAGACCAACATGAAGGGATACCTGCTGCAGGCGCTGGTCGAGGCGCAGGTCGAGGCGGTGCTGCGGCGCGTGCCAGATACGGACCTGGGGGGGTGGTTGGTGGATGCGGCGGAGCGGGCGGTCGAGGAGGCGCTGGGGATTTTGCGCGAGGTTCTTGGGGGGGATGCTGGTGGTGAGCTTGTCGGTGGTGGTGGTGGTGGTGGTGGTGGTGGTGGTGGTAGTGCTGGGGGTAGTACGCGCGGGGAGTATCTTCGGGAGATTCAGAGTGGTGGTCCTTCGGAGGGTGGGAGAGTCGGGGAGGTGGCGGGATCGATGGGGGATTGGGATTTGGATCTTTTGGTGAGTTTTTCCCTACCCTGGGTTTACTTTCAAGGGGGTTATTGGTTCCTGGTGACTGATTTGTGGATTGGTAGACGTCTGATGCTATGTTTGGGTTGGATTTGGAGGGCTTGGGTGGGTGGATGGCGGATAAGGGGGTTGCGCAGGGGTCGTTTTTGTGGTAGTACTTTTTCTTACTTGGTGTATAGTTCTGGGGTGGGGTTTAGGTTGAGATTCTTCATTCTTGTAGATCTTATTGTAGAGTCTCATCTCCATGTACAGTGTATATGTAAATTTACTGTGTGACGGTGAATCATACATTGATGACCACGAATTTTGTTCTCTTCTTCATAACTATCAGCTATTTGGAGATTACATGCAGTGTAAAGAGTAAAGAGGCAGTGTGGTTGACAGTGTGCATACTGCTGTCCCCCTTCCTACCGTCGGTGAAAGTGCCTTCCCCCCCTCCTGGCCTTCGTAAGCTGGTGTCTTCAACAGCAGTCATGCTTGATCCATGTTCGTATACTTCAGATCCATCGACTATCGACAAAGGAACAGACCGACTGTATAACCTTCTCCTGGTTGGCAAGCCAGGCGTCAAGTTAGTTCAGGATAGTATCATCGTGTTCGGCCAGTCTGGCTTCCTCGACGGTATCGCTACTCGCGAACAGTGGAAACGGGCTGCACTGCCGTAATGCTGGTCTGGCAATCTCAGTGATGTCGAGGCTCGTCACTGTAGAGGCATAGATGAGAACTACTAGAACTCTGTCACATAACTCTTGATCGCCTTCCATCTAATTTTATCGTCTGCCTCAGTTTGAGCAACAGCTAGTATAGGATTAGTGGCGGGTGTCGGAATCGGGCTCACAGTGAGCGTAATAGTCACGCCATCGTATTCATACCTAGATCCCATACCACAGGAATCCAACATATTTCTTCGTGAGACAGCAGGGAAGAAGACCGGGTGTACGACGAAAATGAATTATAGGTGATGGCCGAGGTATAATCGATCTCATCCTTTTCGGCCACGAGACTTGCTATTATTCCCTTCGTACTCGACGTTTATAAAAATGGCTCAGGCATTCCTCGTGATTAGACGCGATAGCCTGCTTGTAAGCAGTCCTCCCACCAACACTGATTATCTTTATCCCACGTATCGAAGTGGTCTTTCTCCCGGCTTCAAAGCATGAGAGTGACATGTCGAGTAGGCCTTCGGCACGGTGCAAGCAGATGTGTGTTTTGATGACATGTAGCCAATTTCTCCATCCTTGTTTATCAGCCCCAGTAAAGGAGTCACGGTCGGAAGTACTTCGGAAACCCTGTTTGACAGCCTTACCATCCATTCTGTAAAAGAGGAGGCTCGACAGAACCCGCTTCTCATCGCCATCAGCTCTTAGGCATACCCCATGAGGAACGGTAGCTTAGTTTCGCCGTACGCCTCTGGGCTTCACTGAGATGAAAACCCCCTTGAGCCAAGCACTGCAATAGAAGAATGAAAGAATTCAAGATACGGCATGGGGACTTACTGGCCCCGTTGAAAGAGAGGGTTGAAGGAGCAACACTTTGAGCCTCGTTTTTAGGGACTATGATAAAGAAAGTATTTCCAGTATTGAATTTCCGTAACCGGAATGTTAGAGCTTAAGAAGTAGTAGTTGATACCCAGCTCAAAGGCTGCATCAATCTTCGCTAGCGAAACGTTGGTAAGTTTCTCTTTAACAAAAATGCGGCGTACTATTTACTTGCGCGCTTGATTGTGGGGGGTTGGTGCGTCGTCAGTTAGAGTAGATACAATTCGCACAGGCGCGATCGGAGCAGTTTGAAATTGCCACGCATTCAGTAAAATGGTCTTTGCTCTTTTGACACGAGACGCAGGCTTCCGCTCCCTGGTAGAACTCTCCAGATTTGGCCACTTGCAGGGAGGGAGGGGGGCTCAATGACCCCCCTGCGTACTGTACCTGAGGGTGGTATCGTCCGCATATTGTGTTCTGATAAGTTAGACACTGACGATCATCAAGGGCTTAGTACAGCCTGAAAGTATTAACACACTGTTGTACAGCAACCACATGATTATTGACCATGTGTGCGCGAACAAGCCCTGAATTTGGTGTCTGGATTGGGAAGCTCGCCGATGTTGAGGTTCGCACGCGGGACCCCTCTCTATGTCCTTTTCGGCCGACCAGTCCATTGGTGAGGGGGATAATTATGGGCACAGCGTGTCTTTTGTAATAGGCGGTTATCTCGCCGTAAGAAGCCCACCGATGATAAATCTGAATGGCTTCCAAATTCCACGGATGGAGTGAGCTCCTACCGGAATCCGGTATTTTCTTCCCTTTGCGCTGTAAGCATCCTAAGCTTAGTATCGGTAGCCATAAAGAGCATATATTGGTTCACGGTGCTTAAATCACTGTCCTTGCCAATACATTAAGCTTCTGACTGTGTCGGCTAGGGCAAAACAACTGTCCGCGGTGATAATGCGGGTAAGACTTGACAACTATGATGATGATGATGATGATGATGATGATGGCGGGGACGAGGACGAGGACAAGAACTATCATGACAGCTATATAACGACGGCGATGACGGCGATGATGATAATGATGATGCTGAAGATGAAACATCGAAACAAAGGGCCGAGTTTTCGAGCTTCCTTTGCATCAATGATTGGGAGAGATCGATAATGATTAAGCTTGCCCTTGCTCTATCGCGTGAAGAACATTCTGCTAGTTTTAAAAGAGCATGGGCCGGCAGGGTGAGATCCAAGTGCTGTATACCCTTCGACAGGAGACCTAGAACAAAGTCCCGAAAAGACTTGGTCTGCCAAGAGGAAACCTACTTATCGAGCCTCCCGAACAAGAGTACTAACTCCAGGGTACAAGAGAGATCCAGATTCCAGGACCTGTAAGTTCTGAAGAACCAGTTTGTCGGGAGAGAACGTGGCCACGATGATTGATTCGGTCATCAAGTGCCGTTGTGCGGCATTGACAACAGAATTGAGCTAAGCATTCGTGTGTCCGGCTGATCCTGTCCGTGTCAAACAGCATGCCAACAGTCTCAAGACCGATATTTGCACTGTATTATTCGCCGGTGCGAAATGCCTCTCGTTCAGCGATCGCGCTGGACGCACGTTTCAATCCCCGGGTCTCAGCAGGTTGCGGCCTCAGAACAGTCTGTGCAAGTCACTGCTTAAGGTCTCCAGACGTGATATGGGTATGGAAATTCAATCATCGGTTGTGAGCGCTTTCATAGTGAAGCCCAATATTGGATAACCGGGTCATTTCGACAAACAGCCAGCTTCCTCTTGGTGACTTTCGAAAAGATGACGTGTCAAATACTTTACCCGTATCTCTACCCTCGTGGAGAAGTACCGATTGCATGGCATCCAGAATCAGGGATGCTGCCGAACCCAGTCCCGAAGTTTTCCCCCGGCCAGTTCTCTAGCCATTTGTAGTCGGCACAGCAGCCCTGCCAGAGGCCCGGCAAGCGAATGGTCTCCAGTCAACCCCCTATCCCTGGTTCGCGGACCCCGCGTCGCTTGCTTCCATAGTCATGTTTCGATAATCGTGTTCAGCGTGCCCTGTATCAAAAGCGGTCGCGTTCTGGATAGCTCAGTCAGCCAGCTTCGACAGCTAATCTGCCAGCTTGTCCGCCAACATGAATACAAAACGGCCCCTATTCGGGTGCTTTGTAGGATCATGCACATTCCCCTGTATCAAAATTTCCGCCCCGTTGACCATTGTCAATTGTTGGACCCGCCCCCCCGCGGGTATAGGTGGCCACACGTGGGGGGGAGAAGAGCGGCGACAGCAGGGGCATCCTCCGCGATAGAAGGGGCTCGCGCGGCGCGCTGGAAGCTGTTAGCCAAGTCCAATCCGTCCGGCAAGGAACTCACACGGGGGAAGGCAGGATGGGGAGGACCAACAGGGCCCGCGGGCACGGAACTGGAGCGGTAGACTGCAAATAAGTCAGCCGACTTTTCGCGGAGGGAGAGGAGAGACCATGTCCTGCAAGGCATACAAGGCATTGCTTTGTTTTTGAAGCTTCGCGGTATCAAAAGAAATGAAGTCAGCCAACCAGATACTCGGGGAGAGGAAGCTGAATCGTGACAGCAGAGCTTACACACACACAGAGAGAGAGAGAGAGAGTTGCAGAGAAGAAGAAGGCTGGAGGCCTTGGGGGGGGGGGGGGGGGAAGCCTTCTTATATAGAAGCAAGTCCTACTCCCGCGAGAATAGCCTCACCAGCCTTTCCATGAGGGATGCGTAGAAATCCATCAGCCTGGTCCGTTTGCAACATAGAGCGTCAAGTTACGTCGTCGTCACATAGTGTCTATCGTTCAATTAGCCATGATAGTAATGATGCAACATTGTGCTTGTTCTCGTGCTTCACATTGCTTTGCAGCATCACACAAAGCCACTTGGAGCTGATGATCAATCACGGATGATAATCATTGCTCGGCATGCAATTTTAGACGGGGATGCAGGTCGAGAGGACCGAGCCATCGTGGCTCGATTTGCCTCTCTTTGTGCTTCACCAACTGAAAGTCCCTTATTAGGACCACTCACGAGGTCAGTGTATGTGCCCTTTTGTAGATCAGTTCTTGCTGCTGGGACCACAGCCTTTTCCAGTCCATCGATAACATTTCGACCGTTTGAGTTAGGCTGTAGCCCCTTGCGAAAGCCCCTGCCATTTTTCTTAGCTGCGTTCTTTGGTTGTGTAGAGTAAGCCTCTATCCATCGTCAGGATATTTGCAAATACTATAGGAATATGACAACTGATATGATCTGGCCAGATTAGAGTCCATAGTTCAATAATGTTGATCGCGCAGTGTCCATCCCCTTTTGCTACTATGTAATAGCGCAGCGTACTGTCGTCTCGCTTAATGATAGTCACGAGGTTACATGATCCGATTCTTAGGATTCCCCAATTGTCCTAGATATGGACGCCCATAGACTGTGTTGCGGTCATCTGTGACAAAGCTAAGATAGCCATTACCACGTTGCCATTTCTCTGTTAACGCCGGCGCGGTTCTGTCATTGAACGGACTGTTCCGCATTTGCTCAGACTGCCATAGATTGCCTCGGATTGTCTCCAAAACTATCGTGGGCAGTAGCAAATTTGAATGCTCGCTATTTAATGCATCCCGGCAGTAGTTGCAGAAGCCTCTAACCACATAAATCACGCACCGTTCATCGAAACCTTGTTGACCTTGGTGAAAGAGTTGGCTATTGATCAGGCAGGTTTGTAAAAGATAAATGGGTGGCTACCTACAACCCTTTCATGAGTGAACCTCTAGAAGCCTGTTAACCGATGCCTCGTAAAAGACGCTACTGGTAATAAACCAAGACATTGGTATAGATCAAACCAGCGAGTGGCGTTGACGCAAGTTGAGAGTCGCCTATGAGGTACATGAACGCCCATATATGACTTTTGAGATATTCGAGAAGCAAATCCTTCTTGACTAGCACTCAGTGCATTTCGCTGATGGATGATGGATGGATGATGTTGAGCAGACCCTGAAATCAATCTTCGAACCCCGAGATAGACGATGGGATAGATTCCATCAGTAGAGTCTGGGATAGGACGTGTGTCTGGATGATAGTGTATATAAGGGACTGGGAAGGGTGGTGGATAAGAGGACGGACTGGGAGCTGGAATCCTGGACTTGGACTGTATAAGTCTCGATATTAGGCTACGGTAACTTGGTTGAAAGAGAGACGGTGGAAGGAGAAGGAAGAAGGAAGAAGGAAGAAGGAAGAAGAAGAAGAAGAAGAAGAAGAAGAAGAAGAAGAAGAAGAAGAAGAAGATGCTTGATTCAAGATAGAATCCAGCTTAGAGAGAACGCTGTGAATGGGCCTGATATAAATGTTCCTTTCTTATTCACCACGTGGTTTCATTGAATAGGGTCCTTCATTCGGTAGGCAATTTCTGCAAAAGAATGCAGACTAGTAGAGGTTGTGAATTGTGTCCCAGCAAGGCTGGGTACTTCCCAACGTCTCCAATACGAATATGTTGTGGAAGCAAACAAGAGACAATGATTGGATGGCAACTGCAAACATTCTTTGTTCTTTAGTCACTTATCAATGCCATCTACAAGGTCATGCATACATCCGCCTTCTCTTTTGTTTTCGCATATGGAATTGAAAACAACCACGTACTGCTAAACCAAATGAACAAACAAGTAAGAATTCTTATCTAAATTCTATGATTCAGAGCAGCCACTAGCACAGAGATCATCACTGCGCCAGCAGCAAGCCCTACAAATGGCCGTAAGATAAGACAGAAATTCGAGACGCACGAGAACATATATACGCTTGGTATCACAAATACTATTTACATCGGGTCGACCCAATATTGGTTATTGAACCAGGGCATGCACTTGACCCGCGGCGGTGGCTCCGGCTGCCACTCGATCAATTCCGGTCCCTTCGTGTACTTCTCCCGTCGAATGATCTGGTGCACATATTTGTAGGTCTCCTTCGCCTCCCGCGCTGACTTGTACTCGTAGGCGACATTGATGCTGGAAACGGCCTGAATCTTGCCCAAGCCCGCCCGCCAGAAATCCTTGGCCAGTGTCATGGGCTCCCCCATGTAGCACTCGCCTGGTTCGGAGCTGCGGAACGTGACAGATTTCTGCACGAACGGCGCCGCGTTGAGGGTCACCATGCCGCCCCAGCATGAGTAGACCTGCACGGGGAGGCCTCGCCCATAGCGCTCCGCATTGGAGTTGTCATCAAAGAACATATCCTTGCCGATCCAGTACCGCGCGTCGTGGGTAATCTCGAAAAACAGGTTGCCGGACATCGAACGAGACACCCAGGAGTCGTAAAAGGAGCCACCTCCCGCGTTCCAGTCGAATGCGCAGGTCATCTGCGCATCCTGCTGCTGGTGCTGATAGATCAGCTCAAGAAGATCCTCCGTGCACAGGACGATATCGTTGACGAAGACAATCAGCGTGTCGGCGGCGTACGGGCTGAATTTGCCCGTGCCGGCAGCGACCAGCGGGGCAATCGCTTGATTGCGCAGAATGGCCAGGTCCTTGATGCGATCCTCACCCTCGGCCTTGGGGTTCAAATCGTTTGTTCCCAAAAAGTATCGCACACCCATCGCAGCGAGCTCCCGTTCCAGAGCGACAAGAATATCGTACGTGCCATCGGTGGATCGACCTTCGACGATGGAAAGAGCGCAGTACTGAGGCCCAACAAACCGCATCGTATCCAGAATCGCGCCCATCAGGGGCATGAGAATGTGGGCGGCTTGGTATAGATCGAGGGCAAAGAAGTATTTGACCTTGGGGTTGGCGCTACCCCAGCTCGGTTGCACGCGGAGGCCGTCATAACGAGCGCTGATGTTGAGAGGACAGTCGAGATGGACGGTCTGTTTCATGTCGTGCTTCACTATCGAGCATACAAAGTCGTCGACTGCGCTGCCATTGATCGGAGCTTTGGCGTTCAAGGTACCGTGGAGGTCAAGCGATACGGTGGCGGGGTCGAAATCGTCGCAGGCGGAGAGGGCAGGAACAACGGCTTTGACATCGTCAACCACCAGACCGTCATTGGCCGTAGCGGCGCCATTGCGATTTGCGTAGAGGTAGAGGACGAGGCACAAAGCGGCCATCAGCATGGCCGCTCGAGCAAGGTGCCATTGCACCTGGTGGAGGTTCATCTCAACTGAAAGAATGCATATAGGGTGGGGAGGGAGGATTGTTGGGTGGCCAAAAATCAAGCCGTGCGAGAAGAGAGAACGGTTTGCATTATGAAGGAGGGACCGGATAAGATAAATAGAGGCGAAGTGGACAAAGGAGGGAAAAACCCCGAAGAAACTGGTCGCTGGGATGATTTCTTCTCCTCATGGCGCAGTCAGCCTTAGTGGTGGAACCCTCCGGTGATGGTACGCGTGGGCCTTTTGCCATTCCTGATTTGCGCAGCTGCCTAACTTGCAGGGAAGCCAATCACTGCAACTGGATCAGCGGCACCATTTGAAGCCAGCCAAAATGAGGTGATGGGGGCGTCATCATTAGGGGGAACAAGTGGATCGAGATGAACCGGTAAAGGAAATCATTGAGATTGAGATTATCTCCCGGGGACTGTGGAATTCCAATGATCTCAAACTCCGAAACTGTCAAATGAACTCTCGGATGGAGTGCCGACACGTGATGGTCCGAATAGGACTAGCGGATTAATTCATCGGATCTCTCGGCCTTTTTGCAGTGCCTCAACAACTCCTTGCATGAATGCATGCTTGTATGCTTGGGACCCAATCCACTGTCTGCTGCCATATGAGAATCTCTGATCTCTCTGCAAGCAATACACTCATGATATTCTGCCGGACTTGCCAACTGCCAAGACGTCTGTCTTTTTCAGCCCGCCCCGGTCGCCCTCAATGCACCGCCCATCCGACCGGTGTATGTACTGTACACATTGAAGTTTACCATCACAGGCCAGGCTGGATTCGGGGGCCATAATCTAAGACATACGTAGCATCTGTCACCCCCGAAAGACTATCGCATCGGATATAATATAAGGTGGGGGCCAGGGGCCGGTGCACCATCGTCAGCATTTAGGAGCAGGAGGGGCTGCTTTGGTCCCGAAACCGTAGCATTCTGATGTCTCCCTGCAAGGTACTCCGTATAGGGGTGATGAGAGCTCTCATCATTGTTGTCGGTTTGTCAGAAATACATGTCAAGATCCTCATCACAGTCAACCCAGAACGACACATTTTCAGACGACTTGTTTGCTGGCGATCGAGTGATCAGCCGCCCCACGCTAGTATAGCCGAGATAGTGATGTAGCTGAGATCTTGGGGTGAGGCCTGAGGCAACGAGCCTGCTTTTCCGCCTGAGGCATTGACACTGACCGCACTGCAAGAGGCAGGTGGGACATGGCTTCTGGCTAGGCCTCATTGAGCTAACCCCTCGATAAATAAAGAATTAAGGTTGACTGCAGTTGGTGCCTGAACCGCCGTCCGGTCTTCCGCCTCATCGTCATTCTCTGTTTCTTTCCTCCTCCAACTATCCTACCTTTCCCAAACATTGTTGAACTTCCTGCAAAATGCCTACCTACACCATTGCTAGCGGAGACACCTTGTGGAAAGTCGCTCAAGATCATGGCGTCACTCTAGATGCCCTCAAGGCCGCCAACCCGCAGCTCACCAACCCGGATCTCATCTTTCCAGGCCAGGAGCTGCAGATCCCGTCGGGTCAAACTCCTAGAAATGAGCCAGCTCAGGCCGCAGATCCGACTCCTCGTGATATAGGTAGTTCTGCAGCTCCGAGTTCAAGCTACAACATAACACGTGCTCCTCCTCCGATTCCGCCGCAGATGGTTCCGCCACCCGCTCCTGGCGTTCCGCAAGGGCCCGCCTACAAAACAGTTGCATATTTTACCAACTGGGTATGCCTTAGCTTACATAAGGGAGATTTTCTAAGCTAACCTGTGTGCAGGGCGTCTATGGCCGTAACTACCAACCACAGGACATTCCAGCCGAGTATATCACGCACATCCTATGTATGAAGCCCAAAATGTACCCGGACCACACACCCACTAACAAACATCAGATTCGTTTGCAAACATCCGACCCACGGGCGAAGTGTACATCCCCCAACATCCTGCCCCCCTCTTCTCAAATCTAACATTTCACCCCTCAGATTTCTGACAGACACCTACTCCGACCTCGAAAAGCACTACCCCAGCGACAGCTGGGACGAACCCAACACCAACGCCTACGGCTGCATCAAACAGCTCTTTCTGCTCAAGAAGCAGCATCGCCATCTGAAGACCCTCCTCTCGATTGGCGGCTGGACCTACAGCGCCAACTTCGCCCAACCGGCCTCCACGCCCGAGGGCCGCCACACCTTCGCCCGGAGCGCCGTGCACCTCCTCGCGGACCTGGGATTCGACGGCATCGACATCGACTGGGAGTACCCGGCAGACCCGCAGCAAGCCGCCAACTTCGTGCTATTGCTGCAGGAGACCCGCCGCGAGCTGGACCGCTACGCGGCCCACCTCCGCCTCCCCTCGCGGCTACTTTTGACCATCGCCGCCCCCTGTGGCCCCACCCACTTCTCCAAGCTCCGCATCCGTGACATGGACCCTTACCTCGACTTCTGGAACCTGATGTGCTACGACTTCGCGGGCAGCTGGGACGCGCACGCCGGCCACCAAGCCAACGTCTTCCCCGCGCCACAGGGCCACGAGCGGCTGACCCCGTTCAGTGCGGATCACGCGGTGCACGCGTACGTCTCGCAGGGGGTGCACCCGAGCAAGATCATCTTCGGGATGCCGTTGTACGGGCGCGCATTTGAAAACACGGAGGGTCCCGGGCGGCCATTCCAGGGGGTGGGCGAGGGGTCGTGGGAGAATGGCGTGTGGGATTACAAGGCCCTGCCGCCGGCGGGACATCAGGAGTTTGTGGACAGCAATCTGTTGGCGAGTTGGAGTCATGCGCCCGGGGAGCGGAAGGTGGTCAGTTACGACACGCCGCAGGTGGCGGCGATGAAGGTCGAGTACATCAAGCGGAGGGGGTTGGGGGGCGCCATGTGGTGGGAGTTGAGTGGGGATCATCCCGTCGGGCATGAGCGGAGCTTGATCCGGACAACGGTGAACGAATTCATGCGGACGGGGGATCTGGATCGGAGTCCGAATACGCTGAACTATCCGTTCAGTCGATTTGAGAATCTGAAGCGAGGATTCGAGTAATTTGTTGGGTACTGGTGAGGTATTGATTGATGTGAACGGCGTGTCTCGTGATGCAGATATGCGAACATGTATAGTGAACCTGACAAGCTTGCAACATGTCCCGCAATCACACCCAATAGAGCCCAAATAGAACAGACATATACCCAGCGAGATTGCCAAACCCCAATCAACCCCTCTACCTCACCCCCTCGCACCCTCATTCCTCCTAACAAGAAAAACCGCATCCCCACCATAACCCCCCAGTTTCGCCCTCAACTCCTCTCCCACCTCCACAACCCCAAACCCAAACCGTCCCCAAAACTTCTCCGTGCCATAAACCGACACCAACCCCGTGGTCTCATGCCCCCGCTCCGCGACCCCCAAAAGCCGCCGCACCCCCTCCGCCGCAAGACCCCGTCCGCGCACACCCGGGAGGATTGCCACGTCGTGGATGTAATACTGGTCTGCGTCCGGCGCGATCCGCCCCAGCAGCGTGTCCAGCGCCGGCGGCTGGCCCGCGCGGATCGGGTGCGAGATGGCGTAGCCGACCAGTTGGCCGTTGTTCTCGGCGTCGAGGCCCCAGCAGCCTTCCGGGAAGAGGCGGATGCGCTCGGCGAATATCTCCGGGCGTTCCGGGAGGGTTTGGTGGATTTCGTTGGCGATGGTTGTTAGGGCGGGGAGGTCGGTGGGGTGGAGGGGGCGCCAGGGCATTTTTTTTTTTTTTTTTTCCTTTTTTGGTTTTTCAGGGTGTGCGTGAGTGGGTGGCTTAGTTGGTTTTGAGTTGTGGATGTGTGATGGGAGGTTTGGGGGTTGAGGGGGGTTGATGTAGGTAAGTTATGTAGTGTACGGTAGGTACGGGTAAGTTGATGTTGTTCCGTTGCTGGAATCTTCTGCTTACTGGAGAGGTAGGGGTTGAGGTGCTATCCGCTTGCCTTTCTATAGGTGCGACTGCTTTGACAACAGTCGGAATCTGGATACCTGATGTACTTTTCTCTTTCCAGTATCCATTATTCCTGGGCTACCGCTCGGAGAAATTCTAGCTAATTGTTTGATACAACACAAAATCGATTTTCAATGGCCATAAACTGCTAAGCTCGCTGCTGAGTGTAGGAAATATTAGGTAGGCGGTCAGATATGTCCGCTGAAATCGTTTCCAGCTTTGGTCTTAGCCGGGGCGGCAACATATCCCTGCAGAAAAGAATGATCTTTTTACCTCGGTCATGCTACTACAGTACGTGATTCTCTCCTGGTGAAATTAAAGTCATACTTTTCTCAATTGGTGGAGTTTCCGACTAAATGCAACTGTTCAGCAGCGTGTCAACTGAGAAGGTTGTTTCCCAAGAGGCAAAGCATAGGTGTCTTATTCCAGGTCCACCACTACTGTTAGATGAGTGATTCTCCCTCTACTCCTTCAGCAAATCATCCAGGACCTGGGCCGGTGTCCGCTTCGGCGCAGCGATCTCCAGCACCTCCCTACTTGTCGTAGAAGCAGTACACTTCCCATCCCACGCCGTTCTGAGCGCATGCTTGACAGACCAGACCACATTCCGCGACGACTGCGGGGTCCCCATAAACTCTCGCTCAAGATACGCATCGAGATCAGACAGGTCCTCGTAGCGAACGCTCTCCACCGGCGCCCCGATCCGCCCCCCAACCATTTGCACGATCTCTCGCCCGGTCACATCCACAGGCCCGTTCAGCACATACCTAGCCCGATGGTGCACCGCCGGGTCCACCTCGACCAAAAGGTGCGCCGCAAAGGCGCCCACCTCATCGGGGTCGACGATGCCCACCGGCGCCGTTTCGGAGGCCATCAACCTCAGCGTCCCCTGCTTTCCGTTCGTGCGGGAGTGCTTGATGAACTCCGCGGCGGAGGCCAGCCAAAACCCGGAAAAAACATTAGGCTGGAGGGAGGTCCACTGCAGGCCGTGGAATTCCGGGGAGCCGAGGAGGCTCTCGATCGCCCAGTGGGCCCGGGCGTAGTAGGCGTCGCAGTCCGGGCGGACGTTCGCCGCGGTTGTCGAGATGCGCACCACGTACTGGACCCCGGCGCGCAGGGCCGCGACGTGGAAAGTCGATTCCTCGGCGAAGTGGTTCGGTTGGTTGTGCGAGGCGATGAACGCGCGGACGACTTCCTGCTCTTGGAGCCAGGCTGGGGTCAGGTCGATCCAGTTCTGCTCCAGGACCTCTACGCCGGGGAGCTGAGCGAGCTGCTGCGCGGCCGGGCTCTGGGCGGAGCGGGTGAGGGCGATGATGCGGTGGTTGGGTAGGGTTTCGGTGGTTGCTAGTAGTTGGGATAGGGTTTTGACGACGTTTCGGCCGGTGTTGCCTGTTGCACCGGCGATGAGGATTGAGGGAGCCATTGGTTCAGTATGAAGAGGTGGGAAAGAAGTAGTTCGCCTGGCGGAATAGAATAGGGTTGGAAGATGGACACTGCTGCAGCCAAGGCCAGCTTCAGGGCAGTACTTATAGCTGCATTGTGGTCTACGGATTAGAAATCATTCATATTAATCATCCCGTAGATGCAGTATAAGGAACTGCATATACCCATAGTTCACAATCAAAAGCACAAAACCGATCGCCGTATACCAAGCTGAGTGACCAAGGCGGGCACTCCGAGCAAGGTGGACATCCCAATGCCCGCGCGGGGTGGGCACTCCGGACAAAGTGGGGCACTCGGAAGGGGCGTGCCAGTTCCATGAACATTGTGTCTTTGACCGTGAGACAGAGTTGGCTCATCATCTACTTCATTCAAGACGCCTTACTAAGCTACGTATAAGTTTATTCATCTTCCGGACAAGCCACTGAAACCTTGTTGAAACGTCTGGTCGCCCCTACGCCTCACATTGCCTTGTAGTCTCACACCAATCATACCATTGATCATGTTTGACAAGTCTTAGATTATCTGACAAATCAGCAAGATGCTCTCGAATCCCCCCAAGAAATACAAGTGTCGATTCCCGGGCTGCAGCTTGAGCTATCAACGGAGGGAGCATCGCCATCGACATGAGGCGCACCATACCCGCCGTCAGCTTCCGCAGTGCTCGATCTGCGCTCAAACATTTAGCCGACGGTCAGAGATACTATACCCCCTCCCAATGGAATGATCCAACACTGAGAAATGATAGCGACACACTCCGTCGGCACATGCAAAAGGTGCATGTCACAAAGGAAACAGCGCCTCCCACCAAACACGCCTGCACACACTGCCGGACTCTGAAGATCCGGTGCCAAGGCGAGCCACCATGTAGCAATTGCCTGCGTCGAGGGATTTCCTGTTCTCTTGACCACCACCGACAGACCGCCGTCGATGTACAGCCTGGTGACTACGACAAGCGCGCGTCGGACCCGCAGTCCATGCCGTCGCGGTCGATGTCGACCCAACTCAAGGCGAACCGGTCTGCAATGCAGAGTCACTATCTCGCTCTGTATTTCCAACGGTTTCATCCTCACTGGCCCTTCATTCACAAGGGTTCGTTCAGCGACTATGAGACGCCCTTGCTGGTGCAATCGATGGTGGTTCTGGGGCTGTGGATGAGTCGGGAGAAAGACACCCAGTCCAAAGCCATGGATCTGCATAAGGTCCTTGACTCTGCCATTCGTGAACAGACTGTATGTGATTGAGATCTCGCTCAGGTGTAGGTGTATCTGACTAATGAGGAACTCTGTAGGCAGTATGGGATGCCTCGAGTTCAGAGGACGCATGCAGCGCCTGTTTGTGGCCCATCCCGACGTACCAGGCCATCTTGCTCCATATCATCTTCGCTGGGCTCTCCCAAGGCGGTGGAGTGCTTGGCCCGGACCTCAAGCCTTCCCTTGCCCCCCCTGACCGCAATCTGCTGGAAAGGCTAGTCGCCAGTTGCAAGAAGCTGGGGCTGCTGTCATATCCCAACATGCTCAATCGGTATTGCCAGGATGATCTAGCGACCTATGTGTGGGTGAGCATCGAGGAGGTCAAACGATTCAACCTGGCGCTGTTTAGGGCTTGTAGGGCTTTTACCAGTGCAACGAAACAAAAGAGTATTGGCCAGGATATTGCGGACGCGGCAAGCAGGACCCTTCAAGTATGCGATCTACAATTTCCGTGGCCAAGGAATGCTCCGTTGTGGAATGCGGTCGGCAAAGCAGAATGGCTCTCTGCTGCTACCGAAGAGGTTTTTCGCCATAGTCAACATGACACTTTAGAGGAGGAGTGGATCTCGAATTCTGCCGGTGTCCTGGAGATGATCGACGGTTGATGTTGGTCTGATGTCCAGCCGAGGGATTTTGAGCATTTGATCACGACTTTGACAATATACACTCGTTTATGACAACTTAGAGTACCGATACTGGTATGAAGGAGCCAGCATAGAGAACGGTGTTTGTCTCTTTACCTATTTCCCCCGGATATCCAAGACGCATATAAGCATTGTTATAAGGGAAAATGTTGAATGATTTAGATTCCTGGTAAGTTGGCTCCGCCTCAGGCCCCACAGTCATTCTGCCTGAGGCTATACACCAACCAATATCCCCGAAGATCGGCACCCCTGAGACTCTAGTCAGGCAACCGGGTTCATCGACTTGGCAGCCTCGAAAAACTGGGGCTTTAATGGAACGGGCTGCTTCTCATGCCAGCAGAAAACGATCAAGCGCTTCCTTAGGTAACATTAGACCAATGAACAAGTTTGATTCCAGTGCAGCGTTAATCTATGCCATCTGCCCTGCTACTCACCTTGCGCAACTTTATCGCTATCGCGTATACCGGAAATCAATGTACATCAGCTCTTAGCCAAGCAGCAGACACTTCTTCTGCTCCGTAGAACGAGGTCTTTGGAAGGTACTTACATCATAGCCGTTGTGTTGATCGTGTATAGGCCACACTAATACAAGCCAGCTTTTGAATCCTCTGCTTAGTCTCTTCCTTCTGCCAAACCCGTAGCCCCAAATCAGGTCATAGACAGCAGGCAGTATATATTTAACAATTGCTCATGGCTAATTTTCTCCTTGAGAAGCAGGTGTAGCGAGCAGGATCTGGTGATGGACGACCTGAAGGATGTGCCCCAGTTCCGGACAAGCCTCCAAGCCCCACCTACCAAGCCTTCAATGGCCACCTCGCGAAAGCTTGGTGGGACGAGCACCCCACACCGACGACGCTGCATCTCCGCAATTTGGGGGCGATGAGGCTAGCTGTCCGCAAAAGGAAGACTTCGAGACTGATCAACCTAGGGGTTCTATGCATTGGGCGATGCAGAAGGGGGTAAGATGATCCCGCTTGACCAAGCTAATCCAATCCTCCGCAATGGATCCGTTCTCCGGCCCCCAAAACGGTTCCGCATGGCCTTGTTCACCGTTTAGAGTATGAGTTCAGTGACGAAACGGGGAAGACTTTCTCCAACAGGCCTTGGAAAGAGGGATGAGGCTCACGAGTTGCGATCCATGTATAGGCGCAACCTGGATATAAATACCCCAATGCTCGCAGACAATTCTCTCGATCATCACAGACAACCATCTCAAGTCTCTTCCTCCCTTCATCTCAAACCAAGTCCATCTCCCAATCTTACAAGAAACAAAACCAAAGAAGCCTGCAAGATGCTCGCCAAATCCCTCCTCCTCACCCTGTGCGCCACAGCGTCCACTGTCCTCGCGACCACCGACATCATCCACTTCCTCTACGCCACCGACTCCTACAGCGACATCCAGGGCGCCGGCAGCGGCTACTCGGCGGGCTTCACCCTGACCGACGACGACGGCAACACTATCTACAACAACGCCGACCCCGGCGGCTACTCGCCCTGCATGGACAACAGCGAGAAGGTTCAGTACACCTCCGACTGCTTCACCGGCACCTGGACCTTCGGCTGCGAGTCCGCTTTCGACGGCAGCCCCAAGCTCTGCAGCGCCTACGACCCTGACGGTACCGCCTACCCCGGCAAGGCCAAGGAGTCCCTTGACTTTATTGGGATCAGTGCCGGCATCACAGGCACCTGCAGTGGCGAGGTGACGATTCCGGGTAATACCTGCACGTCTGACAGCACTTTCAAGGTTGTTAAGCGTTACCGCGGTAACTATAAGTCTGTTTAGATGGGGAGTGAAGTGCTTGGAATTCGATGGACTTCGGGCTGGGTTGGTTGAGAGATTGCCGTTTGGGGTTGGGTCCATTCTCGGCTTCAACCTGTGATGAATCAGATCGGCGCTCGGTTGGTCAGCCAGGGTCGGGTGTTGTATAATGTATATTACCAAGACTGGTAGACTCATGAAGTACATATACTTCATACCAAAGTATATGTAGTATAGATGGTATTGATCTTGATAGCCTACCTTGCTTTTTTCTCAATACCTTGGAAAGTTGTTTTTGGCTACTCACAGATGATAACTGCCTAGCTAGGGCCTCCTAAGCCTCCAGGTGCACTGTGATTTGAGCACTTTCGCTATCATCTATAAACTCTGAAGTCCCAATTCTGCCAATCACTAGGGTAGACAGGCTTTTGACTGGGAGATAGTAAGGTTCTTTCTCTAATCGGTCAAAATCGCCCTCTCCTTTCAAGTAGCATTGCATGCCGGGTCATAGCAGGTCCCCGAGATAATATCCCCGTCGTCGATCTCCATGAACTTGACCTCGCCATACCACCCGCCCCATCCGGTATAGGTCCAGCACGAGCACTGATCCTTGGCATTGGACATCTTGGTCAGCTGGGCCTTGGCCGCCGTCTCCAACTGCGTCTTTTTTAAGGCAGTCTTGCACACGCCAGCATGGGAACGATACTCGAACTCGACCTTCTTATGCGCCCAAAGGTCGTGCGTGTGCGCAGCGCGGACTCCCCGCCGCCGGCCCCAGTCCCCACCGCAATGATATTGTACCCGTTGCTGCTGCTGCTGCTGCTGCTGCTGTTGCTATCAACGGATCTACTCTCTTCCAGCACAGACAGTCGCCCTCCCGTGAAGTTCCCGGTGACGTACACGTGGTCGATGCGGACCTGCCCGTTGGAAAAGTACCCGTCGAAGGTGTGGGATCCGTTCCCGTGGTGCGTCCACGCGCCCCGAGCGCGGCGATCGACTGCAGGAACGACCCCCGCTCGTGGCCACCCAATTCTGCCAGTATGTCAGCTCGCCCGGGGCAGCTGTAGGCGCAGGTGGGCTCGCGTCGGGCACTGCGGCTGCGGTTGCGCGACAGGTGAGGAGCAGCAGCCATCAGCCCAACAGCCAGAAGCCACCGCCACCGTCGATGATCCTCTTGACGAATGGGAAGGATAATATGGAGACTCGTGGTTGAAGATCTTCCTGATTCTTCTTTCTTTGCCTGCCTCTAGCGTTCACAGATTAGAGTCCATATTTACACTTTAAGTGAGATTATGCGCCCGCTGGAGCCTCAGCCGTGGGGCCCTTATGGCTGATCCGACAGGACAACCGGGATTTAGCTCAACAACAAGCTTCGCCTGGGAATCGCTTATCAGAAAGCTAAGACTTGGACTATCGATCGCCCTACAACAGCTTGGGTTGGAGCATACTTACTTAATCTTTTGCTCGCTGACAAGCTCGGAACGAAGCCCATTTAGAAACGAAAAGCGGAGAAAAAGGTGGCTAGCTACTGCAGGTTCTTCTACGTGGCCAGTCAAGTCTGGAGACCACTTTACTGCCACGAGCGGGAACACCACGCGTGACTACTACTAGTGGCATTGATAAGCATTCTCCGGAGACTGAAGAATAGGGCGTAGAGCGAACAACAAGGTGTTCTTGAAGATACAAAGAGTTCTAGTGGAGAGAATTGGGAATTGGACCACTACTCCGAGAATTGTCCATCGCACAATATAATAGAAGAGCGTTCTTTGATATGACTCGGGACTTGGAACTAGGGGATGAGGAACAGAGGAAAATAAGAAGTTTTTGATGTGTGAAGCCTAGAGCTAGAAAGTCTACGGTTCAGGTTTACTAGGCACTAAGGTGAAATCTGGATATCCACTCCTACGTAAAGGCTTGCGTGTCCCCGACACCATGGACTGTCAACCTCAATGACTGTCTTTCAAATGCTTCTAATCCTCTCAAGAGACACTTAATCTTCTGTGATTTTCTTCTTGACTTTCGGACTCGAATCTATCCCAGGCGTCCACTTCTTTTGCCATCCGTTTCCGCAAACTATACAGTCGACCTTTGCCCCATGGATGTCCCAAACGAGCAAGTAACCGCAAAGATGCTGGATGGAGGTGTATGGCTGCTACTGGTGCTGCTACTGATGGCTCTCATCTTCGCAATTTTGGGCATGCTCGTTGGGCTTGTGTGCGCCCTGGTTACGACTGCGACCAAGCTCTTTGCCTATGCTGGGACCAACCTGTGGGAGAGTCTCGAAGATTACTGTGAGCGAGTCAATCGCCCTCGCCTCCTCGCCCTAGTCAGCCTAGTCGCTAAGGTCCAAACACCCGACTCGGAGCGGGCCTTACAACTGGACTACGTTCACAGGAAAAAGGCGCTCGTGGCCGAAGCTAGTGCTCTGGTCCAACACCGTGTCCGGTTAGCCGAGCAAATTGATGAAGCTCAACACCCCCCCCCCCCCCAAGGACTCTGACCCCGCTCGACACAAGACCAGTCGGTGCAACGGAACCAGCTCACGCAAGAGTCCCACACAGTCTCGGTTGAACTACGGAAGAACTGGCAGAAGATTAAAGTGCTGAGCGACGAGTATCTGGTAAAGGGTGCTGGGATCCGGGCAGATTTGAGGGTGTCTCAGAAGCTGGAATCTCATAGAAAGGAGGCACAGGCGTGTCGTCTGCGGGGCGGCTGCTGTAGGTTTGCTGACTGCGATTGTTGCGTCAATCCTCGTGCTTGGAAGGGAGTAGTGTCCACGGACTGGCTGGAGATCTATATGTATGCACACTGCACCCGGGAGTGTGGCTGTTGTCCGCGACGTGAAAGCTCTCTCTTTGGCGGTGATGATAATGGTAGCGACCTCTCGATGAAGGTTGAACTGATCGAATCCCTTTAAAACGTTCTCGGGAGAGTCGTTGCCCGTTAGGGAATGAGCCAAGATTTGGCTTCAACCTTGCGTTGACGACAGGAGATCTGAAGTGAGCGATTTGAAGCCGAAAGGCGCTCTTGGTCGTGTTTCTGCGATATCTTCTTCAATATCAGCATAACCGAATGGTATATCTTTCTTCCCGCTTGCGACCCAGGACCGCCAGTTGCAGGATAAATACCGTATGATGGCAACTCTATCAGACAGTCGATTGCTGCATGTACATAGTATCCATTCCACAACTTCATAGATCCATTGATCCCTGGCCCACGCCCGACACATTCCCAAAACGGCAAGCGTCATCGAAATAGAGCCCTCTCCGATTGGCTGCCTTGCTTCCAGCATGGCGAGTTGACTCGGTCACTAATCCGAGAGAGGATTAGCGCCAGGGTGATAAAATGCATGCTCTATCTGGTCAACAATCCAGGTACTGTGTCGTAACCGTGAACATTGTCAAGGAGAGTCATTCGGTCACGTTTCTAGAACAATTCTCTGTCCAAGCCCCAATCATCTTGCGCCAAGCACCCAAAGAAGACATACTTACGCGAGCCTACTCCGCAGTTGCAGGCAATTACATCGTTTTTCCGCGGGCCTCGGCGAAGTGTGCCAATCAGACCAGTTGGAAACCTGACTCACCAGCTTCAGAACATCAGCGATAGGCGATAACGGTCTGCCGGAGGGGGACTTCATTGTCAATAAGGACAGCTCGGTGGGCCTACTCATCATTTAATCCACAAGGACCACATGGGCATGGTTCTGTCAGAACCAATTGACGCAAAATCATTATAAGAAAACCAGTGCCCTCTCCCTGAGACAACGGTTCTCTAAACCAAACCCCGCACCCACCCCGCCCTCGTTGCACTTTCACCACCAACACCACCCAAACAAAACAAAATGTATCTCCGCACCATCCACGCCGAATCCAGCATCGCCTACCTGCACCAACTTATCCGCGACAACCCCCTGGGCATCTTCACGACCGCCATCAAATCCGCCTCCCACCCGCTCCTCCAAACCAGCCACATCCCGTTCGTCCTCGACGTGCCCGAGTCCCCCGCCGTCACAGATGCCAGTGCCGAACCCACCCACCTCGGCACCCTCCGCGGCCACATGGCCAAGCAGAACCCGCAAGCCAAAGCCCTGATGGAGGCTCTCGCCGCCCACCACACTACCCAGAATAGCAGCGGGGCCCTCGAGCTCCCCGACGAGGTCCTCGTCCTCTTCAACGGACCCTATCATCATTACGTGACGCCCAAATTCTACACCGAGACCAAGCCCGCCACCGGCAAGGTGGTCCCCACCTGGAACTACTCGGCCGCGCAGGTGTACGGCAAGGTCCGGGTGTTTTGCGACAGCAAGTCCGACGAGACGGGCGCGTACCTGCAGCGGCAGGTGGAGGATCTGTCGCGCGAGGCGGAGACGCGGATTATGGGGTACGAGAAGCCGTGGGCCGTGGCGGATGCGCCGGTCAATTATGTGGAGTTGCTGAAGAAGAATATTATCGGGATTGAGATCCGGATTGAGCGGTTGCAGGGGAAGGTGAAGATGAGTCAGGAGATGGGGGCGGGGGACCGCGAGGGGGTCATTCAGGGGTTTGAGGCGTTGGGTGGGGAGAATGGGGTGGGGGTCGCAAAGACGGTTAGGGAGAGGGCGGAGTGGAAGGAGATGAAGAAGAAGGAGAGGGAGGGGGTGAAGGAGGAGGAAGCGTGATCTGTGAGCGTTAGGGTCTGTGTAATGTACGACAGATGAATTGATGCTGGGATGCAAGTTCAAGTTTATTGGTTAGGGTCTGTGTTTGGATCTGATTCCATATGTGCATGGAGTCGAGTAGATTGTAAAATCATTTGACGAGATCCTCATTATTTGCTGATGCAGGATTGTGCATCGGAGCCTGGCTGTTTTGTCGTCAATCATTTTCTTTTGCGTGCATTCGCGTTGAGTTGCGGAGGTCAGCAAATGGTTGTTGGAATCTGGAGCCAATCTCGTCTTGGACGTGTCTTTACTAGCTTGAAAACAGGTAGACACATGCGGAGAAGCTCTCAAGAGAATCGCCGGCATCAGAATTTTGAGAAGGGTACTGACGAGATGACGTTGAATCCCTCAGCGAAAGCACATTGTCCAAATCATGTGGTTGTATCCTGTTTCGGTGTGAAATACTTCCGTAACTATGGGATCAAGAATATTGGAGGGAGAGCCGAATGCATATCATACTGTTAGCTCCTCTGTCGGTCGCTACATGGAACCTAGTTCTATAGCCCTCGACGATTTGTCAAATTTCATCGGGCGAGGTAGCTGCGAGAGGCCTAAGTATCCAAACCTGAAAGCATCCATGTCTCGTAGACGATCCGACGGAAGTTTCCGAGTAAGGCTGAACTGCCCAGCGACTGCCATCCGTCACCGAAAACGTCATCTCTACCGATTGGCGGCTTGTGCGGTTGGCCGATTATCATTTGTTGATCCGTCAGCTTGTTGGCCAACTGATCGCCTCCGGACAAAACCACTCGTCCATGCACAGCGTATCGGATGAACGGGAGCGCTGAGCGACATTCTGTTGCTCTCAGCTGACGGTCGTGTAGACTGCTTGATTCTGATCCGTTTTCTCCGAAACCCCGAGTCCGTTCACACTAGACAAGGATCCTTCAAGCCAACCAACAACCCCAGGGTTTGAATCTCCTTGAGCACCTGTGGGGAGGTGCAGTGGTTCTGTTACGGCGCCTCTTTTTCGCAAATCATGGAAGTGGGGCTCGCTGCTGGGATGAAGGTGGAGCGTATCCGAGCACCGGACACACCTTGTTGGCTGTAGACTTTCGTTGATGTCTGGGCCCTATCCTCTTAGTCTGGCGGAGGACGGCGCTAGACAGCAAAATCGCCTTGGATAGCTTCAGCCTTCCATGCGTTCCTGGTGGGAGATTGAGCGCATAGCGTCATAATTCCCCACTTGCCGGAGATGTTAGTGAGTTTTCACACTTTCCAGCCGTGGCTTTCTCTGAGCGATTTTTTTGGAAAATGAGGTCATTGCTCGGCTGCTGGTTGTTTTTTATTGTTCGTTGAGTGGGTTCGGAGTTAGTCGTTTGGGCCAGATGGATGCATGCTCGCGTAATTCAAGATCGACAGCGAGGATTGAGGGAAATGTTGAGAAACGGAAGGCGCCGTGGTATAGGTGAATTGGGACTAAAAGATGGAGATCAAAATACCTTCTACGTTCAGTACAGCCACAAGATCTCTGGGCATGGGTCAAGAACTACTGCAGTGAACCTGCGGGTGGGGCTTTAATTTCTTTGAGCAAGGATTCCTGACCTGCGGCTGAGTGTCTGTCATATCGCGAGGGAGGTAGAAACCCTAACCTTCGACTTGACCGTGATGAGTTATGTCGCTGGGAGAAGCTGCTGGCGGACGAAGGGTGATTCCAAGTGTGACAGCAAATGCTTTGAAAGGGCGGTATACTCCGCCTCTATCATCCAACGCTGATGCACAGTTGGATAAAGGGAGAAGGGCATTGGATACGTATGTGAGGGATACTGCTGTACGGTACATTCATCCATCCAGTCGATCGCCTGGCCCTTTGCTTTTAGACTCCCCACTAACTACTGGCTAGCGTAGATACAACGGCCGACGATTACCGCGGCATACAGGTAAAGATTGATATTTTTTTCCTCCTGGTCATTCGAGTCAGATAAGCAAACCTTCGTGTTGAAGATCGACCAGCTGGAAGATTCCAGGAGGGGGTATGTACTGTACTAATAGGTGCATCGAATGTATTGCTCCGTACTCGGTCCTGTCGATATGGATGTGGGAACAGTGGTGTTCGTGACAGAAAGGGGCGGTGGTGGATTTGGGGGAGTCCGGGTACGTAAGACATTTTCCCCAGGGGCTGTCCTTCGACTCGTTCAGCAGAAGACCCTGAAACAGACAATTTGAGCTAGCCCATACCGGTCATTTGGCATTCACACCTAGCAGCAGCATCATACAGTGCTTCTCTGTCTAGGGAGAGTGTACTGTGTTTTGTAAGAGCCCTACTGTAGTACCTTACTCATGTACAGTAACTTACGTGTGTGACTAGTGACTACCTAGCACTGCAAGAACTGTCTCCTGACCTCTTACCCAGAACAGTTTGTTGTAGTTTGTCTACTACAGTTGTATACATTATGTACCTTTTGTACGGTACTGTACCAGTACCCTTGTCTGGCGCAAACAGCGTGGCGGATCCCCCTAAGAGTCTTAGTCCCGGCTCTCCCACACTCACAGTAACCTAACTCCACTGCTTTCGGTCCAGCCTGGTTCGGCCACCCAAATTTAGCAACCCAGGCCATTAAGAAAAAAAATGTCAATAATACGAAGTACAAGACCTTCCTCTACAATACGTTACTTCCACACCCAAAACCATCCCCCTCCTCCCTCTTCTCCCCATCTCCAATTATTATTTTCCCAGCTGCGTAATGCCAGGTCGGAGCTGATAATATCTTCTATCCAAGGGGATTTTCTATCCTTTCCCTTCTTCTTGTTCTTCTCCTTCTTCTCCTTCTTCTCCTTCTTCCTCCTTCTCTTCCCATTCCAATCCTTCGTCTCCTTCGTTTACCTCTCTACCCTTCTTAGTTACGTTCTTGTTCTGGCAGGGGGGTATCGCGGTAGTGCAGGGCCCGCCTTCATCTCTTATCTGTGCCAGAACATCTGACTTTCCTCTCACTCTAATCTGCTCTCGCGTTGTTTCGCTTGCCTCGACCAGGTCAACTGGGGCCTGTTGAGTGAACTAATTCATCCCCTTTATGGCTTGGACGCTCGCGATCATCTCCCCAGCACAGTTCGACCATGGTTTACAACGCCCTCTTACAGGCCGACCACGAGGTCGCTTCCAATGCGAGCGATTCTGACGATCAGCATTTCCGCAGTCCTTCCCTCCAGTCCCAGCACCATGATGCATCCTTCCAACCACTTCCCTTGGATGTGGACCATATCGGCGCTGGCAACTATCTGCAACCTGCCAGATCAGCCGAAAGTTCCAGCATCGGCGGTTTAGGCTCGATCATCCGGTCGATCACCTCAACCAGCTACGACATGGTCGAAGACGATGACTACGAACTACCCGCCGATCACTCCTCCGCAGCCCAAAGTCCCAAGAGTTCCCGTCGCGTGCCTCCGCTTGACACTACCGCAACCACCATCGCTTCTTCCCCTTCCGAAGCGCCGCTCCGAAGCCCCATCTCCGGAGAGCCCATCCCTCTCAACCATCCGACCCCCGGTCTACAGTCCCTGCAAGGAGCCTATGTCAATAATGTGGAACGCCTGGAGAGGAGTGCTGAACGGATGAGTATGAGCTCAACCAATATTGGAGACGAGATCCGCAAGATGGATTTGGAGCAGAAACGGAGGTCCAGTGGCTCCTCGGTCTATACCAACAACCAAGATGGGTTTAAGGCCAGCCTGTCGTCCCGTCATGGCTCCATCCAGTCTGCCTCGCGCCTCGCTCAAGTCTCGGAGCATGGTCCGAACCCGTCGTACGCGGCATCCACCAACCACACGCCCCTTATGCCGTACCTACCTCCTCCCCCTTCTGCGCCCGCCCCAGGAGAGCTTCGTCTTGTCGACCATGAGCATTACAATCACCTACTGGGCGAAGAACTCGAACGTCCTTGCACAGCGGCTTCGACTGACACCTACCAGCAAGCTCGAGTCCTGTTCACTGACTTCGACGGCGTGCACTATGTTCCTTCGGAGAAAGACCTGGTGCGCCGAGTATCGCTTACCCGCCCGCCGCTCGCAAGCCGATCCGAAACTTACAAGCAACCACAGGCCGGCGAGGATATGGTCTATTACCCTGCACCGGTGCCAATGATGTTGAACTTGCCCCCTCGTCTGTCGCGGAAACCAGGCGCAGAGAGAGAGAAGCGCCGCACACAGCTTCTTGGCTCAATTCCTGTCGATAACCGCAAATCAGCCCCGTGGTTGTCACAACAGGACTCGAACGGCAACGCCGCTCTCAAGCGAGACAAGGAGGTAGCAGCGTTGCCGCCGCAGCTTCGTGCCAGTGTTTTCTTCGAACAGCCATCGGTGCCACTTAATTTAGAACTGACTCAAGCTTCCGCGGTAGCCACCTTGGATAGTATACTTGATGCTTCAACACATGCCCCTGTGAGTGCATTTACCGACCATCCCATTGCTGGCGCGGCGGGTCATGCCAAGCTCACACGTAAACCTTCCGTCGGCGGTTTGCTTGATCATTCGAAGAAGCGAGCCTCGCGGAGCACTCTCGGCTTCGACCGTCGCTTGTCCGATCCGGAGCTAGAAGCAAGACCAGTGACCTCCGATCGCTACTATAAACAAACAGAAGCCGAGGCGGCAGACATGCATGAAGGCACCTTGTTACAGGATGAGTATGGCGCAACTAACGGGGCGGACGTGGTTCACCACGATGACGAAGATCTCGCCCATCCAATTGAACCGGAAGTAGAGTTCACCGGCCCGCCAAATACACTAATGGCAGAATTGGAAATGCGAAAGAATGAACTCAAACAACGGCAGAAAGCCGTGGCGGGCCCCTTCGGACTCCAATCAACGCTCCTCCAAATGGATGCTGTCGCTCAGAAGCAGAGCGAGCATCGGCGACAGAGGCCAGTAACTCTGGCCTGGGAAAGTGCAGATGCTAACAAGCCGGACGAGGGCGACGACGATGATGTCCCGCTGGGTATGCTGTTTCCTGAAAAGGCACCCGCGACGGAAGAGGCGCGCCCGCTCGGTCTGATGGAGAAGAGAGCCATGGAAGAGTCGGAACCTCTGAGCCAGCGTAGAGCCCGCCTCCGGGGGGAACCCCCACCACGCACTCCCGATAGGCGCTCAAACACGATGTATGCAGCTACGGTGCAAGACGCCATGGCTGCAGCCGAGGAAAGCGGCGATGAGGAGGAAACCCTGGCCCAACGTCTTCAGCGGCTTAAGTCTAAAGACCAGGCTCCTTCCACTGTTGCGGATAGCGAGTTCGCAAGCGAGATCCTCGCGGAGATTAACAACGTCGGGGCCGACGGTGAGAAGGGCAAGGCTGATGCGATCCCGCCCGAGGATGAGACTTTAGCGCAACGGCGAGCTCGTCTTCAGCGCGAGGCGGAAGCTGAAGCTCTGAACAACTCGACACTGAAGATCCCACGGTATCGGAGAAGCATGGCTGATATTTTACACGCCCGACGTCCTTCTGCTATGCAGCGGCCACCTACTAAAGATATTTCCATGCCACAAGGGACAGCTCAGCAGCAGTACTCCAACGATCCCCGACTGTCGTTGCGGCAGATGCCAACGTATCCTGGGCCTCAGGCTGGATATGCAGCTGCGAGGGCTGCTCCATATGTCTCTGGGGTGGCGCATCCGAATACATTCTACAGCGATGCTATCCTGGGGGTCAGTCATCTCAGCTATGCACCTAACAAGCACCCCGCCAAGACGATGAGACCTATGATTCACCCCGGTCAACGGGAGGTCATAGATCGCTGGAGGCAGAGCATCGTCTAGTCCGTCTCATCTGCTTCTTTCTCATCTCCCTTTGACCAGTTCATCTCCTCGCTCTGCATATCTATATTTCAATCTTTGATCCGGATGCATTCTACGGTATTGCGTTGAGCTCGATTTGTGTTTCTGGAGCCTTGTTTGTTTTGTCTTGTCTTGTTCAGTATTTGTGGTGATATCCTCTCTACGTTAGCGGGTTTGTTTTTGTGTATTATACCGTTAAATTACCATTTCCCAGATTCCACATTCCTGCAATGCTGAGTCGTCTTCGGCCGTCTAAAAATAGGAACCAATCTATCTCTACATTGGCGGGGGGCAATTCATGCAGTGGCCAGTGGTAGCTTGGGAAGTCAAAGCAAAGATAAGAGGTAGATTAGGTATTATTACAATTCCGACTGCTGCATGCAACCTGTTGGCCATGATCGTTTTCGGCTATGCGTTCTCCCCGGTCTTCTCTGTCAATGGCATTTCGTTGCAATGTTTCGGATGTTTGGTGGTGAATCCGTCTGTGCCCCTGATTTGCGACTGGACCAAGTTTCGCGTGCAGCAGAAGTACTGAGTGGACAAGCTAGTGGGAAAAAAAGATGGAGACAACGAGATGAGCAAGAAGATAGTAAAGCACCTAAAGTACCTAAAGAACCTAATCAAACGGTTTTTCCCCCCTTGAATCTCAACCATTGGACGGCCGCCCGCGCGCCGGGTGAGACATGGAGACTAAGGTAGACCTGGAATTGCCCCACGGCAAATTATCCTGCATCATCCATCCATACTCTACTCCGTAATGATTGATTCTTTCTCTCTTCCATTCTTCTTCTCTAGCTTCTCCACAGGCAGACGCTATCTTCTCTACGTGTACATATCCGCTTAAACTTCTGATCTCACATTCCTGCCCAGGACGATCCAAGCAACTCGCAAAAAATATGGTCTGGATGCGATTCCTCACATTCTAGACGCTAACCTTCACCCGGATGCACCTCCAGGTGTTCCTGGCGCATTCCTCATCATGGCCCCCTCCACAGTCTTCTCCTACTGGCGTCGCGACCACCGCCGATCGAGCGCATCCCTCGTTTCGTCGTCCGTTGTGCAGCCCACGGCGAAGGGCCTGGTATCCAACACTCCTTCCCAGCTCCCCGTCATTCCGAATAACACAAATCTTCCCGCTTTCGCCGACCCCTCACCAGCCGCCGAAGGACCGAGCCCAATCGACTCGACCTCGGATTCGAAGAGAGCAGTTACCGTGTCAGCGAGCCCAGTCCATGCGCCCGCTTCTTCCTCAGCCAACCTTGCAGTGTCCTCCTCGTCGTTCGAGAATCACGCTCTGCGCGACTCCAGCTCCGAAGATCGCGACCGAGACCCAGCCCTCACCTCCCAGTCCAATTACTCGCAGGCATCCTTCACAGTTTCGCGTCCGCACCATGGGGATGGAGACATCCCCCGAACGAGCTCTCCGTTTCGACTTTCCATAGGCAAAAACCTACTTTCTTCGAATCACCAACCCTCCGATCCCCACCTCAAACGATACTCGACCCCCAGCATGCCGTCCTCGAGTCACCCCTTCAGGTTCAAGACCTCTCCCGATATAACATCGTCCGCCGACAAGGTCGCCACCGCGCAGCGCGACTACAAGAGTGATGGCGGCAGCCATCGTCGGCAGGGAGATCGGGACAATCTGGGCTCAGAACATGGCTATCACAAGTCGGGCAAAACCAGGCTGCATCTACTGAATCCCATGTCACTCCTCGCCCGACGGCGCTCGCACCAAGGAACAAGCCTCCGCACCGCTGACACCACGAACTCTGCCCGCAACTTGGTCCCCGCGATCCCCGACGATTACGATCCCCGGATTCGCGGGAAGATCGTCCATGACTTCTCTGCGCCGCGTCCGCGTCGCAATCACTCCACGCCTCCGGTACTGCTCCGCGACACCTATCATCAATCGTCCAACGAGCCGATTGCACCTTGTGCGGATCAGGCCGCCCACGCTGCCCAGCACAGTGAGCAAGCAAAGCGGCACACGCAATACTCACCCGTGTTCAAAGAGCACTTCGAGGAGGACAACCAGCAGGTGTTGCAGGTCGAGAGCAAAGCCTATCTCCAGTCCTCTTTGTTGACAGATCCTTCGCTGGCGGAAAGCGACTCCCGCGCGCTCCCCGTGTTTGCTCGGAAGCTGCCCTCAACGATCCCAGAGGAGAGCGGACCGGCGGAGTCGCCCGATGAGCAGGTGCGAACTAAGGAAGATACAGAAGACCAGCCCGAGGTTCAACAGGAGCCTGCCGCTGGGCATGACGAGGACACCATCGAGATGATGCCGCACCAGTCCCTGGGCCTGCCCAAGCATTTCAAGAGCAATGCGTCTCGGTTCAGTTTTGATATGAACGGTGTGGAGTCGTCGGCGCAGGAGAAGCTGCTGGAGGAGAAACATAAGGAAAAGGAGGCCGCGAGAAGGGCCAAGGCCCAGTTGGAGGATCCGGGCTTCAGCGATGGCGAAGACTTTGATGCCGATATTCTCGATGACATGTACGACTTCGAAGAGAAGATCCCCGGCGTGAACGTCGATGCAGACGAGGACTACGAGTTCCAGGGCTTTTCGGGCACAGGCAACATCCTTAACAAGTCGTGGCTGGCTCCCGAGCTGTCTCCGGTCGTTGCGAGCCCGCTAACGCCCGGGATTCCGGGGTATGATGGTGCTGGGGATTCTCCGGCTCCTGTGGCGGACAGTTCCCCAAACCTGTCGAACGGAGAGCCGGCTGCGGCTCCTGAGCAGGATCGCGGCATTCAGTCTTTGCCTACGGCGACGGCATCGTCTGTTGAGACTCCGCAGTTGGTTCAGAGTGTACAGCCGATGGCTCCACAGCCGATTGTCGACGACGACGACGACGACGATCTGTATTTTGACGATGGGGAGTTCGGTGACCTGACCACTGAAGGGGAGAAATTTGATGAGTCGGTATTTGACGATGAAACTAGCCATCTATATGAGCGGAAGCCGGTCGCTCCGCAGCCGATACAAGAGGACGATGATGATTTGTATTTCGATGATGGAGAGTTCGGTGAGCTGACTACTCAGGGCGAGAGGTTTGACGAGTCGGTCTTTGATGACGAAACAAGTCATCTTTATGAGCGGAAGCCGGTAGCTGAACGTCCCGTGTCTAACCCGCCAGTGAAGGCGGAGGAGAACGAAACCTCTGCGAGTCTCGCCGAACATGAGGAGCCACTATTGGAGCACAATGGCGGTCTCAGGCATGCTCCCAGCATAGCGAGCGAGTATCAAGCAGACACTTCTAGGATTTACAGCCACACCCTTGAGGCACTCACGGACCTTGCGCCTTCCAAACCGCATGGCGGAGTCTTATCCGAGTACAACCTCGGGGCCTTCCACGACGCTCTGGCCAAAGTGGCCAACGACACTTCCTTACACGAGAGGTTCGGGCGCTCTGTGAGCATTAGCGAGCGGTCCGTCGGTCAGACAAGCACAGCGCAGACGATGGACACCCCTTCCGGGCTGATATCGGACGACAGCCATTTAAGCCAGGCTGTTGATGGGTTGGGCTTCGACGAAGTATTAGACGATTTCGACTACGATGATAATGACGCCTTGCTGTACGATGACCTGATCATTGCCGCGGCCAACGCTGAAGCGCTCGAGAATGACGATGACGGTTTCTACGGCCAAGAGTTCGGATTCTACGCACAGTCTCTGGGGACCTGCAGCACGGAGCTCACCAACGGCGGCTACTTCGGTCCCCGGGGCGTTGAGGGGATCTCGCGGAGCTTCAGCAGCCGGGGCAAGTTCCGCGAGCCCAGTCTCACCCCCATCACCGAGCGGAGTGAATGGAGCACGCGCAACTCGGTCATCTCGCTGACGGCTCATGGTGCTACGAACCCAGCGCTGCCGAGTCCCGGGCTCGCTCAATTGGTCGACCTCGCGAGTAGTATGGACGACGAGATGTCCCTGAGCGCGTTGATGCGCCTTCGACGGGGCGCCTGGGGCGGGAGCAATGGAAGCCTCCGCAGCGGCAGCGGCAGTCCCCCGCCCTATCTCCATACATCGTCCAACCGCGCGAGCTACATCTCCGATGCGAGTCCCACGATTCTGACAGCTCCCCCGGATGCATTCTGTAGCTCTGATGCCGCAGAGTCTCCCATTGAGAAATCGGAGAAACTGCGATGGTCACACGCCTCCGCGGAACAGCGGATGGATCCTTCATTGAGCGAGGAGGAGAACTGTTCCTCTATCTGACCGCCCAGGGTTTCACTATGTTGAACAGTCCGGGAGATGAGATACAGGCGAAACCATCACGGTATATAACTCATCTTGGCCGTTTGCCCTATTTACATAATGATGTTCATGCCCACTATATAATACCTCCTCGCCGCGCAAGGCAGCGGCTTGTTTGTACTGTACCGTTAGCGAATGGAACCCCGTGATTTTGTCAGCGCGCATGATATGATTCCCGTAAGGAAGGTCTTCTGACTCGCTGCCGATCAAGTTTGCTGCTCTGGATCTGGGGTAAAACCGAGACTAGGCTTTCTTATTTGTAGATCCTCTGACCAGCAGGGCTGTCCAGCAGCCCTCGAGTGTTCCGCGTGCCCTGCCTGCATTTGATGTCATTGGGTCCACGTGCCCTCCCGCAAAAACCCGGCCCGGGAAATGCTCATAGCCGGGTGTGGCGGTGCAACTGCTTAACCGCAACCGGGAAGTCCGGCCCGCCACTGCTGGGCATCGCTGGGCATCCGCGCTGCTGGTCACTGCTGGCGACTGCATGAAAAGGGAGAATTCCCTCGGTCCGCTGAGAGAACGGACAAAGCGGGATGAGTCAGCTGTGGCCGCACCTGCAAAAGGCATCAGCCACAGCTGCGCTGGCCGTCATAGCCGTACCTCCGTACCATTCTCGGCAAACCTCTGCCTTGCCTGGCTGCTGCTGCCAGTTCCAAGTTCCCTCCCATCCCATTCTCCGTTCCCATCTCCTCTCTTCCATTACTACTACTCTCTCTACTCCACCCTACCTTCAAACACCTAGAGGCTTCCCCTCTTGAACCCCTTTTGTTTATTGAGAGTGTGTTCACTCTCTGATGAGTCCCGTTTTTGCTCAGGTGCTACGGCAACAATAGTCGACACCTGCTTTCGATCCTAGAAACCCTTCTTCTCCCAGCGTGCGTGTTCCTTTGGTCCGCCAGAAAAAAAATCCCGCAGCGATGACTGCAAGATGAAGCTCTAGCTAACATACCAATTGACGCGTCAACAGATTAAGCAGCTCCCCCTCCGCAACCTCTATCTGTCTTTCTATCATCTCAAGCTCGTCGCAAAACGCATTAGAAAAAATTCCCGCCATGTTTCGCTCCACAGCCGTCAAGGCCGCTAACAGCGGTTTGCGCTCCGCCTGCACAAGATCCATCTCCCTCGCTTCCAGCGCCAGAAATGTGTCTTTCCGCAGCTCAAAACTCGGCTTGACCACTCGCCGTCCTCTGGCGGTGGTCAACAGCAAACGTTACTACGCCCAGTCCGCTGAGGGCGTTGATGCCAACGATTCTTTCCTCTCCGGAAACACCGCCAACTATGTTGATGAGATGTACTTGGCATGGAAGAACGACCCGTCCAGCGTTCACATCTCATGGCAAACGTATTTCAAGAACATGGAGGAGGGCAAGATGCCCGTTTCGCAGGCTTTCCAGCCCCCTCCCACGCTCGTTCCCACCCCTACCGGCGGTGTCCCTCAAAACATGCCCGGTGAGGGTCTTAGCTTCGCAGCTGGTACCGATGTCACGAATCACTTGAAGGTTCAGCTTTTGGTACGTGCCTACCAGGCTCGTGGTCACCACAAGGCCAAGATTGATCCCCTTGGTATCCGTGGTGAGGCCGAGGCTTTCGGCTACAACAAGCCCAAGGAGCTCGAGCTCGACCACTACGGTTTCACCGAGCGTGATCTCGACGAGGAGTTCACTCTTGGCCCCGGTATCCTGCCCCGCTTCGCGACTGAGAGCCGCAAGAAGATGACTCTGCGCGAGATCATCGCTACCTGCGAGAAGATCTACTGCGGATCTTACGGTGTTGAATACATCCACATCCCCGACCGTAAACCTTGCGACTGGATTCGTGACCGCTTCGAGGTCCCCGAGCCCTACAAGTACTCTGTCGATGACAAGCGCCGTATCCTCGACCGCTTGATCTGGTCTCACAGCTTCGAGTCCTTCCTTGCCACCAAGTTCCCCAATGACAAGCGTTTCGGTCTGGAGGGTTGCGAAACCCTGGTGCCCGGTATGAAGGCCTTGATCGACCGCAGTGTCGATTACGGTATCAAGGACATTGTCATCGGTATGCCCCACCGTGGTCGCTTGAACGTCCTCTCCAACGTCGTCCGTAAGCCCAACGAGTCCATCTTCAGCGAATTCGCTGGTTCCGCCGAGCCGTCCGACGAGGGCTCCGGTGATGTCAAGTACCACCTGGGTATGAACTTCGAGCGCCCGACCCCCTCGGGTAAGCGCGTGCAGCTTTCTTTGGTCGCCAACCCCTCCCACTTGGAGGCTGAGGACCCCGTCGTTCTCGGAAAGACCCGCTCGATCCAGCACTACAACAAGGACGAGTCCAACTTCGACTCCGCCATGGGTGTCCTCCTCCACGGTGATGCTGCCTTTGCTGGTCAGGGTGTCGTCTACGAGACCATGGGCTTCCACTCCCTCCCTGCCTACTCCACCGGTGGTACCATTCACATCATCGTGAACAACCAAATTGGTTTCACCACCGATCCCCGTTACTCGCGTTCCACCCCCTACTGCTCCGACATCGCCAAGTCCATCGATGCTCCCGTCTTCCACGTCAACGCCGATGATGTTGAGGCTGTCAACTACGTCTGCCAGGTCGCCGCTGACTGGCGCGCCGAGTTCAAGAGCGATGTTGTCATTGACATTGTCTGCTACCGTAAGCAGGGTCACAACGAGACCGATCAGCCCTCCTTCACCCAGCCCCTGATGTACAAGCGCATTGCTCAGCAGAAGGCTCAGCTCGACAAGTACGTCGAGAAGCTCATCGCGGAGGGTACCTTCACCAAGGAGGACATTGACGAGCACAAGAAGTGGGTCTGGGGCATGCTGAACGACAGCTTCGACCGCAGCAAGGACTACCAGCCCACCGGCAAGGAGTGGCTCACGTCTGCCTGGAACGGCTTCAAGACCCCCAAGGAGCTGGCCAACGAGGTTCTGCCTCACCTCCCCACCGGTGTTGACACCTCTCTTCTGCAGCACATTGCTGGCAAGATCAGCGGTGCTCCTGAGGGCTTCACTCTCCACCGCAACCTTAAGCGTATCCTGGCCAACCGCAAGAAGACCGTTGACGAGGGCAAGAACATTGACTGGGCTACTGCTGAGGCTCTTGCCTTCGGCTCTCTCGTGTCTGAGGGCTACCATGTCCGTGTTTCCGGTCAGGATGTTGAGCGTGGTACTTTCTCCCAGCGCCACGCTGTTCTCCACGACCAGGAGAACGAGACTACCTACACCCCTCTCCAGGACGTCTCCGAGAAGCAGGGTAGCTTTGTTATTTCCAACTCCTCCCTCAGTGAATTCGGATGGTAAGTTCTTGCCTTCATATTACAGGTTGAAGTCTCCTACTCATGCTAATCGACCTGCAGTCTGGGTTTCGAATACGGTTACTCCCTGACCTCTCCCAACGCTCTTGTCATGTGGGAGGCCCAGTTCGGTGACTTTGCCAACAACGCTCAGGTCATCATCGATCAGTTCATCGCCTCCGGAGAGTCCAAGTGGCTCCAGCGCTCTGGTCTCGTCGTGTCTCTGCCCCACGGTTACGACGGCCAGGGTCCCGAGCACTCTTCCGGCAGAATGGAGCGCTGGCTGCAGCTTTGCAACGAGGAGCCCCGTATCTTCCCCTCCGCGGACAAGCTTGACCGCCAGCACCAGGACTGCAACATGCAGATTGCTTGCATGACCAGCCCTGCCAACCTGTTCCACATCCTGCGTCGCCAGATCCACCGTCAATTCCGCAAGCGTATGTTTTCCCTATCCTCTGTCATTCTGTTTCAAGCTGACTCTAGTCACAGCTCTTGTGCTCTTCTTCTCCAAATCCCTCCTCCGTCACCCCATTGCCCGCTCTGACATTGAGAACTTCACTGGCGAGTCCCACTTCCAGTGGATCATTCCCGATGAGGGCCACGGCAAGGAGATCGATGAGCCTGAGAAGATCGAGCGTGTTATCCTGTGCTCTGGCCAGGTTTATGCTGCTCTTCAGAAGCACCGTGAGGCTAACAACATCCGCAACACCGCCATCACCCGCATTGAGCAGCTGCACCCCTTCCCTTGGGCTCAGCTGAAGGAGAACCTCGACAGCTACCCCAACGCCCGCAACATCGTCTGGTGCCAGGAGGAGCCCCTGAACGCCGGTGCCTGGAGCTACACTCAGCCTCGTATCGAGACTCTGTTGAACCAGACCGAGCATCACAACCGCCGCCACGTCCTCTACGCTGGTCGTGCCCCTAGTGCCTCTGTGGCCACTGGTCTCAAGTCCGTTCACTTGAAGGAGGAGCAGGAGTTCCTCGAGGATGCCTTCAGCGTCCACCAGGAGCGCCTGAAGGGCGAGTAGAGTGTTTTTTGGGACATTTTTTCTTGGTTTGGCGGAAGGAGCTAGTTTGTGTCAACTCATTTAGGTCTTCACTGTATGGTTTTTTTCCTTTGTCTACAAAGCATAGTGTACGATGGTTATACAACAAGTCATGCTTGCGTGTGTCGGAGCTTTGGTGTACCGTTCTTTGCACATGTTAGATGGTCTGGCCTGCCGATACCTTGCATGTGTTTAGCGCACGCGTGTAAATTTAGACATTGATATAATTTCCTCGGTTCAGTTTTGGTCTTGTTGAGTCGTTTAGGTTCCAAGTTTTCAGCCGGCGTTCGTAGCAACCCCTCGATACGGACAAGTGATGTCATTTTCTGTGTTGACACCCGGTTCTGACTAAGGAATTGTGATGCCTGGAAATACAGGCGTCAATCACCTGATGGGGCTCATTCCTTCTCCGCACCGCAAGCCAGCACTTAATCTTCGGCGCTACAACTTCTTCTGCGTTCTCAAATGCATGTTGCGCCTATGGTGATTTTCGTGGGTTAATCGCATCAGCAGTGCTGTTTCCGTCTGAAACTCACTCCAATAGCTGGATCAATTCACAATTTCAGCTGGATTGTGTGTTTCACTGAGGTGCATGAGGCAAATCCTCTTTCTTCTCTTATCCTCATTTCTCCTCCACTTTTCCTCTCTCTCTCTTTCCCCCCGTCTCTACTTTCTAGGTTTCTTTCTCTTTCTTTCCCACTAGAACAACCTCTCGATCCAGCGACAAGACCTACTTGAGAAATCCACAAGAATGTCCACCACACTTCCACCCAATCTCCCAACCGCCGCTGGCGGCTCCTCCACAACGCACGCCAATCCCACAACCACAACCGCAGCCACGGCAACGACCACGACGACGACAACGACAACAACAACAAAAACCCGGCAGACGCGCACCAACCCCTCCCGCACCTCCAAGACGCAATCCCGGTCCTCCTTCGCCTTCGGCCACGGCACCACCACCGGCGCTTCTGGGCTCCACCGCTCCTCCGCCGCCGACCACGCCGCGGTCAATGCCACCACCGCCATCCCGCACGGCTTCTACCCGGCGCTCACGCACTTCACGGACGCCATCACGGCGCTGCCGCGGGAGTTCCGGCGGCATAATTCCCTGCTCAAGGAGGTGGACGCCAAGGCGTGGGCGCTGGAGGAGAATCTGTTGCAGTTGCTGAAGGCGAGTGCGGAGGCGCGGCCGGTTCCTTTTTCTGTCTCGGGCTCGGGATCTGGGTTTCTTGAAAATGGTTCGGGGGATCCGGGGCGGAGTCTTGGGGAGGGCGGGTTTGGGGAGGGGCAGGGGGAGGGAGGGGATGGTTTGGGGTTGGGGATTGGGTCGATGGTATGTTTTTCCCTGTCATTATCTCTCTGCGTTGCTCCTGCAAAGGAGGTTCTTTGAGGTGATTTTGTGTCACGATGCTTATTCAACCGGATCGACGAACAACAGCCCCCCTCGGAATCCCCCGCCAGCAAGAACCGTCGCCTCCTCTTCGACCGTGTCCGGCACACGCTGTCGGATCTGATGATGACCGCCGATGAGAAGAACCATGTCATCTCGAATGCGAACGACGAGCTCGATCGCCAGCTCACCCGGCTCGATGCCGTCTTCCCCTTCATTGCCGGCGAGATCAGTGACGAGGCCCGCCTGGGCAGCTTATCGCATTGGGCGTATTCGAATCGCTTAGTGGGTCTTGGTGCTGGTAGCGCGAAGACGGCGGACCGTCCTCGGCGCGATGCGACGGGGTCCGGCAAGACGGAACTGGCACATGGGCATGGGCATTCACATGGGCATGGGGCCCACGGGCATGGAGCGGGCCATGATGCGGAGGGATCGTCGCGGAGTGAGGCCAGACGCGAGGCGGTTATGGCTAGGAGGCAGCGGCGTGGGGGCGCGGGGGCCGGGCAAGGGCCGGGCCATGTGGATTCGGATTTGGATGATGGAGCGAGGGGATCTGGCGGGGGTGCTGCTGGTGGAGGGGGTGGCGGCAGGAAGGGAGGACAGAGTGGGAAGGCTAGAGGCGGTGCAGGAGGAGCCGCTTCTGGTGGTGGTGCCGGAGGCCAGGCTGGTGAGCATGTCGGTGGTGCTGGGCAGGGCGGCAGTACCTCCGGCCAGGCGAAGCGGAGGAAGGTCGAGCGGCCACCGCCTGTGGATACGGGGGCTGCGATGGAGAGGTCGGCGAGCGGCGCAGGTGGTGCTGCAGGTGGTGCTGCAGGCCGGGCTGGCTCCAAGGATGTAGATGCTACTGGTGCTGGCGCTGGCGGTGCCGGGGGTGCAACTAAGAAGAGAGCGCGTGCGCCAAATGCCAACGCGGCTTCACGGAAGAGGTAAGGCTGCCAATGCTTAGGGGGTTTTTTTCCGTCTGATCATGCAGTTGCAAGAGAAAAACAAAGTCTTCTTTGTTGCTGTGGTTATTGTTACACGAGCTGATACTGACTCTTTTTGGTGTCAAACAGAAACAACCAAGCCAATTCTGCGGCCGATTCGCCAATCCTCGCCCCTTCGCCTGTTGTCGCTGCAGCCACGATCCCACGCAACGCAGCCAGTCCAGGCCCTGGGGCGGCACGACCGCAGTCTTCCCGTGCGCAGCAGACTGCCGGACAGGCAAACAACGGCCGTCAGCGCCCATCGTCATCCGCCTCCAATCGCATGGCCGGGAACAGTGAGTATTCTGCTAGACTCTCAGCTGCAATTGTTGCAGTCTCAACTGACATTTTCCCATCAAAGACAAAACAACCGAGACGAAGACCGTCATTAAAGAAAGCACGGCCAAACCGGAAGCCACCCTCAGCTCGGTCAACGAAACCCCGCGCGAGATGGCCGACGAGGGCGTGGACGTGGCGAAGATACCTGTGCCAGTAAGCACGAAGCGCGAGGACACCGACGGCGGCAAGCCAACGCCATCCATCGAGCCCAGCGAAACACCAGCGCCGCCGCCGGCTGCCGCTACTATCGCTGCTCCTGCTGCTACTGCCTCGGCTCCTGCACCTGCCCCGGTTTCAATCCCGAACCCACCGCCCAAGGGCCGATCTTCCAAGACCTCTACGCCCGTGCTGCCGACCTTCACAGAACCTTCCACCACCGCTGCGGCCGCCACGACAACGACGCAGCGTGTACGCCCAACCCGCAGCACCGATCCCGCTCCCGCCGCCACCACCACAACCACGAAACGCTCGCACAAGAAGAACGGCAGCGTGCCGGTGGTGGTGCCGCTGCGGGCGGTGTCAGAGGAGGAGGAGTCGCTGCACGAGGGCGACGACGAGGACGAGGACGGCGAGCCGCGGTACTGCTACTGCAATGAGATCAGCTTCGGCGAGATGGTGGCGTGTGACAACGATGCCTGCCCGCGCGAGTGGTTCCATCTGTCGTGTGTGGGGTTGACGAAACCGCCTGGCAAGAATGGTATGTCCTTTTTTTTTCTGGTGCTTGGGTTCAGTTATCGGCTAACATTTCTGGGGACAGTGAAATGGTATTGTAACGAGTGCAAGGACAATATGCGCCGGAGTCGGAGTGGGCGTTGAGAGGAGAGCTGTTTGGGCTGTGGTTGGATGGATGGAGCTGGGTTGGACAGGATTTTCTTTGGATTGGAGTTCCGGGGGAGTCTTATGGATAGATAGAAGTATTTGATATGGTATATACTTTGGAATAGGATTCGTGGTTTAGGTGTATGGTTATTTATGTGAGGTTAGATTGTTGTATAGACATGGGTTGGCCAGTCTGGTAGGATGTTAGGTTCTTGCATAGGTAGGTAGTCTGGGTTGTACGGTTCTTGCAGCAGAGGAACCCTTGGGCCAGGCTCATGGCGGCATAAATCCCGCCCCTTCTTCAACAAATGTCTTCATGGTGTAGTGGTTATCACGTGGGTCTCATATCAACTGAATATGACTTGGAAGCCCTCAACTTCCAGGATATCCCAAGGCCGGGAGTTCGATCCTCCCTGAGGACATGTGTTTTTGCTTTTTTGCCTTTGTCTTTGCTGTTTGTGATATGCGGGTCATCGACTCGGGCGGTTGATCGTGTGCCTCTTCCTGGACTATAAACCCTGCACCTTGGACCCTTTGTGAGGCAGCAACTTGAGAACATTCTTATTGTATCCCGAGATAGCTAGTTTACCACGGAGTCTCAGACATGACCCTCACAGGGAATCACAGATCCAACCCTCCCAATCCCGCATACCATAATACATAACCTGGCCACAAACAGAGAGGTTAGGCTCCCACCCCGCGTCTCAACCGCTGCGCAGCCCCAGCCCCAGCCCCTTCTACCCCCGATCCAGCTGCAGCTCCTCCGGCCCCCGACGACCCCGAAGCAGCAACAACCTCCCCCTCCAACCGTCGCCGTAACTCCTCATACCGCTCGCTCCCAGAACCAGCCGTCCCCTCTCTCCCACCAGCACCGCCACTGCTACTGCTGTTCCGGTCTGCCTGCCCAACCACCCACCCCGGCACCCGCCACCGATACCCGCCCGGCACAAAGAACAGCGGCAGCGCCTCCGTCCGCCACGCCAGCCCGACCCCCCACCCGACCACGGCCGGCAGGAGCAGATTCGGGAACTGCGAGGCGGCGAGTTGCGCCGCGACGAGGTAGGTGGTTGATTTGTCGGAGAGCGTGATCGCGAGGTTTGCTTTGTTGGTAGTTTGTTCCGTGGGCGCTGTCGCCGAAGCCGGAGGCGGGGCCGTCGTGGGTGTGGGAGTGGCCGTGGAAAGACAATACCGCACCGTCTGCGGGATCGACGCGTGATACTGCGCGAGTAACGCGAAGAGCGTGGCTGTTGGGCCTGAGGGCAGCGCATTCAGCTTCGCGAGGGTGAGCGGTCGCAGGATCAGGAGGAGGAGCGGAGGGAGGAGGGTGGTGTAGGGTAATGTGGTGAGGAGGAAGGTCTATCCATTGTTATTTTTATTTTTTTTGGCTGCTGTTAGCAGACATCCCAGCACGTTTGGAACGGGGGAAAAGGACGATGTCCAAAATGCCCGGGTAAAGGTGCATACCGCCATCTTCCGCGTCCCCCACGCCCGCTCCACCACCCGTAGGTGGTAGGCCAGCATCGCGGCGAACAGCGCCTCCGTCGAGTTGCCGAACCCCGCGACCTGCCACGCCGCCAGCCGCCAGTATTGGCCGTACGGCCAGAGGTGCGGCGTGATCTGGAGAGTGGCGAGGTGCTTGATGTCGAGGATCGCGAGCGCCACCGAGGCTGCGATCGTGTAGATGAGGAGGCCCTTGGAGATGGGCGCGTTGGTGAGGCCGGAGGTTAGCATCTTCGTTGCGGTGTTTTTGCCTCGAGACGGCGATTGTGTGCGGGATTGTTTGATAGTTGGCGATTTCCCGGTTCGCTTTCTTGTGAGACAGTAGGGAGGATGGGTTAGAGCATGGGGGGTGGTAACAGTGTTGATGTCGCGTGGTCACTTGCGGAGCGGATTGCGGGTTGCGGAAGTGAGGTTGGCTGATTGATTGATGATGGGCCACGTCGCGCCAATGACGGAGTGCGGGCCGAGGCTTGGAGGGGTCCCGGCATGCCGATACGCTAAGGTAACCTTTGTTTGCTCACTTTCAGAAGGGGCAGTTGAATAGCTATAATTCACATCATTTTATGTCTAGTTCTATCATACATGGTTCCCTCCAATGCCAAGCTCACGCGGGAGGCATCTCCTTCATTTCCTCGGCCAACGCGTCCTTATACTTCGTCAGCGCCGTTTCCAAAGCGCGGATCGTCGGCCCCAGTAACCGCGTCACGGCCTGCTCCCCGCCAGCGACATTCGCCAGATTAATCCGCAATTTTTTGCCCGTCGCCTCCAGCACGTCTCGGGCGTGTCGCCGCAGTCGGTTCACTTCCACCTGTCGCTCCGCCTCTGCGTCTTGCTGCACGGCCTTGATGCGGTCCATGGCCCGGTTGAGCGATTCGACCAGCGACGCCACCTCCCCGGCACGGTCGGGGTTGCCCGACAGAAACGCTTGCCAGAATTGGTGCAGGAATTCGGTCGAGGTCGCATGCGTCAGCGTGAGTCGATCGTACAGCGCACTCGACAGGCCGAATGTGCCGGAGATCGCTGACGCCTCGGTCTGCGTGCGGCGGTCGCGGATGGCCTCGAGAATCTGACTCGACGCACGTTTTAAGGTGGCTCGAGAGCCCACCTGGCTAGCCTGCTTGTTTTCATCGTCGTCGTCATCATCCTCCTCTGGTTCCACAAGGCGCCCTATAGGCACTATTCCGCCCTCTGGCAGGTTCTGGTCAACTTCGCCACGCAAGTCGTTTAGGATCCGATTTGGATCCTGCTGAGCAAACAGTCGGCTTTCCTCATCCTCATCTGTCTTGGACTGCGACGAGAAAAAGCGACTCTGATCCTTCACATTCAGCAGGATACGCCGTTGCTCCTCGTCGCCCCGCAGATCCCGCAGCTGTAGCTCGTTGTACATATCATCCTCCGTGTCGTCATTCGCTTGCGGAATCGCATCGGCCGGCGCGACGTTGGCCATAATCTTCTCACTTAGGTTATTCAACGTCCGGATAATCGGGACCTTCTCCACGGAGGACGGCCGCATGTCGAGGTCGGGGCGATTGCCGCGCCGCTGACTGTGATTGACCTCGTTGCCTGCCAAATCCAAAAAGTGCGGGACCTGCGCATCCCGCAGGTTCCCATGCTCGTCAGCCTTGAGATACTTATCCAAAATCGCATCCGTCGCGTCCGTCTCAGAGATCCGCTCGCCGCGCAGCTTCTTGAACAGCCGGCTCTGGAAGAACCGCGACCAAAACTGCGTCTCGCTCAGCTTGGGCACGTTCTCGTCGTACACCTGCTTCACGAGCGGGTGCTGGTTGAAGATCAGCTGGATCTGCTCCTTGCTGATGTTGAGCTTCGTCACGCTGTCCTCCACCCGCGGCTTGAGCGTCGACAGCACGTTGTAGGAGCCGCGCGTCTGCGACCGCTCGATCGCATGGGCGCGCAGCAGGTGCAGCCGCGTCGACCAGAACTGCTTCATGAACTGGCCCGCGGAGAGCGTCTCGGGCTTGGTGCCCATCGACTCCATAAACATGCGCTGCAGCTGCGGGTTCGACTTGAGCAGCGACTGCTGCAGCTCCATGTCGCCCTGGAGCCGCTTGTCGTCATCCCACGGCTTCTCGTAACTCCCTCCGGCCGTGATCGCATTCGCCATCGCCATCGCCGCGGAGACGCCTTCGTTGGAGCCTCCGCCGCCGCCGCTACCAGCAGCAGCAGCAGCAGCTACAGGAGGTGTTGGCGCGGCCTGAGCGGCCTTGACAGCCTGAATGGCCGCGCTCAGCGCATCCTTGATGGCATCCGCCTCGGCTCGCGCATTCGCTCCGGCTGTGAAGTTGAAGACGTACTGTTCGGGAGTGTTGTCCGGTGCGTTGGGAGGGAGGACGTGGATCTTCAGCATTACTTTTGGGCTAGTCGCGGGGGTCTGCTGTAAATCTATTCCATTTTGTTCGTCATTTTATTAGTGTCTCTGAGCAAAAAGAATAGCTTAGGAAGAGCGCAAGATGGGTCGGTCGCGTTCTAAACAAAGCTGCGAAAAGAACAAAAAAAACCCACGCACTCGTTATCTGAGCCACAGAGATGGTGATCGTCCCCGTCGCACCTCCAGCCGCCGGGATCCAGGAGACCGACTGCTGGTCCGGCGACATGGTCAGGGTGCCATCTTTCTTCTTGTACACTGCCGACCCGCTCGGAGGGGCCATCGTCATCGAGCTCGACAGCGTCCACTGTCCTGGGCGGCGTCGAGCGATCCGCCCATCGGGAGGAGACAGTCCCACGGGAGAATCAGAAGAACCGGGGCCTTCAAGACCAAGACGAAGACTGTCTTTCGCGGGGAACGGTAAAGAGAAAAAATCAGAGCTAGAAATTGTGGGAAAAGGTGTAAATCGGCCTACGGCGGGTTGCCGCGATGGATTGATTGCCGTGAATGCACGTGATGATGGAGGTGAGAGGCATGTGACTTGGATTAGTCATGGGCTGCGCCAGCCCTAGATGTCTAGATCTCAATTGACATTGAGCATGATGGGTTGCATGTGAGTTTTTGTTTTGTGACGTTGTTCTTGCATTTGACGTTACTTATGAGTCTGGTGGTGTGGGTCCTACTGTGGCTTCATGGTGTGGTATCAACTTTGTTTTGATCGAAGCTACTGATCTTGGTGTATTTGTCCGAGCTCTACATAACCATACAACCTCTCGGATTCGAAGCAATATCTCATGAGGCGTCCCTGCTGCTTCGTCACCAGTCGCAAATTCAGAGGCACAATGCCTACTACAGTTCCCTACGATAAGGAGGTAGACACAGAGACTGCCTGACCACTAGTGACAGTCTTCAGATGGACATTTGTGAGATAACCATCCAAGAAGCGTCGCTCTGTCGGAGAAAACAGGGGTTATAAAAAGCCTTTACACATATGAGTGATTGCAACAGACCATCGTTTGTCATAGCGTTTCAGAGCCCTCGGAACGTTAGGCCAGGCAAAGCATACTTTGCAGCTCACAGATCGGAGCGATATTAGACCCGTAGTATTGCATGCCTGCATGTGTAGAACACTAATCAATAATCTCTCACTTGTGCAAGATAGTTAGTCAGATGATAGAATCATACGCCGCATGGACTATCCACAATTTTGAGTTGTGTAACAAACTAAGACAAAAGTGATCAGAGACTGATCGCCTCGATGCGCGGTCGCATACACCGAGAGTTTCCTTGCACTTGAGATGCCTCGAAAATTGTATACTAATTCGCTTATATGGAAGCCATCTCATTGGTCCACATTCCGAATAAGGTGTGTGGTCACGTGCTCTCGCGGTTTGCGGGGACGCGTCGCAGTCTCGCCTGCCCAGTGCCAAACCCTCCGCGTGAGCGGTCTACTGCTAGGTGAAGAAGAAATCTTGAATATCAAAGTCCACGGCAAAATGGCCTACTATGATATCGATGCTATCCTAACCGATGCGCAGGTAGGTTGGCGGGGGAAGCCTGGTGTGTTCGTTCCAACATACTGACGAGGGCAAATCTGATGTAGAAACTGCCCTGCACATTTGAGCTCGACGTGCCGGGTCTTGGCATTCTAGAAGGCAATCCGGGAGAGAATGTATGGAAACCGTCTTTTCGTGGATTCTGCACACTATCTTGACTGACCATGCTACCAGATCAAAGCTGGGACTCGCATTGACCTGCCACTTTGGTTGGGGGAGATGCTGTCCATCGGGTAAGCGAATCTGGTGTCTACTATTGCCGTTGATTGTGGATGTTGTCTGATGGGATTGCTCTCAGTGCACGGCTGGGTACCTCGCGACTGGTGACGCTGGATCTCCCATTTGCATTGTCGGATCGTGTCCTGAACGCATTGAAGGCCGATCCGCGGACGGTGGATTTGCGCTCGCTGGCACCCCATTTCTACAGTCTGAGCGAACGGGTGCTGGAGCTGTTTGAGGAAGAGGAGATGGTGGATGTTCTGAGTAATGTATGACCATACCCCCCAGGAGTTCCTTTCGAGAGGCATGAGGTTAACAGGATCGCTCATCGTCCGACAGACATTCAAGAAGCGCGCAGCGCAGATCGCCGACCATGCGCACAATCCGCAGGGCGCGTTGGGCCAAGGGGCGGATTTCCTGCGTGGTCTGGACGAGACGGAACGACAGTGTACGTTTGTTGACGGTGTCGTTGATGCTACTGCCTGCCTTCGGCTTTCCTTCTTACTGATATCGATTCCACACAGTGTTCCGAGCTACGCATGACAGTGCCAAGGAGACCCGGGTCTGGGCTGGGGAGTCGAAGAAGAAATGAGTGAACGGGTTTGTGAAGATACACTAAAGAAGGCTGAGCTGGCTCGCCAACATATTAGAAGCGAGTGTTTTTCTGTTTGTTGTTTTTTCGAGCAATGTGATACGTTATTTCAAGGAAAGTGTTGAAATCAATAGACGAAGGACATAAATCTGATCGCCACTTGTCATCAACTCAAGATTGTATGATCTACGCGTTCGTATAGATTCGATGATATGATCTCTGAAGGCAACCGCGTGATGATAGGGGGTAAAGCTCAGTCACAGTGGTGGTGCTCAAACCTCGTTCGGGTGGGAAGCCCAACAGTTTTCTGGTACTCACACTTGAAGACCGAAATGATCGAGTTCCCAAGGTCTATAAAAATAATGTAAGCGAGGCCGCGGAAGCATAATGCCATGCAGATCCTCGCGACAATCCCAACGCTCCGGAAGCAAACCGCCCAGATGATCTGCTGCGGCTTTGGATCAGTCAGCTGGACAGGTAACTGTAAATTGCCAGTAGAAATGAGCGCAAAAAAGAGCCCCCCTGGGAGCAATCGGGATTTTGGGAACTTTGCGTAATGTGTTCGGAGTTGACCTTGGAACCGGATTCTCGATCTAGCGAGGTATAAACCACGTTCAGGCTAACCGTGGCATGAACGATGGGACCAAGCCAGTCGACAGCACTGATTGCTGGAGTCGCACCGTCGACCACGGCACCAAGGATGGGGCTTTGCTGAAAGCGTGAGGCCAACCGAGGATGATACATCAGATTTGACGAGACAAACCGGATGAGGCGGGAGATATTGTAGTGGAGGAAGCAGTCTAGTCAGATCAATAGGAGATCGGAGAATTGAGAGGGACGAGGGGGGTAAGATTTAGTGACAGAGAGAAAGAGAGCTGATTAGAATTGTTGAAGATTCCGAGTTTCAATCGATCGATCTTGAACTGTAGACTCGAAAGGGATTCTGCTGGATTGGTCCGCCCAGCCCTTGTAGGCTAACTGGCCAACCTCCCCCAAAGTCGAGACTCGAAAAGAGGGGAAAGACTGCAAACAGTGGAAAGGAACCGCGGGTCTAAATTAGTCTCCTCCACTCGTGAATCCACTCGAGGTCATTATCTACTACTGTAACTGGTCTATTGCTCACTTCTGGATCCCTTCTCCTCTTCTTCCAATACCAATTACTCCCCCTCCAGCTGAGAATTGATTACATTCCTTCAAACATATCAATCATCATCGAGATCTCAGCTTAAGCGTCCAAATTCCCTTGTCGTGGCTAGATCTTGACTCGATTTCATCCGACATCGTCGCATGGCAACCGCAATCCATTCCATTCTCTATTAATGCATGCCACCGAACTACATATCTAAAATCGTAACAAATAACAACTATATTGCAATACTACCTTTTTAGCGCCCACACCCCGACCATCGTGCAGTGTGGGGATCACTTCCTGTCACTCTTTCTCTCCTGTCTTGGCTGTGTGTGATCTGAAGATCCACGCTCGACTCGTCACAATCCTTCCTGGCGCCTTTCCTCCTCTCTCCCCTCACTTCCAGTTCGCAGCCCAGCTGCCTCTAATCTTTCCCCCCTTAGACGGTCGCGATAGTGATCCTTCCATCTATCTTTGGCTGTGTCAATTGCCTTCTCCTCGCTCCCCCCGCCAGCTTGTCTGAGGCGGTGGGCCTGTCCTGTCGTCACCCAACGCCTCGCCAGCCCGTTTCCTTATCCTCAGGACGAGACATTGCTTTTTCTCCTTACGCTATCGGTCGAATTACAGCCCCTCTTTCAATCTGACCTGCATCTTTGGTGGATACAATCCTGCGTTTTACTGCAGTGAGACTGGTGTCCTGCGTCTTGCCAGTGATGCGCATCGAATAGTGGGATCGCGCTCTCTTTTTTTTTTATTTTTTGTTACGGTTCCCACAATCCATGAAAATGGACACGAAACTCCAGAGACGGAGCACCAGCTCGGTGCAATCAGTGACTCCGTCTTCTTTGCGCCACTGCTCCTATCCATCTCCAGCTACATCTCCCTCGAAGGATCCCCTCTCCTTGTCGCGGAGTCACAGTGCGCGACGCAAGAGTGAGTTCTCACCATTGGGATTATCCCTTGATTCGCTCAAGGGATAGGAGACACATCAAGGAAGTGTGAAAACTGACGTTTCGGTTTACTGTGCAGTTAAATCTATCCCTCCGAAGCCTCCTGCCCTAGCCCGAGTCAAGGGGTCTGTCAACATGGATTCCTCCTCGCAGATGAGCTCAGGTACGATCTTATATACCCCAGCCCGACTCCACACCGACTCCAAACAATTAACCACTTTCTAGAGATGTCATGGTTGAATGACGCATCCCCCATATCAATGACACCACGAACCGCAACACCTCGCACGCCTCAGCTATCGAGAGACGGTAGGATACCCACACCGCCCCCATTTACGGTACGTTGGAAAGGCAATGGCTGATAGCTTGCGGAATCTCTAGGAACGCCGGAACCGGAACCCACTGCGACATTGGTCAATCCTTCTTCGGCTTTGTTACAAGATTTGTTGAAAGAGCAGCGCGCAACTCGAAGTACCAAAGGAGGATCAGACGAATTGAAACCATGCAACCCTCGAACACCGGAGCGATCTCATCCCAAAAACAAGTCTCCATCCCAGTCACCGGCGCAATCACAGGCGCAGTCTCGAACTCAATCATGGGAAGCTAGCTCCGAAAAACAGCGTAGAGTTCACAGTGTGGCCTCGTCAGGTACCAGGCAGCCGAATGATATGGGTGTTAGAGAGATGGGTGAGGTAGGTTGCATCCACCGCTGCGTTGGAGACCTGTCTTTGCTGATTCTTTTACGCAGTATGTCTCAAAACTCAACAAGCAGAACTTCGACTTGAAGCTGGAAATCTTCCATCGTGTACAGCAGGTGACGGCATTGGAGAAGAAGCTACTGAAAATGGAGGAGATGGAGGAAGAGCTCCAGCGCCTGCGCTCCTTGGAAGAGGAAGTGCAGGAGCTTCGAGAGGCGGAAGCTGATAACCAGCGGTTGCGGGAATCAAACGAGGAACTGAGGCAGGAAATCGATAGGCGCGACCAGGCAATAACAGAAGCTGTCAGCATGATATGCGTTCTCGAAAACAAGGTCACAGAGTTGCAAGGTGGTGAATATTCATCCAGACCCTCGACAGCTCTGCCAGATGATGACGATATTGCAACCCCAAAGCCGAAACCCACTGTTCAAATTCCGGAGAGGATTTCGTCGAAACGCGGTACCATCTTCTCGGGATCTCGCCGAGATTCATCCGCATCCCATCATCTCCAACGGGCCCCTTCATTTCTACGTGACGATAAGAAAGGCGTAGCGGCGCTCCGGAGCTTATACGAAGCGCCTGAGGATCAGCTCAACACTGCGATGAGTGAAATTACCAAGTCAGAAAGCTTGCAGTCAATGACTGACACACTCGACCTCGGGTCGCCGAGACTTAGTGCTCTCAGCGAATGCAGCGAACTGTTCCCCCTTGGATCAGATGGTGATGAGGGGTTCGACCAGCTGGAGATACCTGTCATCCGAAAGGAACCGGCAGCACATGGCTCAGAGATCTGTGGCATTGCAAGCTCCCAAAGCAAAGACCGCATTGAATCATGGGTCCGGCCACAACACGATGTCTTTGTGGATGATGTTCCTCGCCGGAACATGCAGTCTGCCATTCCGAAGGGACCAAAAAAAACGAGTTCCGATAGCGACTCTTACGGCTCTAGTCTAAAGACACGCACTGACAGCGTGTTCGGAACGGCAAGGCTGCCACCCACACCTGATACCATGAGCACAGCATACGCTGCGTGTCCGAGCCGCTCCAATGGGAGCATCATTGCAGAGAAGAGCCAATATGACCAAGATGTTGCAATGGGATTCAGGCTCCGGCGCCCGCGTTCCGCTGATGAATTAACAACCAAGAGAAGCTCGTGTCATAGTGTCGGTAGTGACAATCTGACAGCAAATGTCAGTGATGTTCCGCTGCCATCCCAGAGCACGGCTGGAGGCGACGTGACTCCGACTTTGTTTCCATTGAATTGCATCACCTCTAGGGATGACCGACTGTTTGACCGGGAATCCCTTGAAAAGGCCAATTTTGGTTACTACGGTGACAATGCGCTGTACAACGAAGATAGCTTGGAAAGGGTCCTCTCCAAGATAGATAACAAACACTATCAAAAGAAGCCATCCAGGTCGATCGAGGAGCTTTCAGCCACACTATCGTCTTCGCCGCCATTGACCCCTCAAGATTGGGTTGAAGCAGCCAAGCCTGCTCCTCAGGCAGAGAAAGAGCAGCCTGAGTTGACACATTTGGGACCTGTTGCGTTGAATCCTCGTCTGTTCGTTGCACGCGCACCCAGCCAGGCTTCTTTTCTCGGCCGCAGACATAGTATCGACTCGGGCTTCAGAGAACCTGACATCCCCAGCATTCCCACGTTTGAGCTGCAGTCTCTAGAGCCCGGACCACCGCCAGAGCAAGACACGGAGCGTCGTAAGCGCATCAGTCTACGGCCACTGTTCGGTCGCTCAGGAAATGCTCGTCGCTTTCAGACATCACCATTTGACGACCAAACGGATAGTGATGATGGTGCACCTGCGCCAGTCATCCACAAAACGCGCAACAATGCCCCGCCCAGGCCGTCTAGAGTCAATTTATACTCAGAGGGCCCTCGTGACCTGTCCGCTTCCATGCCCACCTACGCCGATGGAATGGCGGACCAGGCTCGCCGAACTCTTCCCCATTCTTTCACTGACTCGTCATTCACAACAAACCCTGCACTCAAACCGTTGACTGCGAGCATCAAGGACCACAAGCGACGGAGTTCCCTTGGACTCTTCGGCTGGATGAAAGGCTCCAGCAAGAAGCCCGAGCCCCATTCACCCGTCAAGCATGCCATGCCCCCCAGTGGGATCTTGAAAGAGAGACCCACACGCATGGCCCAGGAATTTGGGCAGCGCAAGCCTCAAGAGTCTGCTGAGAATGCCAACGCGCCCACGGTGAGCTTTGCACTGGAAGCTAAATCCAGGGGTTCTGTTCGTTCCGACGAGGAAGATCCAACACGACGGCCGCGGTATATGGACCGAAAGTCCCGTCGAGGCTGAGAGATATTGCGTTTCACGTTTGGTCCGATCTTAGTCTTTTTCCTCTTTCTTCTTGTTTTGGAGCCGTCATTTCTTCTATCTGCGTCGACCTGATGATTGAATGTCATGATACCCCCTTGAGTTACCTATGATGTTTAGGGTTTTTACAGTGTTGCGGAAGATCCAAAGGCTTTTTACCTTTTCTTCTATCACTTTCGAGACAAGATTCTGACTATTTACTGATGCTGATACACGCCTTGTTCTTCGTCGCAAAGGTATCTGGCTGGCACATGATATCCATTTACACATACACTTTATGCCCAGGTTTCATTCTGGCTTTACGTGACGAGACGCTCTTTTGTCCCCCCCTCCCCAAACAAAAAAAATGATGGTTATGCTTTTCCTTGTGTCTGGATGATTCTTACTCTGAAATGTCACTCTCTATTAGTCTTATTCCTAGTCACTCTTTTCCTTACTTCGTTCATTCCCTTTTCTTCCATTCCTGGACTTACATTCGTTGTCTAAGTTAGATTTCTTGTGATAATGATAATGATGAAAGAAAATGCATGATTTGATGGCATGATCGAGGATTTTATGGTTGAATAAGGATATTGAGGCTTGCGGCTTGGCATCATACTCCACAATCACCCAATTTAGATCAGAATGGGGTTTCGACTGTTCTTTGTATTGTAAGGTCTGGTCTGGGTTTAATTTGAGGGTTGGCTCTTAAATAGAATGCCTGGGTTTGCGTTGGCATACCTTCATACCTACATAAGTTATATACATTTTGATACAGATGGTGGAACTTGGGATGTGGCTAGAATCGGAGAGAAGAGTTGGTGGAGAGATATAATTAGGGGGAAGAGAATGGATGTTATCGAAAGACTGATGGTATATACAGATTGTCATACGGGCCGAATTTGTCGTATGTTGCCAAGGCATAAATTAAGACATATACCTTCCAAACCCGAACCTAACACGAAGCAACGCAACAGCGCCAATCCTCACCTTTCCTCAAATTCATAAACACCAACATTATATGTATCAGGGCAATGATTAAGATATGTATTGGCTAGTGATCTGGTCTACAAAAAAATCTCGCTTTGCGTATCCGGTACTCATGCAAATTTTGATACATGTATGTACACATGTTACACGCAAACTAAAAGTCATTCCATGATAACCCCCCATGGAGCAGATGACGCCCCTATACCATCATCTTTCGTGAGAACCACCCCCTCAAAAGCTTGCTACATACATGTTAACATCGGGAAGACCGATTCATCCATGGGATGGAGGGGCAGCAGAAATCAGATACCCAAGTCTGAAAAACAATACAAGACAAGAACAAAGTAGAACCGGAACGGGATGCATTGCAAAAGAAAACTGTGTAAGATGGCGGGAAGTTCGAAGAGACATAAATCGATCTGGTTCCGTGCTAGATCAAATTTGGGAATGTCGTGAAATGATGGTGCCAAGGCTATCGGGCTTTGCTGATAAGCCTCGACAAGCCTCGACAAAGATATGGTCCAAAGGGGAGAGAGGAGAGAGGACATAGGTCGAGGTCGAAGGTCAAAAAAAAAAGAAAGTCAGGAATAGCGGCTCGCGTTTCATTCGTTGGCGGAATTGGTTGCTACTGGGGGTATGTCCTCGGGGCTCGGCGAGGGCAACTTGGCGGTCCGGAGAACCTCGGGCAACTTGATGGGGGCGGCCGGGGCCGTTTCTAGCTTGTCGAGCTTTTCTCCCCGAAGAACCTTCTCCATCTCTTCCTTAGTCAACGTCTCGTACTTGATCAGAGCCTGGGTCAGCAGTTCAAGCTCCTTGTGCTTCTCGGTCAAAATGTTGGTGGCGCGAACGCGAGCCTCCTCGACAATGCGTCGAACCTCAGCTTCGATTTCTTGTTTCGTTTCGGAGGACAGGCTGCTGTAGTTGGACATCAAGTCGACATTTCCAAGTTTCTTGGAGTACCCGAATTGAGTAACGAGAGCGAAAGCGGTCTTCGTGGCTGCTTCAATATCCTGCAACATGTCAGCAAAGGCTACCTCCAAAGAGAAGGGCAAAAGATCAAACATACAGCCGAGATACCACTGGTGACCTTATCAGGGCCAAAGATGAGCTCCTCCGCAGCTTTGCCACCCATGGCGACATCGATATCCGACAGATACTGGGTGTAATCCTTGGAAACCATGTCCATCTCAGGCAGGAAATGTGTGATACCCAACGCCATTCCGCGGGGCACGATAGTGATCTTATAGAGCGGCATCGAGGATTTTGAGAAGTAAGCAACGAGAGCGTGACCAGCCTCGTGGTAAGCAGTCAGAAGCTTGTCCTTATCCTGAATGACCCGGCTGCGAGCCTCCGCGCCCATTATGATTTTGTCCTTGGCATAGTCGAAATCCTTGGGTCCGACCTTGGTCTTCTTGTTCCTGCTGGCATAAATGGCGGCCTGGTTGACAAGATTCTCAAGGTCAGCACCAGAGAACCCAGAGGTGCCACGAGCAATGACCGCCACATCGACATCAGTACCGATTTGTACACTCTTCATGTGGTGATTCAGAATTTCCATACGACCGCGGACGTCTGGAAGACCGACAACCACCTTTCGATCGAAGCGACCAGGCCGCGTAAGGGCCTTGTCAAGCAGCTGAGGATAATTGGTTGCTGCTATGATGATAACTCCGCTACTCTGATTAAATCCATCGAGTTCGGTAAGCAGCTGGTTCAAAGTCTGCTTCACATAGGCGGCATCCCTTTCGTTTCTCTTCGCACCAATAGCGTCCAACTCGTCAATGAATATAATGGCAGGGGACTTGCTGCGGGCTTGAGTGAACAGATCCCGAACACGCTTGGCGCCGACACCAACGTAGACTTCGTCGAATTCCGAGCCAGACATGAAGAAGAATGGAACACCGGCTTCACCCGCCACGGCACGCGCGAGTAGGGTCTTACCAGTACCAGGAGGACCAACCAGAAGAACACCCTTGGGCAGTTTGCCACCGAGCGAGGAAAATCGTTCGGGATTGATCAAGAATTCAACAAGTTCCTGCAACTCATCCTTGGCCTCGTCGCATCCATGAACGTCGCTGAAGCGCACGGTCTGGTGTTCAGGTTGAGCTTCGTTGTTCTGTGGGCCCTTGACGTTTCGCAAAACACCTGAAGTCTCAAGGACGACAGCGAGAATCACCCAAGATATGTATGCGATGAATGCCATCATGGTAAAAAATCTCACCCAGCGAAAAATAGTACTTCCCATTGACTCCTCGACCACAACGTACAGAGGTGCGTCTTTAGCCCCAGTGCCGGTTTGGCCAGGTGCCGCGTGTACTTTACCATGAATACCTTTAGCACCGACGGCCTGGCCAATAGCTTGTAATTGATCGGGCTTGAGTTGATGAAGCAGGTCAGGACTGGACTGTTGGTTGGCGCCTAAGAAAGATGTTGAGCCATCTATTCCATTGACCCGTTGCAAAGCCTTGTGGTAAAGCGCCTCAGTGGCCGCGTTACTAGCAAAGTACCCGGATCTGTACCGTTCAAGGATTATGGCAGGATGGTTCGCGCGCAGAAGAGCCTGGTAGAATGCATTTTGAGCGTTCGCGCTACTGGGGTTGTTGTTCGCGGTTTTCTCTCTCTGGGCTAGTAAGGCCTGAGACGGACCCCCAAAGAGGTACCGCTGTTGTTGGAGACGTGAGAGTCCGTGTAGGTGCGGGGCGTGGCGGATGCGGTTCGGATTTGCGGTCAGCGTGGAGAAAAGACGAGAGGCAGGTGTGGCAAGACGGCGGCCAGTGGTCGATGGCGGAGCCCAAAGAGTGGTCGCTAGAAAATGAAAGTGAAGTTAGTATGTGGTTGAGAATGCGATATGACTCTGTGGCGATTTACCAGCGAACAGGGAGCGAGGCATTCCAAATACCGCCGGCTTGTACATAACAGCCGATCTGAGAGCCTCGGAGGATACTGTAGTTAGACATTCGGGAAGAAAAGTTTGGCGATTTTCCTGAGAGTGTGTCCATGAGTACGCAATTCATCAGACGTCCGCAACGGATGGGTAGAAAGACATACGATCGAACTGGTTTCGTGGCCGGTACGTTGCAGCTGGCGGGGGGAGGCGGAGTGCTCGATCAGTTTCCGGGGCGCATTCAGTAATTTAGACAGAGAAGGCCAAGCATCCGATGTCATTGCCGCCAGATTCTATCGCAAGAAGGCATCGTTAGTAAAGGAGCCAAGATGTTGAAATGAGGGAACAAATGGTTCATACCGGCATAGGGATCGGAACTTGGAAGGCCATGGCTATAGGATGGCGGCACTTGGCCGCTGATTCCAGAGATTACCCTTCAACAGAGATGAGGGGAAGAAAAATGATATGAGAGCCTGTTCAGTGTTTAATAAAGACAAAAGCCATCTCCTATCACTTCAAGACAGCGAATCGATGGGCGAGATGGAGGCCGGGAATGATGATGTCGGGCCAGTCTGATATTCGGCGGGCGGCGAAAGTCATCTGCCGAAGGAAGTTGCCACTGCGACTTGAATGGAGTTCCGTAGTCCTGTCACCCCCCATCCACGTGATGCCCGCTTCGAAAATGAGTAGATCGGGCTTCACAGGCCATCATGTCTCTTTCTAATATGGAGATGTCATAACGGGAGAGTGCTGGAAAGTTCTGCTGATGTGTACCTAGTACGCTATTCGAATATCCTGATCCACAGTCAACAGTTGACTCAATCAGCACTTCTCGCAATGATATCTTGATATCTTGAGGCTGGAGTTACGGTACTGTATTTGAAGTACCGTACGACCGACGATGCTACTTGCCTGCAATCCGTGGTTCAGCTTCGACACGGTGACGCGAGGTTTGCAGCAGCCTCTGCTTGTTCATCTCCAGAGCCTCATTCGTGTACCTTGCTATATAACTGGGTCTAGGATCAGGGCTATCGATCAATAGCCCGCCACTAGCCGCTTAATCTCGGTGCGTCCGATGTCCTATGGCCGAGTATTGACACACTATACCAAAGTCACTATATTTCTCCGTGCTCTGCAGAAATATCATTCTCCAGGGCGTGGCAGATCAATCGTACTGCTTCGACGAGCCTCATGGCCGTTTCTGTATATATCAGCCAAGGCGATGTCGAAGAAACTCATCTTCTTAATGGGTGCACCCACTCTGAGAAACCTTCAGTGGGATGAAGAGCAATTGCTCACAGAGCCCATCTTTCCTTTCAAGGGACCAAATATCCATGACGAAGAGCCATGGTGCCTGACCGATGCTTACCCTGTTAAGTGGAGGCTTTTGCAAGACTTGCGGACATCTGAGTTACGACAAGGGAAGTTCGACACTTGCTCCCAGGAAAGGGCCTGCTTCCTAGCAACCCGCGACCTCGCGGTCTCTGGCGGGAATTCGACCAATGAACCAGAGGGTTCAGTACTCTCACGGTTCTACGAGCACTCCTTCACCGTGCATGAGGTTTCCGAGGTTTCGGCGACCGGGGTTCGCTCTGATAACTCCTTTCAAGGTAGCGGCACATGGGCCGATAGTACTGAGAGTTCGATCGCAACAGTGAGCGACAAAGAAGCGCCGAACCCAGGGATTCTTTGCCAAACGTCTGTTACCAACCTCCAGGCTATCCCTACGGCAGCATACTTGACGTCGATTGTGCCGCAGACCCTGAGTGTCAATCTAGTCGTGTCAATCATTACCATCAACCCTCCACGCCGTATTGTGACACGGCAATGGAAGAAAGAAATAGACCTGGTGGAGGTCGTAGTGGGCGATGATTCCCGAAGCGGATTTGGAGTAACCTTCTGGCTTCCTCCTGCGGATCAAGCACATGCTGCCAGTGATCGCAACCCTATCGAGGACGAACTTGGAAGGTCGTTGGCTACGCTGCGGCCTCGAGATATTGTTCTGATGCGCACGGTAGGACTGAGTTCCTTCCGAGAACGGGTGTACGGGCAAAGTCTGCGGAAGGGAGTCACTAGAGTTGACCTTCTGCATCGACAGCGGGTTGACGCAAACGATGCAGGCGGTGTCTACAGCACAAAGAGGCTACAAGAATTCCAACGGCAGCGGCAGCAGCAGCAGCAGCAGCAGCAGCAGCAGCAGCAGCAGCAGCAGCAGGGTCCTGCAGCCAAGAAGGAAGAGGATCGGCTGGTAGAGAAAGTCAGCAAGGTGCGCGAGTGGATCAGACGATTTGCGCCGGATGCAGTAGGCGGTGAGGATGATAAGGGGTCCCTAACACGTGGTCTTGCTGGAACAGCTACCAGGAATAACGCACTGCCTCCGGATACGCAAGAGTATATTTAGAACATCAACCACAGTCTTGTAGGTAAGGACATACAGAGCTGGGGATTGCTCTTCCACTATGCCCTCCGGATCATGCACATGACCATAGTGGCTGGTAACACGAACCGGGGAGACGGCGGACAAGGGCAGGAAATCCATTGTCTGTCCTCAAGCAGGGAGAGACCAGAAAAGCGATTATACATGGACGATCAGAAGATCGAGAAGCTTGGGACTTGCTACAGGGTCTGTTGGAGATTTGCTTGGGGAGGGGGGCGAGATGATTATGCCTCCTGCATACACTAATTGCTTCACTGCAACACTTGAGTAACAAGCTCCGCGCGGCTCTACTACAACAAGTTCTCAATGGCGAGCGAATGGGGGAATGCAACCCGAGAAAGGTTGAGCAGCATCCACATGCCGAGATGGTGAGGTGAACACAAGCGGCTGGGGATTATGACGAATTGTGCAGTACATCATGCTAGTGACCTTTTCAAGTGACCTCTTCGTGCAGTGATTGCATGAGAGTCTGATACAATCTCAGCACATGAAAGAATTTCTTATGCTCCTTTCAATTATTGCAACGCGTAATTAGATCTGTGAAGTTGCTGGGAAGATCCAGGGGCAAGTCAGAAACGAACAATAATGAAAATAATGAAATGATTGCCCCACGAGAGCACCTGATCCGGCCGCGACTAGTCCAGGAGTATTCCGTAGTATGGCTCTAGACCTGAAACCATACGGTGCCGGTACGGAACTGGTTTTAAATGGGGTGGCGTTGCCGCAAACGTGCGGCCTGCCTTTGTGGTGGTTGAAACGCCAGCCAGCCAGTGGTCCGTCCGGTGCCTGGACTAGTGGACACAACGTTGTAGTTAGCATAAGGCTGCCCACACTTTACACTATTAAGGGGGTGCACTGGGGGTGCATTGGGGGTGCATCGGGGGCCCTTCTCTGGTCTTTTAGCCGTCCGACCCTCCTCCCTCTAGTCTTCCATACAATCTCCATACATACGCTTCCGTTACAGCCCCCCCCCTCCTTCCCCCCAAATCCACCCATCAAGTCAAGTCGTCGTCAAGTCACAATAGCCAGGTGTTCTCCTCTTCTCTCTCAGTCTTCTTTCGCTCTTGCGCTTTCTCTTATAAGTCAATTTCCTCTCCTTTTTCCCCTTCTTCCCCCCCCCTCCTCACCAGACCCCCCCCCAATCCATTCATTCTCTTCTCCATTCTGTTCTAATTCAATCTTATCACTCTTCCCCGTCCATCTCGGATTGCTGGGTCTTACTTTGAATCAACCTCGAAACACTTCCATTAGCCTTCTCTTTCCCCGTGTGGGTTTCACATCTAATCTTTTGTACCTCGCCCATACTCTGCTCCGGTCATTCGTTTGGAGCAAGTCCCCCCCCTCCCGAACAACCCCTCTACCCCTTTCGCTTTAACACCAACTACACACTACCACAATCATGAAGGGTATGTACAAACTACCAGATCTACCCACAGCCATCAAGCGGCTTTTTATCTAACGAGTCTCATTTCATAGCTCTTATTTTGGTCGGAGGTTTCGGTACCCGCCTGCGTCCTTTGGTGAGTAGCTCCCCCTCTTCCCCCCCCGCCGACGATCGTGACGTTCCACATACCGCTGCAGTCGGAGTTCTCGAAGATGCGCTTGCTGATCTCCTGCTTGTCCCTAGACCTTGACGCTTCCTAAGCCTTTGGTGGAATTCGGCAATCGGCCCATGATCTTGCACCAGGTGGAAAGCTTGGCTGCTGCAGGTGTCACGGACATTGTCCTGGCTGTCAACTACCGCCCCGATGTCATGGTTGCTGCTCTCAAAAAAGTATGATCATCTTCCACCACTTTAAAGAGGATGACAAACTTACATAAATTCTGTTTACATAGTACGAGGAACAATATAATGTCAGAATCGAATTCTCCGTCGAATCCGAACCCCTTGGCACGGCCGGCCCCCTGAAGCTGGCGGAAAAGATCTTGGGCAAGGACGACTCTCCCTTCTTCGTCCTGAACTCCGACATCATCTGCGACTATCCCTTCAAGGAGCTTGCTGAGTTCCACAAGAGCCATGGTAACGAGGGTACCATTGTTGTCACCAAGGTTGACGAGCCCTCCAAGTACGGTGTTGTCGTTCACAAGCCCAACCACCCCAGTCGGATCGATCGGTTCGTCGAGAAGCCCGTCGAGTTCGTCGGCAACCGCATCAACGCGGGTATCTACATTCTGAACCCCAGCGTGCTGAACCGCATCGAGCTCCGCCCCACCTCTATCGAACAAGAGACATTCCCCGCCATTGTGAAGGATGGCCAGCTGCACTCCTTTGACCTGGAGGGCTTCTGGATGGACGTTGGTCAGCCTAAGGACTTCCTTAGCGGAACCTGCCTCTACCTGACCTCTCTGGCGAAGCGCAATTCGAAACTGCTTGCTCCCAACAGCGAGCCCTACGTGTACGGTGGAAACGTCATGGTCGACCCTTCCGCTAAGATCGGCAAGAACTGCCGCATTGGCCCCAATGTAGTCATTGGCCCCAATGTCGTGATCGGTGATGGTGTTCGCTTGCAGCGTTGTGTTCTCATGGAGAACAGCAAGGTCAAGGACCACGCCTGGGTCAAGTCGACCATCGTGGGATGGAACAGCTCCGTCGGTCGGTGGGCTCGTTTGGAGAATGTCACCGTGCTTGGTGACGATGTCACCATTGCGGATGAAGTCTACGTGAACGGTGGCTCGATCCTGCCTCACAAGAGCATCAAGCAGAACATTGATGGTAAGCTTCACCACGATCCGGAAGGTCCGGTTCTCAGTTCACTAACCAAACATTCTCTTTAGTTCCTGCGATTATCATGTAAAACTTCCTCTTCACGTCGCCACGCCCCCTTTATACACCTTTATATAAAATTCGCCCATCTCCCGAAAACGCTCAAATGCATAGAAATTTGAGTCGCTTGCTTTACACTTTTACCTCCATATGAGCAGTATTGAACTTTCTGACTGCTAGCTCTGCTCGACGAACTGGCTTTCCGACCTGGATACAACTGGTTTCCCGACCTCCCTGAACAATCTCCCTTCTCGCGCTTTACTCTTTGTCTTGTGCTTGATTGACCGACTTTCGCATGCTAGAGGCCTTGATGGTGAAGCGTGTCTTGATTCGGGTCTGTTCTTCTGTAAAACCTACTAATCTCATTTTTTTTCTGCTGTCTCTTTGATCAGCACTTTGACCCGATCTGGTGACTTCTCTCTACGTCCGATTCCCGCCCTTTTTCCATTTCTGAATTCTTCTTTTCTTTTTTCTCAACGATGCAGCTGCTTTTTAGCCTATCGTTCTTAGTTGTCTCTCCGCCTTCCGTTAAACTTGGGTCGGTGTCTGTTTTGAAGGGAAAGGGGGTGAGTATATGGACTATTACTCTTATCTGATTTTAATGACGTATGTGGTCATGGGGTGTTTTTTTCCCCAAGGAATGTAAATACGGGGAGGCAAGAATTCAGAAAAGAGAAAAGAAAACGAAAATGAAAGCAAGAAAAAAGAATATCACCGCGAAATGCCTTTGCTCAGTTCTACTGTAGTCGTTGTGATTCCCTTGTCGATTCCCTTGTCGATTCCCTTGTCGATTCCATTAACGATTCCATTATCGTAGATTATATGATTTAATTATACATGTACATCAGTAGTAATACAGCAGTACTTGAAGCATGATATGTTACAGGATGAATCTCTCTCCCTCCCCGTGGAACGCGTTCATCATTGCTCAGCGGCGGCAGCCTCCTTGCCCTTGAGTTCGAGTTTCTCCTCCTCGCGGTCGAGGATCCCCTCCCACTGCACGCGCAGCTCCTCCATCCGCCGCCAGCACTGGCGGCCCAGCTCCTCGAACGCGACCCGCTCCTCGGCCGTAAGGTCGCGGGCCCCGCGCTTGCGGCGCCGCAGCCGGTCCGCGGCGACGACGGCGGGCCCGACGACGCCCCCGTGGCCCCAGCCATCCACCTCCGTCGAGATGGCCCGGTCGCGGCCGCGGCGGTCGCTCGAGGATCCCCACTTCACGCGGCCGCCGCCCGGGTGCGCGCGGTAGGGCGCCTCGGCGGCGTCCAGCTCGGCCTGGCCGCCCAGCGCCAGCCACACGGGCGCGCACGCCCCCAGGTACGTCCACATTGTGTGCCAGGGGGAGCCCAGCAGGCGGGCCAGCCAGAAGGAGATCAGCATCGCGTAGATGAGCGGGAGCGGGAGCGGGAGGATCGCCGTGCCGCAGATGCCCGGGTGCGCGAGGTAGGTGTTGGGTTTGGTTTCGGCCTCGGCCTCGGTTTCCAGGGTCGGGGGGTTGTTTGTTGCGACTGTGGAGGAGGTGTTGGAGGAAGTGGTGGAGCAGAATGACTTGGTCCAGGGACTTGTGGACGATAGATCGGCGGTCAGGGCGAGGATGTCGGTCAGAGCTTTGGAGGATTCGTAGGGGGCGGCGGTTCGGAGACCCTGGAGGTCGTCGATAGAGAAGTGCCGGAGGGTGGCTTCGATGCTGGAGACCCAGATGATGCGGCTGCTGCTGGCGCTCTGGGGGGATGAGGTCTGACGGAGTAGAGGCATCAGGTTGTGCGCGAGCATGTAGTGGCCGAAGACGTTGGCGCAGAAGACGTTGCCCAGGCGGGGTTCCTGGTCCCGCTGGGTGGTGGTCTGCGGCGCCGTGAGCAGGCCGACGGGCGCGATCTTGTAGCTCGGCCAGGAGACGGTGTGGACGAGGTCCGTCAGGACCCCCCAGACGGCCTGCGGCCAGTTGAGGCCCGTCCAGCCGCCGATGCCGGCATTGAGGATCACGGCGTCGAGCTTGGGGAGGGTGCGCGTGAGGCGCCGGGCGCAGGCGCGCGTCGATGGCAGGTTGGAGAGGTCGACGGTTTCCGGGATGAAGGTGATGCGGGCGCGATGCTCGGGGTTTTGTGTTGTCGTGCTCTGCAGGTGCTGCTGGAGACGCTGCTGGGTCTCAGTGCCCTTCTTCGTGCTGCGCGTGGTGAAGACCACCGCTAGGCTGCGGTGGTTGTTGGCGGGGGACTTGAGGAAGTCGTCGACGAGACGACAACATATTGAGAATCCGAGACCGCTGGGTTTGAGAGAGAAATATCATGTTAGTCAGAAGGTCAATTGAAGTGATGATGTTGCTTTCTTGTCGTGCTCTTCTGCTGCTGACTTTTGTGTTTGGTGTTGGCGGCGGGATAAGGGGCCAGGGAAGCTTAGGAGCTCTGCGATTGGGCGGAGCTGAGCTTACCTGTTTGTTCCAGTCACTAGGATTATCGATCTGTTCTCCAGATCTTCCT